TTTAGGTCCTAATTTAGAAGAAACCTTATCTGTCCATGTCTGAATTCTCATAAATTAAATTAGATTTTTAAATTGGATATGATTTAGCAGAGACATTTTACTGAAAACTGTCACACGTGGGCGAAGAGACTATGAAGGCTGCAAAATAACAATAAAAAAAGAGTGAAAAGATTTAGGCAAAAATGAGATGCATTCATGGAGACAACATACTGGTGTGACAATTACATGATACATGCTCTACTCTGTTTACAGCACTATGAATGTATTGTTGCACATCTGAAACACAGAAATTCGGCTGGCATTTGAATAGACTCTCACAGTGTTGGAAAAGTGAGAAACACGCTCTCATAAAGGGTGACGGGACATAATTCATGATCAGCGCAATACAGCCTGCCTTAGACAAGGATCTGCCTCATCTCCCCTTTAAAGGATTTCAATATCCCATGCATGATTCAGGAGGCCATTATTTCATTTTAACGATGCCTCAAAACCCTCAAGACAGCTGCAGGAAGTAGTTTGGTGCAGCCAGGATGCTCTAAAACTGTGAGACAGTTTGGAGTTGCACTTAAAGAATGACCAAAATATTGTCAAGTGTCCAAGACGAGCTGCAGCGGTGTTACTCCTCCGCTCTGTAGTGTATTTGCATTAGATGTCAGTCCGTGTCATCTTCTGCTTTGAGAGGGTCTGAATGACTGTGGTTAGTCCAGCACCTAATGCATCTGACCTCCTTTCACTAATGGAAGCGAGCCTTTTAGATTTACTCAAGGCTGAAATCACTTGTTCTCTCTTTGCAGTGCATATACCTCAAAACAGAGGCTGCTCGTTGGCCAGTAACAACACACATAGCTCGCAGGGATTTCTCCCATGTGCGTGACCTGAGCCATTTCGTAGAGTGAACTTGTTGTGTGTTATGAATACAGATAGGTAGCCCTGGTTAATGGCTGTTACTGTCTAGGGAACAGACTCGCGAGTACAAACTTTGACACAAGTTGTGCATATACTTTTCTTTGATACAATACACACTTGTGCAAAAACCCACTCTGGATTCAGTATGTCCTTGGCCTGTCATGTTGTATTTCTCATCCCTTCTCTCAGATCATTAAGGGGGAATTGATGCTGCCTGTTCATTATACAAGGACTAAATGGAACCACAATGAAAATCTGCCACTCACTGTCAGTCATGATTGCATTATTCCATTACCGCCCATCTGCAGGAGGCTCTCAAGTCAAATACTCAAGTACAACCATTGGTACTTTCCACTTCCTATTTCCTGCTTCCTGTTTCTCACCATGAATCTTTAACTAACCAATTAGTAACCTCTTATTTGCTGTTGTTCCAGTTTGTCGTGCCCTGCACCTTTGGAAGATATTGTTTCAAAAACAGACATTAAATATACATGACCTTGTCAGGATGAGAGCTGGGATATATTATTTAGTGGAGAGGGAGGATAATACAGCTGTTCTCTCCGCAGGTCGGATGGATCAAGCCAAGAAGTTATGGTTGATACACATGACAGGCTGGGCTGGAGTTCATGGCGGTAGAAACAGCGAGCAATAAACATTGGAAATGAAATGTAACTTCTCTTACCATGCGTCTCTAAACAGTCTATCAAAGTTATTAAAAGAAAAGTCTACTTTTTTTGGAAATACACACATTCACCTTCTTGAGGAGTGTTAATGCCCAGCCACACCAAACCAACATCAAATAACTAGTGGTGATGAAGGTCGACTGTAACTTTCCATACCAGTAGGTGGTGGTAGTCTGTATCCATCATTCAAAAAGGGAAACAGAAAGACCGACAGGACGGATTCAAGATGCAAACTAGCCAGTTAGCACATCACCAACACAACCCAATAATGAAGGAACAAAGCATTTTTACCGTGCGCTAGTGGACAGTAACACCTGATATACGCTTCTGTTGACGTTATCCATTGGTTTATCCATTTCTCTTCTGGTGCATTGAGCCGAAATGCCACTGAGAGTGATTACATTCACATTCACACCAACAGCCAATTTAGAGTCACCAATTAACCTAATGTGCATGGCCTTGGACTGTGGGAGGAAGCCGGAGTACCCAGAGAAAACCCACACTGACACAGGAAGAACATGCAAACTCCACAAACCCCCCACCCCGGGTTCTAAACAGGAACCCTCTTGCCGTGAGGTGACATTGCTAACCATGTGCCGCTGTACCGAATGTAAATTACTATTTAAACCAGTATCAGTTTCAAATAACCTGTCAGAGTTTAGGGGAGTTTGCATGTTCTCCCCTGTGTCAGCATGGGTTTTCTCCGGTGCTCCGGCTTCCTCCCACAGTCCAAAGACATGCAGGTTGAGGATAGGTTAATTGGTGATTATCAGTAGGTGTGGATGGATGGATGGATGGATGGATGTTATCTTGCTCAAAGACACAACACCTTTTTAGTTCTTACATCAACCACAGTGCAGAGAGACGGGGTGAAAGAGACAGGTCTGAGCTCTGTGAATGAAGTATTACAGTCAAGGACAGTATTTTATTTGTTTATATTGTAATGTGTGGGTATCATTTGCTGGCAGAGGTCAGCCAGGTGATATTTTGCATCTATTAGTGGACTTTTTCTGGCAAATGGATAGAGAACTGTGCACTGGCGGCACACAGGGAAGCTGGGCACTGCTCATCTGCACACACTGTGATGACTCAGAGGTGGTTGAAAATCAGCAGTTTCCCTTCAAAAGTTGTTTATGTTGAAATAAATGTAGTTATATCTCTCATTGTATTGGTTTATGGACACTGTGTGAGAAATAGATGGTTCAATCCTGTTTTTTTGTTGTTGTTTTTTCAGAGGGAATAATGGAATGTCATTTTTTGTCCAAGTTTGACAGCACTAATGCTAAGCTTACCGTCTATTGGCTGTAGCTTCATATTTACTGTACAGACAAATGAGTGGTATTGATCTCCTTATCTTATTTCCAGCAACAACATAAATAAGTGTATTTCCCAAAATGTGAAGTTATTTCTTTAATGCCAGTGCACATCTGCCAAAAGGTTGTCAGCAGATGTATAAAGCTAACAGCAGGATTAGACTACATACTGTAAAGTCATATATATCTCTCTGAGGAGACTGATCTGTCTAATACACTGTGTGTTATGCAGTATGGAATCAGTGCATAGTACAGTTGTCTGTCTGTTCAGCTTAAAGCTAGACTGACTAGACTGCTGCATATTTGCTCAAAGATTGTGGGTCAAGCGCTTGAGTTAAGTCTCAAAACTGCGTTTACTAAAGGAATGTTGTCTCTGGCTGTTAATATCACGTCCGACCCCTCTCACAAGTTATTTGAAGATTATGAGCTTTTGCCATCACACAGAAGATTTAGAGTCCCGCAGGTTCAACTGAACAGGTTGAGGAACTCATTTATTCCTCAGTCTGTCAACCTATTAAATCAGAGTGTGGCTTCTAAGTAGTCTGGGTGGAACACTGAATGTAATAGGCAATGAGTAATATGTTGCACTGCATCCACTTTTCATAATATCTGTTGTGATTTGTAGCATTTAGTTTTTGATTTGTTGTTTGGTTAAATGTCGCATGTGAAAGAGTCGATGTCTTTGTACACTAGACAAGTTTCAGAATGTTCTCTGACAATTAGGTGAAATCAATCAACATTTATACCTTTGAAAATGTGGCCTATTAGACAGCAGGAAACATCATTGGCACAAAACAGACAGACAGATGTGATTACACTGTGTGGTCCAAATTTCAACCTCATGTTGTGTTCTCGGGATGATCATAAGGTCAGGTTGTCCTCTACCAGTCCCACCCACGTAAAAACACCCACGCTGTACTTGTACTTGTTGAAAGGGAGCATTTTTCCCATGTGCCTCACAAGTTCTCAAGATTCTACATCCTGTCGTGATCTGCAAGGTTTGCAGTAATATGTCAAAGCCCACACATCCTCTTGCCCCCTAAAGAGCAGAAGTGAAGAACACTGAGTCAGTAGATGAGTGTCCAACTCACGTCTCAATTATTCCCTGTACTGTAGTGCCGAGTCATCGCTTAGACAAGTTTTTACCAACGGCCAAGATTGCTTTTGGGACAGGGATGCAATATGGTCCAGAGCAATCTATCCTTGTGTCAATATGTCAAAACACCATCATTCCTTTTTATAATGCTGCTGCTTGTTAGTGCAAAGCCTCTCTGACTGCACTCCATTTGGTTGATAGTACTGGGAGTCTTTCCCAGAAGTTTTTTTATTATGGATGATGAATAGCAGACTAGATGTTACCATGCTGAATAACATGATCTGTACTACATTGGTTTTATTGGACATTATACAGTTTCTTATGCAGGATCTGCAGCTTAAGGGTTGATTTAAGGTCCTCCGCTGCTACATGACAAGCACAAAGGGAGATGCTTGTTGTTGTTTTTTTATGTACAACCACTGTGTCTGTGTTTTTAAATAAATTCGTATTAGGTAATAAATCCCAAGAAGAGGTATGAAAAAAGAAGGTAGATGAAAATAAAAGAAGGCATAATTTAATGACACCATGATAACACACTTAAAGACATGTTATTTTAAGCATTTTTTACACTGGATAAATTCACTTAATACAAATACAACTCTCCTCACATTTACATAGAAATTCTGCCAGAACAACCATAGCACTGTGTTAAAAAAAACTGCCTGCTGTTAATATAAATATCTACCTCTCTGAAGAGTCAATCATTTGTACTCTCAGCATCATCACTTCAATATAGTGAAGCTGTGAAACTTTTATCATATTAAGGGCATTTATCCAACAGTGAGTAAGAGTAATTGCTCTTCAATTATAAATTGTGTTTTTAATCATGGACGGCTGGCACTCAGTCCGATCCACTAATTGCTTTATCCCTGAAGGCATCCACTCACTCTGAAGTGATGAGACTGCTGATGAAGCCCACTTTATCTTTACATGGGTATAGATGATGTATAAATACAGTATGTGTTTTTGACCTGTGCCCCGCACGCTTGACTTTGTTCACAGAACTTACCTTCACATGGATCTTCAATGAGTACCCGTCGTTTGTCATCCAGGACACGCGGCGATTCGTGTCCCAGAAGACGGGCAACCTCTACATCGCCAAAGTGGAGCCCTCTGATGTGGGCAACTACACTTGTGTCGTTACCAACACGGTCACCAAAAGCAGTGTTCAAGGACCACCGACTCCTCTGGTGCTGCGGGTTGATGGTATGGGAGTTTTACACTACTTAATACACACAGAGTACAAAGTAGGGGAAAATGTGATGAATTGTTTTGTTTCTAGGCGACGCAGCTTCGAAATTTTGACTTAAATCAGCAAAGGTCTGGCATGTTTCAGCTGGCGACCATCGATTTTGCTGGTTTCTGGCTTGTTGTCAAAATGTTGCCAGCAAATTAAATCATCTGTGGCTCATTTATGTCTAAGACTTTTTGCTGTTGTCTGACTGTCTGGTTGTTGTCTAAACTTTTGTTCTCAGACAAAGACTGTTTTGCAAAATAAAACACTGCTCAGTCTGGTGAATTCACAAAAGTATTGTGCAGCTTTTGTGGTTGCTAAATTGGCACAAATAATAAATTAGACAAAAGAAACCATGTAATTCTCAAAGCACCAGCAAAGGGCAAAATGCACTCTTGCTGCACTGCAGAGCAAATAGCATCTCAGTGCTCCTGTGCAAGTTGCACATATTTAATAGGGTAATTTGCATACATTAGGTGCAAAACTGGCCTCTGAGCCTCATGGCAAAGACAGTCCAGTTCACAAATCAGTGCAAATAGCCACACGCAGCTACAGTGAAATTATTAGCATCTTTGGAGAGTTGCTGATAGCTGAGACACACGACCAGACCGGGATATTATCTGTGAAATATTAATTCCTTGCCTGACGTTTTGAGGAATGCCTCTGCGCCTCGTCAGTAAGGACCGGTAGCTTGCGGTTTCAGATTTATTTTTTCTCTCAGCCACGGTTCTGCCCACTGTGTTCTTGGCACAAAGGCCACATGGATAATTGCAATCATACGCAACAAAAGGGCAAATTGCACTAAGTTGCAAAACTTTATGGCCGTGTTTGTGCTGTAATGTCATGAGCACAATATCTTTTGCAAATCAGACCTTGAGATGCAGCAGGTAGTGGTTGAAAGTGATGTGCAATTCATGGCAGCTGCATTCTTCGTGAACTCGCCCTAGTGTTGTGATGAAATTTGAAAGGACAGAAAGTAGACTGTGGTTCTGTTGGTTTTCTTTGAAGCTGACATACATCTGACCGACTGGCTTGAAAAAGAGAACCCTGAGAAATCTTATTTATAGAACTCTCATTGAGCGATGATGTCCACCAAGGCCAAATGCTTCATCTCCTGATGTTTATGAAAGTGAATAATAAATTGTGTATTTGTCACGTGATAGGGATCAGCTCCAAAATGTAATGGGTTCTTCCTTGGCCCATGCTACACCCTTCCACCAAGTTTAAGGAAAATCGGGCCAAAAGTTTTCTATAATCGTGCTGAGAAACAAACAAATAAACAAACTGAACTGTAACCATAGCCTTCTTGGTGAGCAGAAAAAAAGCATTGAAGTCACAATCCTAGTAGAGGTCAGAAAAATCACAATTAGATGTTTCCCCCTGAGCCACTGGACACAATACAGTGCTCAAAGAAACAGAGTTATAAATTCTTCCAGCTAACACAGTCATGACCTAAACTTTGTTTTGATCTTGTTTCTTTGTGACCTTTTCAAGCCTTGAGCTGAAAGAAATCCCTTCAGACAAACATGGCATCATTTCTCTATTTCTTTTTGCAACTCCAGGTGTGATGGGCGAATACGAGCCAAAGATCGAAGTGCAGTTCCCCGAAGTTGTCCCCGTTGCTAAGAGCTCAACTGTCAAGCTGGAATGTTTTGCACTTGGAAAGTACGTCCCACTGTGTGTTATTATACACAGTCATATCTACACCATTAGCTGTTGTATCAGTCTAAGCTGCACGGTAATGTGTGAGGACCCTGTGAAGTGTCTTTGACAGCAGAAGATTTCACATTTTAATGACTTCATCTTGTGTTTTACAGAAGAAACACCCACCAGATTAATTAAACATCGACATGCTTTAGTAGTGTTTTTCAGTGGTATCATATATGTGTGTTGGCCTGAGCTGAATCCCTAGTTGAGATGATCTGCAGGAGTATTTTTCATTTCGTGGCCTTGCTGTGTGTGTTTTTCTTGTGCTTTTAGTCCAGTGCCAACCATCAGCTGGAGAAGAGTGGATGGAGCCTCTTTTGGCAGGAAGGTGGACATAAATAAAGCCAGCGGAGTTTTAGAAATCCCTTACTTCCAGCAGGAGGATGCGGGAATATATGAATGTGTGGCTGAGAACACCAGAGGAAGAAACTCAGCTAAAGGAAAGCTGTCTTTCTATGGTGAGTGGGAGGATGGTTTCGCTGACTTTGATCCAAAACTGATCTCACTTCACACTTTTTTGTCTTGGGAACAAATAATATCTTATGCCTTCAACCTGTCAGTGCTCTTCCCAACATATCATGTACATTTATAGACTTTTACCAAATCTTCTACCTATTGATTCATAGCCTCGGAGGTTGACTACAGCTGAGCCTGATTGAAAATCTTGCAGAATAAAAGTGTAGCTCTGCTGCGAGTCCAACAAAAAAAGTTTAATTTGTTGTCATGCAATCTGCAGCTTTTATTAGAACCCATATATAACTGCATCATATAGTGGAATGTGGTAATAAATTAAGCTATTACCAGTAGTTCATTTCTGACAAGCTCTTTATTGTGCCAGAGGCTAACACGGGGCCGTAGTGCACACAGATTTATACCACCTTTCAGGGAGAGGTGATTTTTCCCCCACCAACACTGGACTTATGGGCCATATTCTGAGAAAGCTTTTAATGGCCCTTGATGAAGGATTTTTATGGTTTCTCTCTCCATTATTTTGCAGTTTATGCATTGATGATGTCTGCCCACAAGGCCCTGTAGGGATGTGCTTGACTGAAATCATCAAATCCAGATTTTTCTTTCCTGTGAAGGAGGGAGCCTTTGATATGATAATACACAGTTTTTTGCGGCACCTGTGGGTAAGATGAAATGCTTGCAGTACCTGTAGGCAGGCTGAGGATTAAACATGGTTTACTTTAAAGAGAAGTGCCTGCTCGTAGCGCGGTATAGAATCACAGCACCGGGTCTTAAAGACTTCGAGGTTTTAAAACAATGGAAAACTGTGTGATTGTGTTAAGGTCATTTTATAAACAAGGTCATATAAGTTCTCGACAACCTGTAGCTAACACTGTTGTGGCCTGCCTGTGCACATTTTTGTTGTGTGGAAGTCATGTTTCTCCTTGTGAGATTTAAGTCCTGTCTCATCTCAAAGCCTCACAGACTGGCTGTCCGCCAGGTGATGAAAATCTGTAATCTCATTTTAAACTCCCATAGACAGGAGCTTGTGGGACATCCATCAACTCTGTAGAAGAATGGGAGAATCAATATGGGGATGTGGTGTTTGCGACACCCAACCAATGCGGGCGCAGGAACAATAAGGGGAGGCCTCTCTTTCGATTTCCCACTTAATTGTCCTTCTGTAGTTCCAGGGGGATTTATGAAATTAGATCATGGTTTAGCAGATGACTGCGTCTGAATGGGCTCACACACGATCAGATTGACTTTGTATGGAAGCCGCTTGCATCATGTCTTCCCTTCCATTATGTTATCTCTGACGGTCTCATTTGTAATATTGCTAACAGTGTGTCATGTAGTATTTGTCTCTATTTCCAATTCAGCAGTGCTTGCTGGTTTCCGAAAGTGTTTATTGTGCAATTTCCTTTCATAAAAAAAAGAACATAAAGTGAGCTTTTTCTTTTGATAGCAAAATATTATCTCACTTCTCATATGGGGCTACTAAACACTTCGTCTCTGCAGGCTTTTTAAACATTACTTGAGTGAGTCGGAATTTGTTCTCACCAAGTGAAATGCACTTTAGGCAATGCACGCAGCACCGTTACCAAAGATAGGAAATACAAAGAGAAATAATCAGCAAGAAACACCTTCACTCATTTGGAAAAACAACGTTGTTGTCTGTAGGCTTCTAGACATTTCCTCTGTCATCTAACAGTTTAATGATTTTGCCTTTTTAGTTGACAGGAAAAAACAATTTCTGAGCACCAACTGTTGTGGGCAGGATACGATAATCAACTCCCCCCCCAAAACTAAACGTCGACCCCCTTGTGAGCGCCACAACATCACTGATTTAAATAGATTTACACCTAACGCTCACAGCCACATCATGACCTAGCGACAGGAAAGACTGTACCCTTGGTTTTAGCCCCTGTGTGATGGTGAGTCTTTGCCCCGCTAAAAAGTCCTTGACACCGAATGTACCGTGGATACTGTTCCAGCAGTAACTGTACTCTCACATCCCTCGAGGGAGATAAGATGAAAGGCTGTTTCAATCAAGAAAAATTAATTGCATTTTTATTAATATTATTACTTTATCAAAGTAACACAGCTGGGCAAGCAGACAGACCGACTCAAATACCTCGTTCCACTTGACCCTGGCAGGGCGTCCTGTATTTATGTGGGTGATTCACAAGGACCATAAATCTTCTTACACTGTCGCCAGAGATAAGGTACTAGTCATTTATGTGACACCAGGACCACCATCATAAATATAGAGGCATATTCTCTATGGATTTCAGATATTTCAGAAGACAAAAAGGGAATATAACCTGTGTTATTAACTGCATTGCTAGAAAAGAATTACTACCATCCCGTTGTACTGTAAGCATCGCAAGAAATATAATACCAGATTGTTGTAAAAGATCTGCATCAGTGTTACTGATTGAAGCTGGTTGCACTAAATCCAATAGCTCTATATCCTTTAGCTTTTAGCCTCACAGTGAAAGGTTTCAACCAACCTATTGATTCTCCCACGTGTTAAGTTTATACAGTTGTTTTTATTTATATATTTTTCAAGTCGAGGTGAGCTTTGGGTTAATTGGAAGTGGATTTATGATTTGTGCCCTTGGATGCCTCTTTAATGAAGTAATTGCCTGCTTGGTTGGTTCATTGATTTATTCTAAAAGTGCTGCGTACTGGAAATGCTCAAGCGTTTGTGTAGCGTTTATGTGTTCATTTACAATGTGTGGTGTGTGACCTCACAGCTGCACCTCACTTGACTGAGAAGCCCCAAGACGTTCAGAAGACCATCGATGACACTCTGGTGTGGGAGTGCAAAGCCAGCGCCAAGCCCAAACCCTCGTACCGCTGGATGAAGAACGGAGAGCCTCTGGACCCCATGGAGGTAAGGGAGTTTTTTTAATGACAGAAACAACGAATGCACAACATGAATGTGAGAATGAGTTCCCTCCACCGTGCAGCACTAAACCCCAATAGCACAGCAAAAGAAAAACAAAACCCCATCAGATAATCAGTCAAGAGTGTCCACCACTCTTTCATGCTGTAACGCCAAATAATGAAAGATGTTTGGTAGAATGATCAAATATTTACTGTCTTTCCAAACCAGACTCCAGACTAATTCAATCGATCGCTGTGCAAAGCTCCGCCTCTGGCTCTCTTTCTAACTTCATTGTAGTTTAAACTGTAGCTCCTACTTTAAATTAAACATTGCTTATAAATTCATTGCTGTTGATAGGGATGGGGATTAAGAACCTTTTTCAGTTGAGAGCTGGTTCCAAATCGTCCCATCCACTGGACTCATATGCCTCCGAGCTTATCATTTCCTTTTATTGCCAGCATATTACTCTGACAATTGTGCACTGCAAAACAGTGATGCTAAACTCATGCGTCTACACTGCTGGAAACTTGCAGCAAGGAGGAGTCATGGCGGATGTCCAACTTCATTTCTAGAGGACAGATGACAACAGTGCAGCTTGTAATGTTCGTAACATAGTGATTTTAAGTCAGGGTGGAAACACCAGTAACATGGTGAAACATCTGCAACAAGGCGCGATTTCCAGGAATGCCATGTATTTGACACTCAACGCACCAGCGTCACTGCTTCCCATGTCTGTTATGCTGCGTTCAAATGCAATCAGGGAGATGGGTGACAGCAAACCGGATATTACTTTAGTGGACGAGAGAAGCACGATGAAATTAGGTGAAGCTGGCAGAGAATACCAGCAACAGTAATGGTATACAGCACTGCCATTCAGATGTCAGATATGTTAACTTTGCTATCCGCAACGGAATTTACAATCAGATGTTATGTACCTACTTCACACTAGGCAAAAATACAGGCAACCTGGACAGTGACTGGACATTACTAGAAAAATTAGACAAATACCTTTTATTTTACATATTTTATCCCATTATTTGTAAACAAAACAGCATCATTGTCAGGCGGTTTGTTTTTCTTGTGCTGTCCAGAAGGTGTTATCTGTTTTCTGTCTACCTTTTGCCTAATTCTATGTGAACGCAACATAACAGAGGGTAAATATCCTATGGTAAGATAACATTTCAATCAGGGGAGACAGAAGAGTGAAGTTAAGCTAATATTTAATATGGAATATGAGTGTACAGATTGACAGATGATTTGTGCTGGTTAAGATTTGAGTGAAGTCTTTGGCACTTGGACACCAGAGGGAGTCTAGACACTGGTGGTGGTGGCTGCTGACGCTGAGGCTGCTGGCTGATGAGGCAGATGAGGCTGATGAATCCATAAAGACTAGGTGGTGACGGGGAGGTGGAGGGCGCGCACGACGGCAGCAACAAAGAACTACGGCAGAGACAGAACTATATTTAAAACGCGGAGCAGTGCGATGATAGACCGAAACACAGCTGATGACTCGATTGACAGACCCAGACAATGACACGTAGAGATAGTGAGCATGCATGCAAGGTGTGAATGGCAGGGTGAGAAAGAAAAATTAAGCCTGAGGGTGAAAAGTATTGTCTTCCTGACTGAACTTTCTCTAGGGCTTCATTAACACCACACAGGCAGGCCTTGCAGGTTTTTTGTTTTACTAAGAAAACCATTAAACAGTGGAGCTTTTACACACCTGAGTCACACGCATGCCTTGTTTCTACTCTTTCTCCACGCTGTGTTTATTCTCAGAGATATTTAACCAGTTGCATTGATGCTGAAATCCTACATACACTTTTTTTTTTCCCACACAGAAAACTGATCAGGAATCGATAAAGAATCCAACCAATGTGCAGAATCAGTTATTTACTTGTGCACTCCAACTTTTAGCAGTGCCCAGTCTTATGAAGGTGTGCAGCATCCTTCTGACAACAAACACATTAAAACTGCTGAATGCTGCAAGGCTCAGTCTGACAGGTTTGTATTTAAATGGTAGCCTGTTGTTGTTGTTAGCAGAGTGTCAATATATTGTTTTCATTAGAACAGCCCCCAGGCAGATAAGTGGATGGATAGAAAGGTAATTTAATGTGTAAGATGAAAGATAAGACTACAGTAGATTCAGCAGCATGCTACTTAAAGGATGCACTGTGTGTTACCGCGCTGTTTGCTGGATTCATTTTGCTGAGGAGCGCGCCATGGTTCCAACTCTTAGGCTCGTACTTGGCAAGAACATGTCACTTTGAAATGGCTGTATTTGCCTGGGACTAAATCTGGCAATAAAAGTGTGTGTGTATGTGTTGGGGGAGGGTGTTTGTATGTGTTTTGCAAAGAAGCCAAAGTGATGCCATTTTCTGCCTGTCATCAACCAGAGACTCGACAATTTAGCGCTCAATCCGTCCTATCTGCTTCTCTCAATTTTATCATTAAGTCTCTTCTCTCTGGGGAGGGTGAAAAATGCCTTATCATCCAAAATACATTTCACATTTAGGCAATTTGCCTTGTTTTGTGTTATTGTGCTGCTGGAGTGAGTGTGCTTTCTGCCTAGAAAGAAGAGCTCCAGTGAATCACAGTCACTGATAGCGTCAGTGTTTGGATTGGGTAATGAGCCCAAAAGCAGTCTGTTGCTGTTTTGTTGGACACGTCTTTAAAGGGGGCAGGTGGGTTTACTTTGCTGCAACTTCAGTTGCGAGCTGAGATAATATTCAAAATCTGGAGCACTTTAATTAAAGAGCCAAATCACAATGCACACGCAGTGGAGAGATTACAGAGTTTTGCACTCCAAATAGTTTCCCATTATGACAGAAGTAGTTATCTGCAAATGCTGTATGTGCAGCGAGTCAAATTTGAATCCGTATAAATGGGCATCGTTGTCATGAACGCTTCCTCTTCTTGTCATTTGTGACTGTTGGGTGACAAAGGTCACTTCCTCTATTTGCCACACATCCTTAACCACAGGAAACCCTTATCGCTCCACCTGTGCATCTCCACTATTGATTTGTAAATAACACTGTAAAAATTCCTTTGGCAGGTGGCCAAGGTAACGTATTCTCCGTACATGTGGCTATATTAATGAGGTGGGGTGTTACCATTTTCAAAATGCCACCGTCAACAGCGGCAACAGTAAATCAATTTCCAAACCCAAAGGTCAGCGATGTAGAGAGAGGGAGGGAGAAGGAGAGGAAGGCCAAGGGAGCCATTTGTTATTCCTCATTAGAATGGATCAGTCCTCCTCTCCCTCTCCTTCTCTCTTTATCTCAGCATCTCTAGCGCTCTCTTTCTCTTTCTTATGCTCTCTTTCAAGCTTTTTTTTCCCGTCCACTTTCCCCTCTCTCTCCACCTCATTTTGGGCCCCCTCCAAGGGAATTAAATGGCGCAGAGGAGGGCTGTCACTTCAAAATGTCATCCCGGTGAAACAAGGACCCACTCACGCTTGTGTTTTTTTCCACTCCACCACCAGCTCCCCTTTCAGTTACATACATGAGTGTGTTTTTTTTTTTTTTTCCTCCCTTCGACCTCCAAAGTCAGAGAGCTGCCTTCTGAGGAGTTACCGCGCACTTTTAGTGCACCTGCTGCAATCAGGGAAAGGATCGTAACATCGCCGGCATACAACAAAGCGCCCATGATTTGCCTTTTCACAGCTCAACTTGAAACAGTGCTGGTATCAGAGAAGAGTCAAGCATAATTAATGATAGCCATAAAGCAGACGAATGCCACCATTTGTCTCCAGCGATAAAGAGATTGTGATAGAGCCACCACCGAGTCTCTGAGGGTTCTTTAACAGGGCAGTGGGTACACAATGGCGTAGTGTGGCACCAACTGATGCACTTACACAGATCTCTTTCATCCCTTTCTCCCCCCCGGGCCCTTGCACTGTGTAACCTAAAAAGGACCATCTATCATCTATTCAGACGCTATGACTCCCTCCCTCTTTCGCTCTCGCGTCCCCTTGAACACACATATAAGCATCCAGTCCCGCGCTGCCAAAAACCCAGGGACTACTTGTGTTCCACTTGGAAACTATTGTATCCATCCTCACCCAGGGCCCCCTCTGGCGGCGGCTCTAGCGCCAGGTCAGCCGTGTGTCCATCGTGTGACTGGGCCTCAGAGAGAGCCCTATTTGAAGATGCTCAGCAGTGTCACTGATGTTAAGGGACAGTCCTTGTCTTTTCAAGTGGCAGTGCTGTAATGATTCCAGACGACAGACAGACTGGCGGCAGGACCCTCTGGACTACTTTGTCAGTGACATTTAAAAGGTCTGGCTACACTCAATGGGAAAGATCAAGGGCAAGAACAATGAGTGCTGCCACACTTAAATTGACACAACTATAAAAAGGAAGCAGAAAGTAGTGACAATCCGTGTAAAGGTCAAAAGGAGGAGCAGTGGGAAGAGAAGAAGTTTGTTCTGATGCTGTGTAATTACTATCTGTACTCTGAGTAGGCGATTTTAAAATTGCATGTGTTTATTTTTAAACAAACACTGTCACATGCCGAGTATTTTCTTTTTTTTTTGTCTCTGCCACCTAACGCTGTATCAGACTTGGTGGAGTATAAAATAGCCTATGTGCTGCAGCTTATTCTGAACTAATTCCTGCAAGGTTTGATTTCAACCACTGTTTGATAATGTCTCAGTGCAATGTTAAGCAGAGGGGGGTTACATCTAGTCACTGCGGGCCTATTAAGACCACAGAAAATTAGCAGTGTTTCAATTATCAACCCCCCTGAGGAGAGAAAAAGTGTGGCTAAAGCTCGAATTAGATCAGGCCATTCATCAGAATGAACACAGTTGGCATCGTGGTACTTAAAATGTCCATATATAGCACTAATTACCCACCTCAAAGCGGTTTTAGTCCAGCGCTCTCATATTAACACCTAGTATGCGATACTGTTATGGCACTAATTGGAGTGTTTTTAAGCTATCCTTAAAAGAAATGACAGAAATAGTTGTACATGTTTCTTATATAAAGTGAGAGGTCAGTGATGAAACAGAAAATAACATCCACAGAGTTTGTTGTTGTCTGTAATGGTTGTTGACTTAAGGATATTATATTCACTATGGAGGTCAGTTTAAATTGAGGTACATGTTCAAAATGCTGCTCCAAAAAGACACCTAACACCCTCTTTGTCACTGGACTGGCAAGAGAGCTTGAGGTTGTTGTGGTGTTTCCTAATGAAGATGTCCTGACCTGCTCCATGTGTCAGAGAAACAGGCCAGGCTTGTTTGGAAAACATCTTGCTCTGGATCTATTCTGGCGCAGCTTTTGCACACCTCCAACCTATTTTCAGAGCAACAGCAAGCAATTGCCTGGGCTCAATCATGGCTCGATAGGCTCCCTGAATGTTGTTGTAACAGTCAGCTCTTAAAATTTTATCTAAGCCATTTTGTTGACTCATAGACAGCAACAGTACACCAAGACAGTGGTTTTCAAATGGTGTGCTGTGCTGCTAATCCAGGTGTGGTGTGGGATTTGTGATAACCACACATTATTATTGCAATATTCAACTTGGCCTATAGAAAATGTTATGAATGAATTTTTAATTGGCTGTATCAGTATGTTGTGTGCACCCATGTCCTAATAAAGAGGCAAACTTTAAACTTTAGCTGTGTCTCAAATCACATACTTCCGCCATTACACTTCCATGTAGTATACTATGTGCACTATGTACTTACTGGCATAGTGAGCAAATTTCGACAGGGTAGTGTTGTCTCAAACCAAACACGGCCTTTTTGCACTTACTGTAAATGACGACCTCAATTTAGCTAGTTAGCAAACTAGCATTAGCATTTGCGTTATCGTTTGCGGTACCAAATCATTACAGACTGCTAAATTAACCCAATAAACATACTGCCGGCAACAATATAGTGGTACTTAGTGCAAAAAACACATGTATGCCAACAGTGCAGCGACGTTCGCGGTCGCACAGTCCTCGGCCGCCATTTCCAGTTTGAAAAGTGGTCCCTCCCCTTCCGCTACATAGCCAAGATGGCGACCATTGAGGGCCAGAAGTGTCCATAGTTCCACACTCAACTTCTTGACCATTAAGAGTGCACCATCTGGGTACTCACAGTGCACTGCATTTTTTCATGCATCTCAATGTGAACGCACTTAAGCACTCAAAATATTAAGTGTAAGTACATAAGTATGCAATTTCAGACACAGCTCTTCACTGGGGAGCTATTTGTCCTGTTTGCACGTTGGTAGCCCTGATTGGCAGCCAGTGTGAGAGATGATAACATGTAAAAGGAGAGAGCTGTGAGTGTGACAATGGATCGCTCTATTGTACCGAGAAAGTTACAACACAGCCCCAACGAAGACGACCGATCACTGAAAGTACATTGTACATTTTATTGACACAAGTGTGAATTTGCCAGGCTTTAAATTGACACATTTGTAGGAACCAAACAGAAAACTGTCTCCTGGAATTGAATTACTCTTGTATATTAGAAAACCTTGATCTGACTGTGCTCTGTGTTCTGTTCATATAACAGTATTGTTATATAAACAGGTGTCAGTCCTTTCAGGGATTAATGTCTGATTTGCTAAAGGATCATCCGCTGAGAGCATTTTAAGGGCCAGGATGGCTCATGTGTATCTGAGGCCAGTTACTGTAACCTGTTAGCAATGCTGCCTGGATGGAAGCTCTGTGGATTTTATCCACTGGTCTCAGCAGAGGCTGATTAAACTTCTGTCTCAGCTTCACTAATCAATATTTTTTATTAATAGTGGATCCAGTGGCTGCATGTAAGGTGAAAAGGGGCACTGCAGTGACAGAACTACAGAGAATATCATCCACTGTACACCATTTCCTCAGCAGCAGCAGACAGATACAGTCAGCTGCTGGTGGAAATATCTTTCTCAGGAGTTAGTGGAGACCAGATAGATAAAAAAAGATGTTGAATACTGGAACATGACTTCAAATGACAGCTACTGTTGCTACTTGTTTGCTCCAATATATAGGGTATGAGATTTATTTTTCCCTTTCTCAAATTTCTAATGAGATGAAATTCTTCATTTTCTCTTCTCTTCATTTTTTTACTCTGTTGTCATATACACACACAGGCCCAGAATGCACACATGCACAAACGGGACCTATACATGCATTAAATAAAGAGATGGCACAGTTAGGGGGCTGCCCATGGGCAGGCGCCCTGAGCAGCTGGAGGTTGGGTGCCTTGCTCAAGGCACTTTGGCAGTGCCCAGGAGGCAAACTGGCACCTCTCCATCTACCAGTCCATGCTCCATATTTGTCTGGATGAGGACTTGAACCATCACCCTCCAGTTCCCAACCCCCAAGTCCCTATGGACTGAGATACTGCCGCCAGGAGTGAAATGTTTTTCATGTTTATAGAAAAATGGCCTGCTGACATGTGGTATAAACCAAAACTATGAACTTATTGTCTCATAAAAAAACAGCTACATTATGGAACCCTACATGAAGTACAAGCTAAACAAAAGACAAAGGAGGCGCTCAGGAACGTTACCATTAGCCTTAGAGACTGGAAGGTTCAACACCACTCCAGTGCAGGACAGAATTTGTTTGCTGTGTAATTTAGGTGAAGTTGAGAATTAGGTTCATTTCCTGTTTTACCATCCTGTATATAGATATGTAAGGGATGTACGTTTCAGTAAAATGATCTCCATTATTTTGGTTGGAAAGTGATAAAAATTAGAGTTTTGTTTCACAAGGGGAACCTTTGTTGTGGCTGAATTTCTTTGCCAGGCCTGGGATAGAAGGCAGAGTATTTTGGGTTGAGCATGTGTTTATGTGCATGACACAAAATGAAAAAAAAAAAAAAATCATCAAAAGTCATTGAAATCAAATAGTTAAAGCCTTATTTTTACAATATACTATTCAGGATTATCCAGGAAAAAAACAGTGTATAGATTATACACAAGTAATCCCTCTCAATCCTCAGTTATGACCCAGTACAAGTGTGTGGTGGTGTAGTAACCTGCAGAGACCCTCTGCCTATATTTTATTATTTTCTATGTTTGGGACATTTATGGGCGTGGACCCCAACAGCGCTAAGAAAAGGTTGGGCTTTATAAAAAAATGTAGTGACCAGGTGCCAAACCGTTAGCAGCAGGTATCCAAGAAATACAGCCCCGAAAAAAACTGCAAATACAGCAAGGTGAAATGCCAAATAAGAGTGAATCTACAGTGGGCTTTTACTTTCAGTTTCACTGGCGAGCTTTACAATTTAGTAGAGTTTACAAACCTGTATCCAACAATCTGGCACACTACAGTATACTGTAAAACTAAAAAAAAGTTTTATGGTACCTTTAAGATTGTTTGTTTTATCTAAAAAGATATTTACCAAAAATAGGTGTGTGTTGTATCTGTGATGCAATAAAAATATTTGTTTTAAACAAAATGTAAGGTAATGTGATTTCAGTATGTTTTAGTGTCATTTTAGTTTTATGTATATTCCAATGATTAACGGGATGGTATTGTGGATCGCAGTTATTTTGACTTGGATAATCGTGTAATGAAACATTTTTGTGTTTGTCCCATGCCTACTTTCAACAGTCCCAGCACACAGAAGGTCCTGATTGGATGTGAATCTTTCGCTGTACTGGGGCACATTTTTCCACCAGAGGCAAGAACTCAAGCCTCTTGCTGACTGCTCACCTTGTCTAAACCTGTTTAGTGTTTGTTGTCAGGTTAGCACAGCATATTCCAATTTGAATCATGTGGTGCTCAAAGTGTGTATCTGTGTGTGTGTGTGTGTGTGTGTGTGTGTGTGTGTGTGTCTTTAGCACGACAGGGTTCAGGCGAATAATGGAGTGCTGACGATTAGTAGCCTGAATCTAGCTGACATCGGCATGTACCAGTGCGTGGCAGAGAACAAGCATGGCCGAATCTTCACCAACGCTGAGCTGCGAGTCATTGGTAAGTTCTGACACACAACACTTTGTTGATGGCCATATTTCTTACACCCACAGTCATGTTGGCAGAACATTTCAGTTTTGCTTGCTGGATTACCAGGATAATTTTACAAAAACTTGTTTCCACCCCATTTTTTTTTTCCCCCAAAAAACAAAGGCTGTTCAGTTCATCTGAACGATAAACTCATTCACCTGCTTCTCCAAAGATTTAAACTGAGCACTTGAAAGATGAAGTTTGTTTCTGTTCTCGCCTCTGTGTTGAGCAGACTGAGGAAAAAGACATTCGTGTCTACAGTTCTTTCGCCAGTAGTTTGCCCCAGAGTGCACCCTGGTTCTGCTCTCATAATCAAGTTTGCTGGGGGATGAGCAGTTGTGTGCTCTGAGAACAGCTGGAGACGAGAGCACCACTTTTCTTTGTTAGTTTAATGTTAAATTATTCCAGTAAAGAAATCCTCCTGATTGTCTTTCCCCCTGCACGGCTGAGCTCAGTGTTGTGTATGTAACATTTAATCTTACATTTTCTTTTCTAATTTTCAAATGCATCGTTATGGTGGAATTCATTTGGTTGTTTTCTCTTACTATGCTTATGTTATGCACTGGTGGGCTGTACCATGCAGCCAGTTCAACAGAGCCAGGCTCTCTTTGTCTGAGCTGGCTTCACAAACCCTGAAGCTTCAATCAGAGATGACGGGGCACCAGGAAGGTGGTTATCAACTTGCTCTTTTAACCAAGGATTTCTGCTTAAGACTCTTCGTATGCTCACTTAAAACAAGTCACATGATGCATTCACGTGTCATTTGACACTTGAAATCGATCGATCTGTGCAGCCTACTTACACCTTTGAAGAACATTAAAAAGCATTACAGTAAAAAGCAACAAGGGTGCTTGCATGAATATTAGTAATTGTGTGAACGCATTGTTGAATATACTGGATTTATTTTATCCCTCTGTTTGTTTCCAACGTGACAGCTTCACATTCTGCAGCTCTTTAAACTCTTCACCTTTAAACTTGATGGAAATCACTTGAGTTTTGGGGTAAATCAAGGTAAAATGAATTCTACTGAGTGAATAGGCTATTATCTGTGATAAATAACAGACTAATCAATTTTCTTATTACTGTCCTATTAGCTGTAATATACCAGCAGTGTATAAAGGACTTCATCAAATCAGGAGCAAGCATAAAAATTATTGCAAAGTGGTAACGTTACAGTGGTTTGAAGGAATTATGTCACATTGCATATGCATATAAACGTCATCCTGATTAATAATATAGTGAGCTGTTTGCTACCTGTGATTTAACAAAAGGTTCTTTTAGAGCCAGCGAGGGCAAATGGACCAGAGAACAGTGAGAGCAACAACAACCTTGTGAATAAAATGAAATCATTTTCAGCAACACTGATGTACCGTAGATTCCCCTGTAAAAAAAAAATAAAAAAAAAAAAATACTACTTTAATTTCATGGCTTCATTCAGGGGCATGTATGTAACGTTATGGCCATAGATGAACAATGACTGTCATTCTGTTGTCATGGTTACGGCTCCACAAGTTTGATAAAGTGCATTTATAACATTTTCCCTCAGCTGACAATCTGTATCGTTCATAAACTGACGTTGACTATAGATTGACGCTACTCAAAGCAGCGGTGAAAGGTGCCTTTTAGCCGATTTCAAGCTGAAACTCAGAACACATTGACCCGACCAGGTTAGGTTTGCTGCATAAGTTACCATGGCGATATAGCCAGGTTAAAGGAGAGCCACCTTCGTAGGATGGAAAACTCTTGCTAAGCCATTGATCTTTCTTCGTGGCACACCTCTCAGCACACCACAGAAAACTCCATTTATGTGAAAATCTGCTTGGCAATGAACCATATTCTGATTCTGATTTTGATTATTTTTGATTACTTTAAAGTCGGCTGGCCGTATTCATTGTGACAGAAGGAAACCAAGCTCATTTACTCATTGTTTCTTGCAATCAGTATTCGGTTTTACTTGATCTTAATTTGACTTTACTTCACAGATTTAAGATAATATCAAGTTAAATTTCCATTTCACACTTTTTGTTGTCACGGTACATGTTTCCAGAATGGCACCAAGAAACCTCCAGCTCCAGTGAGGTTCTTATATCTCAAGTAGTGTTGTCACGATACCAAAATCTTTGTTTCGGTACCAATACCAATATGAATTTCGATACTTTTCGATACTCTTCAGTACTTTTCCTAAGGAAAAGTCCTTTTGGATACAAACCTTTAGAACAATAAATAGTAGCGGTTTAACGGTACCAAAAAAATCATGGTTCGGTAAGTACCTCGGTACTTTGGTTGCTCAGATGTTTCACTAAGTTGGTGTTGTCTCGTGTTGTCTCCCTTTGCGAGGCAGACTTTCTCTTGGCCCAGCTGCGAATGTTGATACAGGTGTTGTCATACACACCACTTGCGCAATCTGTGCTCCAATAGGAACAAGAAAGGCGTTTGTGTGCATAAATTAGTAAAATAAATTAACTAAATTAATGAATTGAATCAATTTCAAAGTACCGGTATTTTCCAAATGCAGTATAATACCGTTTGGAATACTCTACTACCGCGGTACTATTTTAGTACCGGTATACCGTGCAACACTAATCTCAAGTGTCTCTGCCTTGTTGTGGAGAAAAATACATTTCCTTTAGAGCTACTAACTGTAGAAGCAATGCCATTATGAAAGCTGAATGTCAGCCTGCAGCATGTAGGGTTACAGTTAAAGGTGGTGCAATTATGTTAAAGTCTCTCAGGCTTAAGAATTGTCAAACAGCTTAGCAGGCAAACAGGTACAGGTTACATGAAAGGCTACGATGCTATATCCAACAGGGCAAGAAAAGTTCTATACAGTATGTCCCTCACATCATGTAGACATTAGCTTCTATGTATGTGCTTTACTGTTTTGAAAATGAGGTGCAAACTTCACTACTTATATAACCACGTAATAAAAAATAAAACTGTTTCATATCCTGGTATAAGCACTCACAGCACTTTGCTGTGGCAGTTTGACACAATGGCAAGTATTAGTCTGTCAAAGCCCCTTTACTTCCAGACACAGCGGCTTTAGGTGGTTGTGTTGAGAAACATACATAACTCTGATTGGCAGCTCGACACAAAGTAACTGCATGTATGCAGGCAGGGTTGGAGCTGCAGGAGTTGGAGCTTAAATGGCTGTGCTGTAGGTGTGTGGGTTTAAAACAGATCGTTAAGTGTAGAGGTGAAAAGCCTGTACATCACAAACTCTTTTAGACTTGGACACAAAGGATCCCAACAGCGGGGCAACACAATGGTTTGAGTTGAAGGTGTGATAAAGAATAGTATCAGTAACATTGTTAACACTGTGCTACATTACAGAGAAATACAAAACCGTACTAATGAACCTTCATTAATATAGGCTTATATTTTATCTACAAGTGCACGTCACACACTGAGCGAGCCGCCTGTTAATGACGCTGTTGGCAAAGCAGTAATGATTATGCTAAGTGGCTAATGCGCATGTAGCTACTGACATGTTTCAGATGATACGTCATGTTTGAAGTCGACCAGTGAAGATGAGTTTACATATCACCTTGGGTTCGTCCTTCACCTTCTCAAAATGATCCCACACTTTGGATTTCCTGCCCAACATGTTATTAACTAGCCTGTGGAATAACATCAGGTACCAGCCCTGGAAATTAACCTGACTCCTGTCTGACTGTGGAGCGTAGACACTTCCTGTGTCCTTTCAAACTAAATTCCCACATGGTGCAGTCATATAGGTTTTGATTTATTTTGAGGTACAGCTCCTAGTAGAGTTTCACGGCTTTTTTTTTCTGCAACTAATGACATTATTGGTCGAATAACATTTGGTCGACTATTAGGGGGCAGCCCTAGTAGCAGAGAACAGCAGAATGATTGTAGTAAACATTAACAATAACAGAGAGCAAGAAAGCACAGCTGGTATTGGCATACCAATACTCTGGAAGTGTTTCAACAATCAGAACCAATATGTATTGATCAATCGATAATTTTTGACACTATTCTGCATCTCTTTATCAAGAAAAATCTTGCAACAGTATATACATGATAAGCCCTCATTTTTAATTGTAACATGTAGTTTTACAAACAGTTACTGTAGATAAAGGAGACATCTCTCCCACCTTGTTAGCCACACCTGACAAAAATATGGACCCTATATTCAAGGCTGCAGCTAATAATCTGAATGACTATTAATTTTGTCTGAAGATATCAGAAAATTGTGAAAAATTACAATCTCTCAGAGTTGAGGGTGACATCTTGAGCAGACGTCCTAAATCCAAAAATATACAATTTGTAAAACAAAGAAAGACAGCAATTCTCCAGTGAATATTGGGCGATTATGAAAATTGTTTTTCTGTCAACTAATCCCTAAATCATCAGTCATGAAATAAAATGCCCAACGCCTTACTTAAACTTTGATATATAGCTTTTGTATTATTGACAGTGGTATTGATAAAGTATTCCAATTTCCATCCTTTTAAATGCCGCTTTTATGATATCAGGGTGTTTATCTGTTTGTCATATAGTAATGAAAGTAATACACCAAACAATATGTGGTAAAAATGTCTTACTCTGTTTAAATGCCCCTCCTACAGACTAGAGGATCTGTAGTACCTTGCTACATTTATACATGGGAATAAACAGATTTAATTGGAGCCATAAATCCTCCAATTCTAGTTTTAGATATGAGTTCATATAAATTCCATCAATGTGTTATGAGAAAACAAGTATGACAAATGTCGTTTGTGTTGTTAGAGGAAACGCTGGCACTTCACACTCTGTGTCAAGAAATAATTGTGAGATGCAACATGTGTATGAATACATGTGTCTCGCAGTGTGTGAGCACGTGCACCCGCACTCGTTGGCAGGTGCTCAGCCATGTCAGTGGCGCCAGGCTGTGTGTTCACTTTGAAGAGCTTTCTGCTGAGTCGGTGCGCATACAAAACAGCTCCAGACGACGGCGCCTTAGTAATTAAGGCCTAAAGGAGCGGCAACAAAGCCTCCCTCTCGTTTTACATTCTCTCATTTTTGCTTCGGAGCCCCACGGCTTAATTCTTAATGCATAATGTCCTCCTAAGGAAAATTCATGGAATTAAAAAAAAAAAAAAAAGAGCCCTACCTACTTTCAAATAAAATGCCTTCTTAAAAATGATGTACCGTGTCTGTTCTCCTGCAGTGATGTGTGCATCTCTCTGTGTGTGCAAACAAGGGTGTATGTGTGTAGACGGAAAAGGTTGTGAGAGCTGACCTACCTAATGGATGGAGTGACCTGCATGTTTTTAGGATGCTTCTCTACTCTCATTTCCTCAGTAGCTCTACCCCCCTTCGCTCCTCTGTCTCCTCTGACAGTAAATTAAACCTCAGCTGTGTTTTTTTCTTCTTCTCCTGTCTCCCTAACAATACTTACAACCCTCTCTTTCCACTCTTCCTATCAGCCATCGCTCCAGACTTCTCCCAGAACTTGTTGAAGGCCCAAACTCTGGCCCGACAGGGTGGCGACGTTCTGATCGAATGCAAGCCCAGGATGTCTCCTCGGGGTGTGATTTCTTGGAGGAAGGGGAAGGAAGCCTTGAGAGAGAGCCACAGGTACCCGGTTTCTTTGTGCAGAGCAGTAATCGCATTGTGTGCGGGGCCACGATTGTTTAGTTTGTCTGCTTTACTTGCAGAATCGTATTTCATCGACTTGTTATTTTATTTTTCCCTACTTTATATTCATGGTGACAAACAGCGAAGAACAGAACCACAGTGTGACACAATACAATTTGAATTGCATAACACGTTCTGCACTCCACCACTTTCCCCCTGCTATCTACATTTCTTCCCTCAACTCCATTGTCCTTTTCTCTCCTGGCTGTGCTCAGAGCTGGTTTCTGCACTGTTTACTTGAGGTAATTGGCCGTTCCTGGACTGCGGCACTTGGATCGATGCACTGATCCATCAGCTCATTAGCAGCATGTAAGGCCTGGAGGGTCATTAGAGCACAAGGCAGATGATGATCCAGGCTACCATCGAGATGGGGAAGAAGCAGGTGAAATCCCCAAAAGGACTGATCAATGGCTAGCCGTTGAACAACATACATTCTCGTGTGATAGTGGCGGTGACACCGGGGGAACTAGCTGGACACCTTGTTTTATTAGAAATCAGGTTAAGTGCAGATCAATGCAATACCTCTGTGAGCTGGAGAGAAGAAGAAAAAGGAAAAACAAATGTTAATCAGACAAGAAAAACCAATTCTCCCCCTGAAGTAACAATGCCGGTCATGGCAGCAGCAGGATATAAAGTCTGTGATTGATCAGGATTCATATTGTTTCATCTCACATGGCAGCAATCAGGGAGATATGCAGTTATGGTAGAATGCAGCTTCAAACAACAGGGCCTTCATATCATTTTCCACTGCTAGGAGCGAATTGGACATATGTTTCAAATGCACAGTCACCTGCACAAACAGCCAATTACAGGAAATATACCGTATACTTGTACGTCTTCATTTTCTGAAATGTCACCATTTGATGGTATTTGCACTCTTGCAGTTCTCACAAGCTTGAAACATCCGACGAGATTAAATTGGAAGGAGCCAAAATGCCCTGATGTGCTATTGCACTTTTAGTTGTTGCGCTGTCAGGAAAAGTACCAAACTTTTTCTTTTTCTATCATTTTTTTGAGAAATTGTTAGCTTTTCAGGCACGCTCTCTCACTATATTAAACACAGTGCGGCCTACAGAGATCACTCAATGATTCATGTTCACTTTCTGTTTGATTACATCTTTATTTTGTGCAGGAATGCACCAGCAGGAGGCAAAACACACCTGCGGTCACATGCGGTGACGTAGTGGGGGTCCAGATTTCTCATTTGATATGGGATTAATTGTTCAACTGGCTCAGCAGCTTTTCCACGCCCAAACCACAGTGGGAGTGCAGCAGGTTTAGTCATGTCTCACCTCCCCCTGTCCGACAGTATGTTGGAGAAACTAAAGGTGCGATGTGATTGTTAATATATAGATGCCAGGCGGAGACATTTGGGTTACAGAAGAGAGATGTTTTATTTGAGGGGGAGTAGCAGAATCAGCATCAAGATTATGTGTTGCAACGCCTGCTAAATGTTGGACCCAGCTTGCAGATTTATCATCCTCTCTAGTATTGAAAGGAAAATGCATCCATACTGCAATGTGCAATATCAATCGCGCCCATAAAGGCGAGATTTCCCATTTGAGACTTAACGTTACAGCCTTGCCCTGAAGTGGGTGAGCTGCATACAAGATGTTAGGCTTTGACATTATTGCAGCATCTCTCACAAACCTATTCCCCTGTTCCTGGCTCGTTAGCATTTACTTCCCTCCATATCGAAATGGGGCTGCTACCAATGCTATTACAGCAGTGGCACAACACTAATCCATCCCACTGGCTCAACTAAAATACCCATAATTCCTTCTAATCTTCCAGGGATAATGTTTTCAAGGATGTGGAGCAGGGGAGAACAAATCAACTAAGAACAAGGCAGGATCTGATTAGTTAATGAAATCACGTTGTGGTGATACCTATATCAGCTCATATCCCAGGCATGTATAACAAGATAGCCTTATAACAGGGTTGCTGTGCACTTACGCAGGGAGCTACGAGGTTAACAATAAAGTGCTTACCCTAATTTAATTTCACCGCTGACCACTGCCAGCAATTGTAAAATGGATATAGGAAATAGCTCTCAGGAATATTACCTTTATATTGAACTGCTGTGTTTAAGATTGTTACGCTAAATGATATGTATTGCTTCATCATGTAATGTGAATCAATTTATAACCCTGCTAGTAAAACAGCAAGAGCTTTCTGGATGTGTTGCCAATACAAGAATGTGCATTGCTAGTGAATGAAATAAGCAGTACTTGAGAATACTGCAAGTTCCCAGTAATATACTGAGTTAACTATGCAATCCTTCTTAAGTGGTTAAAATAATGTTTTTCATTTACGGCCTCTTAGGGGTTTTTTTGTTACACCACGGAGAGGGCAGAGCAGGCCTTTAGATTACAGCCACTAGCTCACTTTAACACCGGCCAATAAGGCTGAGGTAAAGTGCCTGTTTACTATATCACACTGCTCAAGTTTTATGTACCCCACAAATTCCCCCAATACCTTAATTGCTCCAGGGCAACCTTTGAGAGAGAAGGGAACAATGTGAAAGCATTTCAGACGGATAATGCTCCTTACATCTTTGTCTTGCGCTGTCCCTTTGTAGCTTTGGAGAGGAAGAGGCCTGACATAGGCTACTGCACAGTTTAATGGCAAGTCTTATCCCTGTGACATCTCATATCCATAACTCTTTGTTATAGTCCATTACAAAGAAAGGCCCTCAGTTCAGTTAGGAGAATATTCCCCCGGCTCCACGGGGAATGGGCACGGCAGAAGAGGCTAATGTAGTTTAATTCCTTCAGCCTTTAAGGCGATGCAGGTAATTTTTGATCATTTTGGGAGGTCCAGGCTGCCTTCAAGGGATCTTTTAGAGAGGAGCGTTCAAGTTCTACTTTCAACCTGGTTATGTTTGAAACACCGGCTCAACCCCATTACACCGTTGTGCCGTTTAGAAGATAAGATGGGAGCTGCTTCTAGTGAGGATTTGCAGGGTGAGGCATTTATCAAGTAGGATAATTAATTTCGGAGTCCAGTGTGGTCGGGAAATTGTTCTACAGCTGCAACTGAAAAGAAGTATCAGAGATTGGTGGAATAGAATTTGACCAGAATGGCATGACTTTACTAACTGAAGAATCTGAAGAGTGGAGATAGATTTTTTTTTTCTTTTGGTATCACTTTACAGTATATGAAGGTACACACTGTGTTTTTATTAGTCATTATAAGGCACTTATTAATGCCTTGTTCTGCACAACCGTATTCTACAACTATTAGGCCATTAACTAGGAGATTTCCCTTATTTTCCTCCAAATTACTGCTTATTGATAGGAAGTAAGGAAGTTGTTGTACACAATTAAAAGATGGTAGTACCACAAGAATAGTCATTTGCCATTACATGAACAGTATGTTAGATTAAGGGGGATTTAGTGGCATCTAGCAGTGAGGATTGCAGATTGCAACCAGCTGAAACTTCTCCCAGTTAGAATTCCTTCAGTCTTAATGCTTCAGGAGGTTTTTATCGGGAGCCAAATTATCTGCGGAGGGCTTTTCACCACCAAAACAAAAAAAACCCCCAGGTGATTAGAACCAGTAAAAGACACTAAATAAAGTAATTTCATGTTACAAATCAGTGTTTTACCTACACCGTTTGGCTCATCACAGACAAGCCACTAATCCAGCACTTGCTAATCTGTGTTTACCTTTTTTCTCTGATAAGTTAAGATCCAGACGTTAAGGAGGTTTTTACCAAGCTAAATTATCCGCAGAGGTCTTTTTTCTCCAAAATAAATGGATCCAGTGATTTAAACCAGAGTTTCATGTTAAACAATCTGTGTTTTTCCAACACTGCTCATCCCAGGAGGGCTGCTAACTACAATCACCGACACAAAAACCTTTCAAACACAAATGGCCCTACTAAAGCCAGTGTTTGTCCATTCTGGCCTACTGTAGAAACATGGCAGTGCAACATGGCGATCTCCGTGGACGAGGACCTGCTTCGTATGTAGATATTAACAGCTCATTCTAAGGTAACGAAAACACAAAAAAATCTTATTTTCAGGTAATTATACACTAAAGAAAACAGACTTATTACATCATATTCCATTTATGCCAATACATCTCCCTAATTCCTACACACTGGACTCAAATATGGTCTATTCTCATGTTACGAAACACAAAACTACAAGCGCTTAAAGTGTCCAAACAACTCTAAATGAAGTCTTTTTAACTCAAATTATGTTCCCCATTCTAAAATGAGATACTGCTCATAACTAATTTACTAGTACACACGTTCCCTATTCTATTCTCGCCTCCTCTTCACACTTAGTAAATCCATTATAGCACAAAACTACTTCAATTAATATCTCCTTTATTATGCACCACTAAAGAGATTTTCAAACATATCTATTAAAAGTGTACTGCGCATCACTTAAGAAAACAGGGTGTGTTAATCGCAGTAGTTGTATAATATAATGGATTTATTAAGTGTGAAGAGGAGGCAGTTTTAAAATAGGAAACCTGCGTGGGTGAAGAAGTGTCAAACTACTTGTGTATATGTTATGAACAATACCTCAGCTTACAATAGGGAGCATAATCTGATTTAAAAAGGCTCAATTTATTATTTTGACACTATTAAGACTTGTGTGTTTTATTACATAAGAATAGACCGTATTTAATAAAATGACTATTCTTGTGGCACTTCCACCATATAAGGCCCGAAAAGTGTGACAAGCAAGGAAGCTGCAGTGCGTTAATTACTCAATAAGCAGTAATCAGGAGGTTATTGATAGTTGTAGAATATGGTCACGTAGAGTAAGGCATTAATAAGTGTTTTAAAATGGCTGATAAAGAGCCAATATATAACTAATATGCATGCTAATAAGCAACTAATTAATGGTGTAGCTCGACTTCTGTGCTTTGCATCCATCGTAACTGTCAGTAACAAATTTCTCCCACGAGCACCGAGTGTTTGCAGAGTGTTCTGCTTTCTTTTAATTTTTCTTTTTTTTTTTTAACAAATTACTTTTCAAGACAGAAATCTCAACATGTGCCAATGATCATGGATATCCTCCCTGTGTGTGTTAAACGGTGGCACCAGGATATAACTCTCGCAACTGTTTCACATCATGAAATATTAATCTGTGCACATGAGGCTTAATGGATATTGCCTGTTTGTAATAACTTTGATAACACCAGGCCAAATTAATTATTAGCTCAACAAGCAGTGGCTGTCTTGTTCCCTCGAGGGAATTCGTTTTTAACAGTGTGATATTTTATTGATCCCTGTGGGGATTTTTTTTTTTTCTTCTCATGCCTGCCACCTCTGGGGAGATCAGAGCTGGTGGAGGCTCAGCGTTGCTTTAGGACAGCTCTGCAAGGCTAATTCTTGACTTCATTGTGACAGCTGAAGGATGGGCGCTGTAATAGCAAGCCTGGTCTGCCTATTTTATTATATTTGATCTCTAGAGATATACAACAGATACTCTGTGATGATCAGGGAGGGTGATTGACCCTTTATTGACTTTGTTGTTTCCTTAGGGCACTGCTGCAAGTCTTAATGTTCAGTTCTGTACTTAGGTTGTTTGAGGACGTAACAGGTTTGAAGATGTTGCACCTCAACTGAAAATATTATTTGCTTTGCCTTATTTGATATTCCCAGATGTGTCACATTTGTATCATCTCAGAATAATTACAATGTATTAAATTGTGACACTTTGCAAGAGGAAGTCACATGAGATTGGAGGTGGTGTCTAATTCACGATTGCCTTTTTTCTCCACTGCTCTCCCCAAATTCACACATAGATAACAGGACAACATTATCCATTGCATTAGGCCCTTCTTCTGTATATTAAAACCCATTTAGGTTGACAGACCACATTAGGACACCTACCTCAGCTTTAATTAGTGCAACAAATAGACAAAATACAGCTAGATTATGCACTATCACAGCTTACTACTGACATGTCGTCACAAGGACAAACATATTTAATCAGTATTTATTTCAGGCCTGCTTACTTTGAAAAACAAGATAAGGGAAAAAGCGGTGATTGCTGTATCCACAAAGCATGATAGAAGCACTGGGAGACTGTGAGACAGAAGGAGAACACAGGAAGTCAGCGAAAACCTCAGTCACGCTGTCTTTTAAGGGATGTGATAGATTACCTCCAGTAATTACAGAGATCAAAGCAGAGGGAGCAATGAAAATGTGTTTTCTAAACTTGCGGAAATGCTTTGATAACAGGAAAGACAAAGGGATCAAACGTGAGCAGTAGGTATTCATAATAAATAATTAAGTGATACATTATAACAAGCTAATATAAGTGGTATCTGATTGTTTTTTGATGGAATAAGGGTTTGAAATGAACGGTTCTGCTGCATGAATGGACCCTTTTTTCAGGCTTTTATTCGGAGCTTTCTGTGCAGTGTGTGGCCACTTTTTCACTAAAGCGAGGGAATGTTTTTTTGGCATCAGAGTAAATAGAATTAATCAAAACATTTTTTTATTTTTTTGTGCCTCAATCACCTGTGACCCTGCCATTAATTTTCAATTTTATGAAGTGTTTGGTCGTCCTAGACGCGCGTGGATCTTCGCAAACAACTTTCGCTTAAATGTTTTTCTTCTTTTATCCTCTATCCTTGACTCCGCTCGAAAAAGGCTGCAAAATGAATGTCATTACATATTTTTCATAACAAGTTCTTTATATGCGTGTTTTCTGTATGCTGTATTCAAGGCCCTGCTGATATGCTTTTAAGAACTCATCCCCCCTAAAAACAATTTCAACAGGGGCCATCAGCATTTCTTAAGTTTCAGCTTGAAATTGTATTCAGTCATGTTTCTCTGCCGGTACTTAAAATAAGAGGAAAAGCAGTTTGTGATTAGTAGTTTATTTGATTTTATTATAATTGAATGTCAGAATAAAGGCACAAGATGTTAGCAAGAATGCTCATTTAGTAGTTCATAGGCAGGGAACAAAAAAACGGAAACAGTATACAGATACAAAAATACAATACACAAATAGAAAAAGTTAAGCATGACTGATATGTATAATCAAGTGAGTGAAATGGGTGGATAGATTTAATTGTTGCTGTGAGATGACACAGTAGTCGCCAGATGAAATATTAACGTGAACAACACCAACAGATAGCCTGGATCATGTGCACTTCATTCAGCCAGCGTCTTGTCGCTGACCTATTGTTCATATTTGGCTTTACGTCACTCAAGCGACTTGTTGGACTGCCGGAGTAGAAGCAGTACACCCTCTCTCTGTCAGAGGGAATCTGTCAGGCTTGACTGATGACACCGGCAGATGAAATGAGAGTCTTTGTAATTTGGACTCGCTGGTGCAATCTGTCATAGAGGTTCAACTTATTACAACACAACCAGGCGGGTCCAATTTGTTTCTCTGCTGGTGAAATGTTCCCGACACATACAGAAGACTCAGTTGGATTAAATCCATTAGTAGAAGTTGCTGTCTGCAGTGTTGGGGAGTTGTGAACTACATGTTAATCAACTAGTAGTTTAACTAGTGTACATTTTGAAGTATTTCGGTACATTCATATTTACATGGTGGTTCAAGCAGTTAAATTACTTTTTTCCCCATTTTTTTGTGAAACTACAAACATATTTGGGCCATGAAAAGAAATTACTTTTTATTTTAACTTTCTCCTCTTCTCTACATGGCCTTGCTCCTACATACATTATAGATTTATTCACGCCCTATGAGCCTAGGCTCTGCCTGCGTTCCTCAGGTAGGACCCTCCTATCTTTTTCCACAGCTCTCCTCGTTACAAAAGGAAGCAGAATATTTTCCGTTAGAGCCCTGCAGCACTTCTCAAATCACTCCTCAAAACGTATTTTTACAGGAAGGCTGGGTTTTTATTTATTTATTTATTTTTTTACAGTAAATCTGTAGTATGTCTAGTTTCTATCCCCTCTCTAATCTTAATTTTACCTTTTTTTATTACATACTCTGTTTTATCTGGACTTATGTTCAGTATTTTTATTTGTTTGACATATGTTATTGTTGTTTTTTTTTTATGTCTAGTTTCTATCCCCTCTCTAATCTTAATTTTACCTTTTTTTATTACATACTCTGTTTTATCTGGACTTATGTTCAGTATTTTTATTTGTTTGACATATGTTATTGTTGTTTTTTTTTTTAATCTGACTATGCAAATAGTTTATTATGATTATTATTATTATTTTTATTTTATTTATTTATTTATTTATTTTAATTTTTATTTTTATTTTTTTCAGTTGAACCCCTTTGATCCCAATTGGTCATAAGTAATGATTATTGCTATGTTCTGACAAACGTTGAGAGAAGATGTTACATGTTAGGGTAGCTCTGTAGTTTAACATCTTGTGAGGTGTTATTGGTATTTTCTAGCACTTCTTTTTATGCTTTTACTGTTTCTTTTTTTGCCCATGTAAGAAATTAACAGCCGCAGCAGCCACATTATTATGTGTGAACCTAACAGTTCTCGGAGCTAAATGATCTCAGCTCTGCTTTGAAAAATTCAGGTTTCGTGTGACATATTTTTGGCCGTAACTCTGTTAAAAAGTTGTTTTACACACTTTTTTTTATGCTTGTCAAAATGCTGCATTTGCCTCGTAGCTTAACAGTGTATTCAGAGTGAGGTGTCTTAACCATCATGTAGCGTTATACGCAGGAGCGCTGGATGAACTGTATTAAAATGAACACCTCAGATGCACGTAGAATAGCATATGTGACAGCCCGAGTTTCTCAGGTAACAGCCCACTTCTATGGGAAACCATGTTCCTGTTTCATTTAGTATTCATGTCTGCTGAAGCAATATTTCTAACATAACACTTATACAGACTCAGTAGATCTATAACATGCAGTTATTTAGAATCCCCCTTGATATCCCCTTGAACTCGAAATGAGACTTTCCTCCTCTATCCTGCACTATTTCTTATCAACTCAGTGCTGAGAAATCAAACTGTAACTCTTCACACTGAGCTTCTCCTTTTGTCACGCTAAAGCACAGGGAGCCAATTAAAATGTGCCGAGATAAACTCCAGGCTAAAGTTGAAATGCTTTAGGACACTGGACTAGATTTTTATGCACTTTGAATATATATTTAAAATGACAGCCACGCAAGCTTCCACTAGTAGAGCAGTGTGTCAGTTGAACTTTATTAACCCAACACTGGTGTGCTGTCACTTAACCTAATATGGTAATGTGATATGTATATGTATATTCTCACCCACAGAGTAACCGTGTTGGATAATGGCAGCCTGCGGATTTCCAATGTCACTAAAATGGATGCTGGACTGTACACGTGTGTGGCCAGGAACCAGTTTGGAGTGGCGAGCAGTGCCGGCAGCCTTCTGGTTAAAGGTAAAATATAATTTCCTTGACTTCAAACATCAGCTCTGGTCGCTTTACTGTAAATGGCAGCTGGATATTGCTTGTTTGTTGTTTATTTTATCCCCAATAGCTGTTTCCTTGGCAACAACTGTTTTTACTCACACAGCAAATAATACAGTTACAGCAATAATCCCCTTTTATTCATACAATATCACTATTATACCAGACTGTACAATTACATCAAGCATGTAATATATCAAGCATTGACAGCTTTGCTTTTCTTGTGTATTTAAGGAATGGGATTGGGTTTTCTGTGTTAAAACCTTTTATGTAATCCATTTGAACATCATGACTCCTGCAGGTTTTATTATACAGGCCTTGTAATAAACCAACACATCATTTACGGTTGTCAGTATTTTGGAGCAACACAAAGCAAATGTTCTGGCAGTCTGTCACAAGAGCTGCGAGACACGACCGACCGGCGCTGCATTTAAAATTAACCAACACTGACCCTCACTGCACGCTTGATGAACGAACAGCGAGGCAGCGTCGCTTTAAAGATGACACTCTCCCTACCTGACGCATGTACAGTCCAATTAGTTGATTGGCAGTGGCTGGAGGAAGTGAGACACGAGGCTCATTGCATTCATGCGCCTCCATGTTTAATTCATACTTCATTTTTTTTTTTCTCTCTCTCTGTACGGTGGCTCATAGCCATGCTCGGTTTGTTTAAGATTTCAATCCATTTAAATCACACACTTCTACAGTGCAGTGAATTTTCTAGGTCTTTCTAAAGAGCAGAGTCAACAACAGTGCTCTATTAAAATGCCTTTTGGTGATTCCTCTTCACAAGTTTTTTGAATTGCAAATTGGCTCGCATAGAAGCCCAATTTCCCCCACAGCCTCTTTACATGTACGAACGACGCTGTTATACAGTTTACTGTATATTCATACGTGTGTGTACTCATAATATTAGTCAGAAGTGGAAAAGAGGTGGTAAAATATATTCATTTGGTCTTGTATTTGAGTACAAATTCAAGGATCTGCATAAGCGTAGCACTTTGCAGAATAAGGTTAAAAAACATAAAATATTACTCACTGTGAATTTAATCTAAGCACCATTATGTTAGCAGCTACTGCGCACAGGCCAGGTTGTAAGGCTAAAATGAAACATTATTGACATTAAATAAATACTCTAAGTGTTGATTGGGGCTGTAACTACTGATACTTTCTATTATTGATCACCCTGAAGATTATTTCCTCAATTAACTGTTGAATTGTTTAGTCTATAAATGTCACCATAATTTCCCAGAGCCCATGAACATCTTCTTCTAATTTTATTCAGACATCAGTCCAAGACATAATTATGTTTCATTTAAAAAGATAATAAAACAGAGAAAAGGACTTCCTCAGATTTAATTAGCAGGAAACGGTAAATGTTTTGACATCTTTACTTGGTAATGACAAAATAAGCCATATATCAAAATTGACTGAATTTAATTGAAGTTATTAGCAAAATTGTGACAATAACATATATTTTCAATTGAGAATGAATCAAATTCACAGTGTTATACTTGGTTTTTTTTACAATTTTATTAATTTTTTTTAGAAATTGTAATTGTTTAACTCTCCTGTCTAATTAATTACAGTTAATTACATTTCACCTGGCGTCTCAGGTACAAGTCAGTCCCACACTTCCACACAATCAGTTACTGCTTCATCCCAGGCGTGTTACTTTGACTGAGCTGAACCTCAGGCGTACCATTTAAGATTGACTTCCTCAGAATGCAGATATTTGGCCATTACAACACATCCAATTCCTGTGCTAATTCAAAAGGACACGTTCAAATCCAGCATGTATCTACACAATAAAATCAGCTCTTCATGGTTGTTTGAAACATGCTGTCATTCCATAGGTCTACAGAATGAGGACTGCCACGCACGGAGCACACTGAGGGGAATGAGGGAGCCAATTTGTGATTTTCCTTCCAGTCATAACAGGAAATGAGCGTGACAGCTTAGCAATCGGTAGCAGAAAGTTTTACCCCTCTCATTTCGCATCTGGTGCCAAACTTTGCTAAGACTCACCTGGAATGCACTGCCATGACCAGTCGGTTCTCCTTAGGGGGTGCGAGATAAACAAGCTGGCTTGTTTTGACAGAGCTGAATATAGACCTTTACTCCCCCTGACATGCTGCATTGGCTTGCCTGTCCATTAGTTGCTTATGACATGCATGCATAATTCACAGTGGACTGGTGTATGGGCCTCTCAGCCCGCGCTATATTCTGTGCACCGCGCTGCTGTTGAATGAGACACCCAGCCGAGACGGACCAAAGATTATGTTGATGCGCACCACGCTGAGGATGAAATAGGATGGCTTTTTGTCTCGGCACAAACAGAGCCAAATTATAGACTCGGATCTGACCTGCCATAATGGTGGAGTTTTTTCCTTTTGTTTGTTTATTTTTACTCTGTCTGTTGTTTAGTGATATATCAGGCCATACTCTGATTTATGAAACTCAAAGAAAGAGATGCAATATAAGCTCACAGGCAGACTCAAAAGTAATTTATCTTGTTTGTTTAACATTCAGGACAGGATCTAAAGAAGAGCAGGATTTGTTTTTGAGTGTGGCATGTATTTGCAATTATTTCTCAATGTGTGGGGAGCATAAAGAAGTACAAACAAGCCAAGTGAAAGAAGGTTATTACCATGCAACCCATATAGCATGCAGTCTGGGCAGTCTGGAAGGTATATCTACTCTGTTGAAGGAAAAATACGGCCAATTTCAGCATTTAAATACATTTTATTCCTATGTTCTGAGGCAGTCTAAAAATATTAGGAGATATAAACAACTCTCCCAAATCCAATAACAGGGGTGCTAAAACTCAAATTTGTGATGTCATCAAGTATAAAGTCTGGAGCTGCTCCATAGACAATGAATTTGGAAGGATGTTATAGTTCAGTGGTTTCCAACTGTTCCAGCCACAGGGTCCAGATTTCACTGAGCTAGTTTGCCATGTCTGCCAAGTAGCTGTCCATTAGTCACTCACTCCACGGCAGAAAACAGCACTTCAAAATAAAAGTTCTGTGCTGGAAATTGACTGTACATGAAAATAAGAATACGTTTTTGACAAACTTGACACAATTGCGAGTCACTTGCAGTCCATTCAGAATGGGCCCGCAACCCACTTTGGGACCATGACCCACCAGTTTGGAATAGTTTGGGTTCGTTATAAATGACACTGTGAGCACCAAGTGGAATGTTCTTAGTATAGACCAAATCACCGTGATGCTATGCTGACAACCACACTTCACTTACGGTAGACAGCGAGCAATTGATTTTAACTCTAGAGATAGTTTGTGAAAGCCGCAAACTTGTTTATTTCTGTTGTCATATCTATAACATATAAATCTGTATAGTTATCATGGTGGTCCGACCTATCTGACGTTTCTGCTGTGTTTATTTTATGTACTGTGTTGCTGTGCTAGCATCTTTGATAAACCAAATCTACCAGCACCGAGGCTAAGCAATGTCCTGCTGTGGACAGAGGCCTTTGCAAAATGTATTTTAACTATCTAAAAAGCCCCACCTCTAAAAAAAAATAAATCAAAATACCAATTGTCGTATATGCTATATATTTGGAATATTGGCTCCACTTAACCTTATACATAACCAACTGAGGCAGCAGAAGACCAGCAACTTCCTTATTCTAAGAAATAAAATTACTGTAATAAAAACAGTAGGACTGTCCTGATTGTAAACTGAAAGTTTCAAAAGATGTTCAAAAATGCAGTCCAAACTGAAAAGTCCGAGGCACAGGGATATCTACGCGTTTCGACTCAACGAGTCTTCATCAGGATATCATATCCTGTGCTTATGCCCCACCCAGACACGCTTTCTCACTGATGGATAAATTGGTGCTGGCGTGGTGTATTTATTATGAATACAGTTTCTGCTTTTCGCCGTTTCATCACTACTACAAATGCAGCTGTAGCCAGTATCTCACTATCACGATCCTCATTTATGTTTCAATAACCTACAAATTTAATTCAGCCACAAAATAAGCCTGAAAAGCTAGAAATCAGAACAGGAGTACAGAGAGTTGTTGCATAGAGGTGATACACCATCGCATTGCAAGTAGCTGCCTGTCGCAACTCGTCTCGTCGTGACTCATTACTCTGAACTGGGCATTAAAAAAGAAAACAACCATTCTGTGAGTCCACAAAATCAGGCTCCCATTCATTGTCTGTGGCGCAGCTCCAGACTACTTTATGACATCACAAAGTTCAGACTTACTTCTCTGGCTTTCACAGAGAGAAGCACATGTTCACAAATACTGACTGAACTGTCCAAGGCCATGGAAATGGCATACTGTAATTCTGAATTTAGGTGGTGTTCTCCTTTAACATGTCCCCCTGCTTTCTAACTTAGTGCTGCCTGTTTACAGATCCAACTGTGATCACCAGTCCGGCAGGTCATCTGGACGTGACCGTAGGTGAGAGCATCGTGCTGCCCTGCCAGGTGTCTCATGACCCCACGCTGGACCTCAAGTTCACCTGGTTCTTCAACGAGCAGCTCATCCACTTTGGAAGCCACTGGGCATATTTTGAAAAAGTTGGTGGGGTAAGTCAGTAATGTTCTCATGTCCTCTGACTCTCTGTGTCTTTAGGGTAAGACGTGAAGAAAATATATGTTGCAGCCTAGCAGCCTCGCATGAACTTTTTTTCTCTTTCAGATAAAAATCATAAGTGTGTGCTACAGAAATTGTACATACACAAGTTTCTGAGTTGTTTAATTTACCTTTAGACTTTTTATTATTGCAGAGCTACAACATATATTTTAAGCACCACATTTGAGTGTTGGCCAAGTGACATTTCCTCAGTTATAAAAACAAGTGCTTCTATAAGTACTTCTATACCCTCTTGACAAATCTGTTTCCACTTGAACGTGGAGACTCTTAAGACTTCACCACTTAAAAAAGCTTCTAGAATCTGAAGACAGGCTTAACGCAAAGTCATATGTGAAAAGTTACACTCCCCTTGATACTCAAAACGTCTCTGCATACCTACTTTCTATTATAGATGAAACTACACATGCAGTAGTTTAAAGTGACTTATAAGGAAATAAGCTGTTTGAACTCCATTAAAACAATCGTTAACACATTTACGTCTCATTTCTCGACAGCTTAATTTCAGCTTCATCTTACAAGGCAAAGTATTGAACGCTAGCTAATGATAAATCATAAAGATGAGATTTTTTTTTTTTTGTGACTGAACAAGAGGGCCCTATGTTTGCCTGTTCGGCTTGTTAATAACACCTCCTCCATTGACAAAGCAGCAACCGAGGAATTCATTATGCAGTGCTCAGTCATGCTTTACATTTGATCATCTAACACCAAATAATTTTTCTCTTTTAATTAGGAAAAGCAATTATGAGGTCTTGGCTTCTTTATCACCTCTTGTTGGTTTCTTTTCTTTTCCTGTTTTTTTCAGCATCCGGCACGATAACAGCAAGAGCTTTATAATTGCATGTAGCCCTGCAGTTTATTAAAACACTTGACTCCTCAGTACTAAACCTCACTGATGTGGTTGTAGAGAGACTATTGATATATCAGTGGTGGCTGGTCATGTAACTTGAACTTTCCTTATCTAGTTAATATGGTAACATAGTGAGCAAAGTAACATTTTCTCATTTGTTTTCTTTTGGAGTGCATTGTGACATCATGTTAATACAGTCTACTGTGAACTCAAGGAGAGTAAAACTGGTAACATGCAATATCAGTGAGTCATAGCCTTATATGGTATGTAAGATGTAGGCATTATCAATTTATCTACATTTGCACACCAAGTCTGTATTTTTTGTTCGCATTTAAAAATTAAATACGAACCCATGTTGTGTCCCAGTCTTGTTTTACACACTAACTTCGTCATTAAAGTTTTCGGAACAGGTTAATTTTCTGTTTTTTGTTGCATCTGTCAAAACCATTTCGAGATTTGTTTGACCAAGAAGCAGTGAAGAAAATGCAGCGTAACCTGCGGGACCAGCCCTGTTTTCACCAAACTCTTTCGGTATGGTACCTTTGGAACCAAAAGTACCCTTCTGACATGGTACCTAGACCCTAGTGTTTCCACCCCAAACAGTACCCTTAAATGTGTGCGGGGTTGTTTTCACTCACTGCTCTGTCTAGCACTCACTGTATTTCCTCATTATTGGTGACACAGAGGGAAGTCTGCACTGACATTCTCAGAACAAAAAAGAGCAGGCTGCAGTGAGATTCTCTCTCCATGGGATATTTGAAAATAGTGGGTTTGTGCATTAAGTTCTTCTCAGGCAAGCTCAGGGGTTTAGCGTTGGCATAGTCCACAGGAACAACGCTTTGCAATGCTTTTTTGTGTGAGGATTAGAATATGCAGTTTACATAACCCAGTCAAGATTAAAATATATTCATATATCATTACTAAAAGTACATGTCATACAAAACTAATGGAATGGTCAAAGTTATCACAGTGAAATTTAGGGTGTGCTGATGGATTCAGGTCATCAACTTGTGCATTGAGTAACATTACAAGTTAACTTTCCACCTTAAAAGTCACCGGCAGTCGGCCCAGTGAATTAAGTTATTTTTTTCTCAGACTCCAGCTGCTGCGAGAGGCAGCAAAACATGCTTTCATTTTATAGTTAGTCTGCTAATAAAACTCTCCACAGTATGAACAGTGTTACATGAGCTTCAAAACCAGCCACAACTCAGCCCTGAGCAGAGTGACCGTCGGCTATTGACCAATCAGACTGCAATGTTCACAGCTCCACCTTTTAGTACCAGATCTGTGTGCTACTGTAGGTACCCCAACAGAGGGGGGACCAAAAATGGGGACGGTATGGAACGGTTCTATTGGTACCATCCACAACTTTTTACAGTGAAAACAGAAAAAATGTGTACCAGACTGAATTGTACTGTACTGCTTGGTGGAAATGGGGCTTTAGATCGGCAAGAAGAGAGGAACAGGGCAGAAGAGGAGAGGTGTCCAGAGAGTATAAAAAGTGGAAAAATATGAAGACAGTTACCTTCTTGAAATCTACCGCGTCAAGAAGACGGTAAGCCAGGAGGTAACTCCAGCCGAGAGAAGCAAGGGAGCAAACGTGTCTCTCCATTTTGCCTCGTATTTTGCTTTGCCCGATTACAAAAACACAAACGAAAAGGTGTGCAAAGGCCTTAAGATCTAAGTGCTGCTCCCCTAATGTCTGAATCCCAGTGTTAAATCTGTCCCTCTGCAGTATTTTTTAAAATGTTCAGACTTCTTTTACAAAAAGAGAAATATGTCTCTTCAATTCATAACTGTCTAAGCTGAAAAATATCAGTTTAAGTAGCTGAGTGAGTCATACGACATTTTAAGGATTATTATACCTTAATGTTGGAATATTACTGCTTGAATAAGCATCCAGCAACAAGCTCCTTGAGTGCTGCATGATGGCTCAGTAATGGAAGCAAACTTGGTTCAATCATATATTACAGACTAACATTATTTTCAGATTTACTATTGAAATGATGACAGAGTAGTTATAGTTAAAAACCCTGTAGAAACACCGTTTACCTCTGCTGGTAGTGAATATACTGCAAGCACTGAACAATATGAGAAGTGTGTGCCTCCAGCAATATTTACACTGTTGGTTACAACCTTCTCTGGGGTTGGGTTTGTAATGTTTTGCAGCTCCAAATAGAGCCATGTTTGTTGTGTTTTGTAGGGCTGAGTGTTAGTGCCAGAGCTGCAGTCACACTGCTAATTATGGGACTCAGGGTGTCAATACAATACTCATCTGGAATTGAAAGCCATTTTAGGTTAGACAGCACAGAACAAACTGGAAAATAGTGTACAATAATATACTGAATGTTTTTGGTCTGATACAGGCCTATGCATATTTGTATCATGACAGTGAGGGTAGGATGTGTAAATGACCTGTGGTAAAGTCGCCTCCATCTTACCAGTGCCGAGATCTCCCTGGTTTTATCTCACCTGGCTCTAGGGCTGTTGCTCCAACTACAGAATGTACTTTGGTGTTTTCATTTGCCCGCCAACACGTACACAAAGAGTAGAAGTAGATCAAGGGAGAAAGACGCTCCTCTCTTTCTTTGTCTCTCAAACTCAGACCAAACTCAGATCAAACTGTAAAACTAGGCAGTACTGATCAAATATAAACCAACTGTTACTGGAATGCCCAGAAACATACTTTAGCGCATTGTTTGGCTGTAATATGAGAAATTAATTGAACACGAAGTAGGCACCATACTGTTTCCTGCACAGCGAGGCTGAAAAAACTGAGATCAAACTGTAAAACTAGGCAGCAGTGATGAAATATGAACCTAGATTCTGTTACTGAATCACCTTTTTCTTTTCCGTTTACCTGCCATTTGCTGCCATATTGTCTCCTGTATCAAAACGACCAAGCTTGTGTTAGCATTCATTGGTCTGGTGTGGCGCCATGCATTCTGGTAGTTGTAAGTTAAGTTGTAAGCCACAGCACTTTTCCTCTGTTTTCTCTGGTCATGTAGCACCAATTTCAAAAGTATTTGTGTATTTTGTCTCTCTACTGCACAGACAGCCGGGTTTCATAAGACGACCATCTTTCCAGCAGTGAAATATTTCTTTAGGATGAAAGGGAGGCAGAAAGGCTGACTGAAGGATGCATTGGCAAACCCCAGTGAAACACAGTCAGCACTTTTCAGTACTGAGTGAGAAAAATATCAGTGTTACTGTACATCTTTGTAATTATCTGATATTGCAGTTTCTATTTTGCTCCGTTTTTTTTCTTTCATGTAACCCAACCGCCCATAAATCATGACAAGTCAGCCTTAACATAAAGCAATTGCACTGCCTTGCAGATACAGACGTCTTAAATCCACATGATGTATAATTTTGCATTTTTCAGGGCTTTTTGCTGTCTCTCTTGATGCAGTAAGCAAGCTTGGAGGTTATTTTTTCATGCTGTTTATAAAATTTGCCAAAGTGAGAGATCTGTGACCCGTTCCATCTCCACTTATATTATTTTAATGATGGCGGGGAGTTTCAAAGAGTGAATGACTCGCAGCAACTGAATTTTTATCTCTATAAAATGTCCCTGATTATACATCAAAGTAATTATCGAGTCTCACACTGTTTCACAGTCCCTTACTTTCATAGATAAGACATCAACTTAACATTAGCTCTTACTTGAAAGTTCAAAGCTAATAATGTATTTGGCATTGAATGGTTGTCTGTAGAGTAAATGGAATCAGTGGGAATAAAAAAGAGAGAGCTGAAAGAAGCTTTTTAATTCCCCACAAAGAACTGTCCTCATAAATGGTTGCGAAAACCTTCACTCAGTCATTTAGCGTGTCCCTGGACTTGTATTATTCCTTTCTCCTCCATAATCTAATAAAGTGAATGCCAAAAGGAAATCACTGTGACATTGCACTTGTTTCTGCAGTAATTTTAGTTCATTTTGCAACATTTTACTGTTTCTTTCCTTCTATCTTTTCCCCAAACAGCGCTCGGCCGGTGACATCATGATCCGGAACATTCAGCTGAGGCATGCTGGAAAATACACCTGTGCGGTTCAGACCAAGGTGGACAGCGTGTCTATTGCCACAGATGTGGTAGTCAGAGGTAAGAACGTCCCTCACGCTCCATTTTAAAAAGGAATTAAAACCCTTGCAGTCACATTAGTTGTGCGTGAAGAAGTCATGGCACAGTGACAGTGTGAAGCTACGTTTAGCCAAGCCTCTTCTACTACAAACCCTCTGCTAGCCAAGAATGTCACTTTCCATCATAGTGAATAAAAGAATATCAACATGAGCGCTGTAACTGAATGCATGGCAGAAAAAACAAACCTTCACGTTACCACTCTGCTGTACATCACAGTGATTAAAAGCTTATAATAATAATATCTCTGTTGTGCTAATGACACACAGATCCATCTCTCTGCCAAACCCAGTCACCTAAGTCAACTTCTTTCTCCTAGGCCTGTCACAATAACTGTTATCAACTCGTCACACTGTACACCGACATGACCTCAATCATTTCTGCTGACCTCAGTGTCCGTTACGCTTACATCTGTGTTTGTTTACATATGATGATACCAGAAACACTTGGATGGACAGCCTAAGCATTTTTCACTGCCCCTAAAGCCAAATAAACAATAACAGAATATGCTGAGATGTTGCTGCTTCTGTCCTTTCGTCTGCTGTCTGTGCCTGACTCTCACCGTGGGCGGGCCTCAGGCAGCTCCTCCTGACGGCTACTGACCAGCCAGAAAGTTTGAGATGGACTTGGTTTCAAAGTTGCACCTCACAGCTGTGGTGTGGGAGCATTTTGGGTGTCAGCTGAATGAGAGAGGAGAGCCCATTAATGTGTGTTCTGTACACACAACATTTGCACATCTGTCTGTCCTGAAAGAGGAATTCCTCCTCGGTTGCTCTTCCTGAGGTTTCTTCTATTTGTTCAAAACACCAAGAGCAGTTTATCAAATCCAAACCTTTACGTAGGCGGTCAGGGTTCATACACGCAAAGGCAGTCGGCAAAGGCAGAAAAATCCATTCAAGAAAATTACACAAAAAGCCATAAATCCAAGCAGAGTCAAAAACCAAGGAATCAAACACGAGGAGAAGGCCAGAGAGCATGAACACACTAGGGTGACAATGACAATCTGGCAACTGAATGTGGGAAACACTGGACTTTAAATACACAAGGGCTGTGGCTACGCACAGGTGAGTGAAATAAGACACAGGTGAAACACATGAGGTAATCGACAAAGGCGGGAAAACTCAGGAAGTAAAAGAAACACTTAAAACAATGAGAACACATTTCAGAATAAAACAGGAAGTGGACACAAACACATGAACATAAACTTGATAGAATATCACAGTGAAGCCCTCTGAGGTCATTTGGATGTGTGATATTGGGCTATATAAATTGAATAGAATTGGATTGGATTGGATTGAACTGAATTGAATTGAATTGAATTGAATTGAATTGAATTGAATTGGATTGAATTGAATTGAACTGAATTGAACTAAAAAGAGCAGCAACAAAATGGCTACACAACTATTCTGTCTATTGCCTGTTAGGGAATGAATGACTCTCTGACCCTGTGCCAAATGTTTAATATTTATTTAATTGCAATTTTTATTAAGTGAGCCAAAGAGTCCATTTTATTTGTTGTTTTAGTTTTATTTTATTTATATTTATTTGTTTAGGATATATATATTTTTTCATATCTTAATTTCAATGTCTGAATACTCTAAAGAAATAAAATTCATTGCCCTTTGAGATAGTGCACTAGTATTATTAGGCTATTATATTATTATTATATCAGTGGCATAAAAAGGTCTTAAAATGACAATAATATAATTTATCACAATTATTTCTGGGACAATTTATTGTCCAACAAAAGTTGTAATCGTGACAGGCCTACTCCCACCATAACTGCTTAGCTGCCACCAAATATTCAACGTCTCTCCTAAAATCCTTCACTTAAACCCTAACAGAACAGAAATTCTTTAATTCAGAATTGATAGCTTTCTTCACGTCATTTAAATATCAAACCTGACGCTAAGAATCTTGGTATCACCAGTATATGACTTTTATTAAGCTCATCCAGTCCTGTTTTCTTCAGCTAAGAAATCACAAACATCACATGTATCTTGTCCTTTACAGATCTTGAACCATTAGTTTACCCTTTTATTTTCTGTTATCTAGATTTTGTAATTCCTTCTTCACATGCCTCAGTCAGTTGGTCTAAATCGTATAAAGTTGGTTAATAATGCAGCTCCCAGGCTTTTAACTAAACCTTACCATTGGTCTCATATTATACCTTCTCTTGCATCCCGTCATTGACCTCCTGTTAAATTCAGAATATACCATAAAATCCTGTTGATAACTTTTAAGGCACTGCATGATCTTGCCCCCAGTTACATTTCCGATCTCCCGTTCCTTATTCTACTTCTTTAACACTCTGATCCCCAAATCTCGACCTTTTATCCATCCCCGACTCCGACTACCAAACAAAAGGTGATTGCACTTTTGCTGTTTTAGCCCAAACCCTCTGGAATCATCTTCCTCAATCTGTCAGATTTACTGAATCTTTGGGCTGTTTTAAATAGCTTCTTAAACCCCATTTTTATAAGCAATCCTTTTTATACATCTCCATCTCTGTCTCATGGTCTGGTTTGTTTTAGTTTGGTCTGTCTTTCGTTGTCCTGTGTTTAATATTGTCATCTATTTTTCTGTTTTTTATTGGTCCACTTTTATTGTTTCATGTATGCATGTAAAGTGCCATATAGACAAAGCTTTACTCACTTACTTCTCTTTGCCCGCTCACATAAAGCCCTGTACGGCAGTGGTTCCCAAACTTTTTGGTTTCTGAGTCACATACTGTGTGTTTATGAGTTCTGAATTTGTGATTTCCCTTTATAATGTCTTTTAATTGTTTCATTCATTCATGTTTATTGGAGGTAAACTGTCTTGTTACTCACAAAAAGCAAAGATTAGAGAAGAATAAATTAGATTTTTGCATGTTTTTTCTTCTTTCTATCCTGTTAATCATCTCGTGACCCCTGTGTTTTAACTTGCAAACCTTTGGGGCAATTCCAATTCATGTTAGGAACCACTGCTGTAGGCATGTTATGTCCTTTTTTTAAATTTCCTGAATTTTAGTACAGTAAATTGCACTTCAGAAAAGCATTACATGAGATACAAAACCTGCTTATTTGTTCCTCTATTAGATTTATTTTTGTTCTTTTCTGCCTGCAGTGTAACAAACTGTATTTGGCTTGGTTATAGTTTAGTACTGCTCTCACAGCTGATCCTCTGAATCCTCTTCCTAATCAGTATGTTACATCTGCTTTGCATGGCCACCTACTCTGCATCTCCATTATTCTGCCTCTTGTCTTCATTCATCTCTACAGTATAGTGTATCAGCCTGCATGAGGGAACTTTGACTAATTATCCTCACAGGTCCCCCAGGCCCGCCTGTGGACTGCCAGGTGACTGAGATGACAGAGACCACTGCCTCTCTGTCCTGGGGACCCGGAATGGACAACCACAGCCCCATTCTCAGCTACACCATCCAAGCCAGAACGCCCTTCTCTCTCGGGTGGCAAGCCGTTACCACCGGTAGGCTGGTTTCATCTGACAGTCTGAGTGCAGGTTGTGTGAATGCAAAGTTCTTCGCATAGATAAAAAAGAGAGAGGCACGTGGGCGTGACTGGTATCCTTTTCAAACCCCACACATGAAGTGACAGTAAATAACACATCACCAGCTTGGCTAACTTTCAGTGGCAGATCTTGCAAGGTTTTTGATGAAAGGTTATTTCTGTGATGTCTCTCAGTTCCTGAGCTGCTCGGGGGGAAGCAGCTGTCATCTACTGTCATTGACTTGAGTCCCTGGGTGGAGTACGAGTTCAGAGTCCTGGCAACCAACAGCATAGGAACAGGAGAGCCCAGCAAACCCTCCAAAAAGGCGCGCACCAAAGAAATGCGTATGTAACAGAAGCTCTTTACGTTTCCTCTGCTGCCAACAGTGACACTAATTGTTTGCAAATGACGTCCATTATATACAGAGGGATCCTACTTCAGGACGGTAATTAGATCCCTCAATATAACTTTATTGTACTGGTGTATTTCTGCTTCCTCAGAGGCGCTCAACACATGAATGAATTAAATTCACAATAAATATATTGATGCCTGGCAGCTTCAGTCTGACAGTTTTACCTGTGTGAGTGTGTGTGTGGAAACAAACACGTCTCTTTCAGGGCCGTGCAGAGACAGTACATATACTATATACAGTGTCTTTGGTTGAGAGCCATGATGCATCAGATGCAGTCAAAGAAGGGGATTTGAAGGAGACTTAATTTTAAATTTGACATGAAATTACACATTAAAAAATCCCATCATACATTATATTGTCTACATTGTAATGCATTTGCTTGAATATACAAACTTTTTTTAACACTGTGGTTGATGTGTAAGTTCCCAGGGTGACACCGGCCAGAGTGAACGGCGGCGGTGGAGGACGTTCAGAGCTGGTCATCACTTGGGAGGTAAACTTGTATTTACCAGGGTTCCTGCAGATCCTTAAAAAGTCTGAAATGGCATTGAATTCATTAATCTGAAAAAAAAACAAGGCCTTAATTGGTGTTTTAATGATCTTAAATGAATCTTTTAAAATGCTCAGACATGGAAAGTAGAATTTCAAAATATTTGGTAACATCTATTTTGAGCAATAGTTTACTGAATGCCAGTCACGTTAACATCAGGCAGATCAGGATAGAGGCACCAACAAAACTCATTTTGTTTCCAGACAGGATATTCAAAGCTGAGGATGCACTGACTGTTAGCCAGCTGTCAATGTACCTTTGGTGACAATAACAGCTACTAACCAAGATTTAGCTGCATGGCTGAAACCACTTCAAGGCTCAGTGTATTTTATGCAAAAAAGTTTTTCAAATTGGTCATGAAGGGAATCAAGGCAGTGGAATCCCGTATGTAGAGGGAGAAACACAAAATCGCCAAGAAAACCCACCAACAAATACAAAGTTTTTCCGTAGTATCACTGTTCTGCACTTGTCTCCGCCATGTTTTATGTTACAATAAACATTTGGGCAAAACTGTCCCTAACCCTAAGTTATTGTGGGTTCATTTTTATTTTTTCTTCAGTTTGGTTATTGCAAAGTTGGTCTTTAATTTCATTTAATTCAGAGTGGCATTTAAAAGGTCTTAAATCCAACTTTCCTCAAGCTGTAGTAACCCTGATGTGCTACATTCAAGTGCACTCTTTAAATTGAATTTAATGTAAAAAAAAAACTCACATACATTTGACATATATATGAAATGCATGATTGAAACAGTGATGAAATATTGACACTTAATATTTGTTAGTTCGTTCTGACTTCACTGTGGTTTGTTAATGAATTTTAATGTGAAATTGAAACATACAGTGTGAAGAATAACTTCACAGCTGTGTGTGGATAGCTCTATTTTATTCCTCCTCAGTATAAACCCTCTTAACCAGACAGAGTGATAAGTTGCAAGGCTTGCAAGTACAGTACCACCCTCAGCACTTTTCCTCTAAGTGCCCTAATCCGTGCATAGCTGCATTTCTTTAAGGTATTAATATCTTTAAGATCAGTCATCTTGAGTCATCCCTCTGACTCATACCTCCTTTAGCCTGTTCCCGAGGAGCTGCAGAGCGGTCCAGGCTTTGGCTACGTGGTGGCATTCCGCCCACTCGGGGCACCAGGCTGGATGCAGGCTGCTGTCACGTCCCCGGACGCCTCTAGATATGTCTTCAAGAATGAGAGCATCCCTCCTTTCTCTCCGTACCAAGTCAAAGTCGGGGTTTACAACAACAAGGGAGAGGGCCCTTTTAGTCCAGTGACCACTATCTACTCAGCGGAGGAAGGTGTGTTCTTTTAAAGTATACAGCAAAGCATGTTCGACACAGTCATTACAGATCAGATTAGTTTTAGTCTAACAACATTTCAGATTTTTTTCACCCCCCCAACTGACCATTTGTATATGAATTACTCACCCCGTGCTGCGTTATATTTATTAAGAAAACTCTGTAACACTTTACCTGAAGGTATCTACATAAGGGTGACATGACACTGTCATAATTATGACATGACACTGTCATGAACATTATGTACATGTCATAAACGTTTATGACTGCTGTCATTTAGTGTCATTCAGTTTTTGTAATGATAAGTTGTTTGGGTTGTCTTGACCAGGATGACATTACCAGAAGATGTGTTTATGTTAATGTCAAGTTGTCATAATAAGGACATCCCAAACAAATTTAATGTCAACTTGTCATGAAAAAGACAACTTCTGGTAATGTCACTTTGATTAATGTCAAGTTGCCATAATCAGGACAACCCAAACAATGTCAACTTGTCATTACAAAAAACGAATGACACTTAATGACACCGGTCATAAACGTTTATGACATGTACATAATGTTTATGACAAGTTCATGACATTGTCATGTCATAGTTATGACAGTGTCATGTCACCCTTATGTAGATACCTTCAAGTAAAGTGTTACCAATAAGTCTATATTTCTCACATGCCTCTAGTGAACTAAGAATCAAAAATTCTTGATTAATTGAAGTTAAAAGAATCTGCAACTTTGGTGTTTTAAAGTTTTAGATCAGATTCACCAGAGTCACACAATAACACACATCAATTGAGGCAGCGTTAGACCAGCAGCTCCCATGCTCAGTGAGGTAAAATTACTGTTTTTGTCAATAGAGTCTGGCTTTGAAGAGAGCATCAATAAATTTCACTTTCAATTTAGTTCCCCATCAGAAAGGTCTGTCTGTTTGGGAAGTACTGAGCAAACAAATGGATAAATGCTAACTGTAAAGCTATGCAAGACAAACAAAGTTTTCTCCGTGAATTCATCATAACGCAGGGTGAGTCATCTATATACAATTAGTCATTTGTGGGAGGTAAAATATTCCTTTAAACACCCAGTGCTACAAAGCCACAAGTACACCAACAACTCTTTACTTAACATTCCAAATAACTGTCACCAAAAGTGAACACTGGGAGATCTTCTGTCACATTGTTTGAGTCTAAAATCCTGTTTCCAAACACCCCGAAAGGCTGAGAAAACATATTTTCTCCAAGAGTTTCATACTATGATTGATGTGCTCCTACCAGAGCATAAAACACTTCCACCAAAGTTCAAACAATTTGGCTTATTTCACACTGTGTGTCTGTCTGAGCTCCTCTCACTGGTTTGAGGTGGGCAGGACTCAGATGGAAAAAGAAAAGTGATGTTACACATTTCCAGGCACCGGTTGGGATTCAGCAATATTTGAGCCAAATTTTGTTGAGAGTTGTTTGGTTACTTGCTGCTACTGAGACAGCACTGTCAATCTTATCTGATCAAACCACACCAACACGGAATGATGAAGTAGATCAGCTTAGTTGTTGATCGGTAAACTCCAAATAAATGATGACAAAGGATCTGTTTTCTGAACTCAGTCTTAAATTGTTGGCATTTAGTCATGAATATATGATGCTACAGAGAGATAGCAGGGGCTGTTACTTTTTATTTAGTAGACTTTCCAGGACTTAATATCGGAGCACTCACTCCTCCTCACGCATTGATATGGATAGATTGGATAGAGCTACAGTGCATTCAATAAGTCATCCTGCAGATGTGGGTGGAAGTGAATCTGTGTCTTCCTCCTTATCTTGACTATCCTGTGTGCCTAACAGAGCCCAGCAGAGCTCCAGGGAGGCTGAGGGCAAGGAGTGTATCAGCGTCCGAGGTAGAGGTCACCTGGAAGCCACTTGCCTGGAGCAACAACCGCAGACGCATCCTGGGCTATGAGGTCAAACCAACACTTGCCCACACAATAAGAATTGTACAAATGTAGTGCCAACAGCTAGTGGCATAATATCTTGGATAACAGTGTGATGACCTTTTTGTACTAGTAGCTGTATAATTATTCATTCATGGAGTAAACTGCAGTATGTGAGCACGATGAGGCCCTTGGTGGTTCAAGCCCACAGTAGAGCATATGGAAGTATTAAGTAACAAATCACATGGAAGCTGATAAAGTATAATGTGTGTATTTGCTGTGTGTTATTTAGTTGCAGTACTGGGGTGAGAAGAAGAAGCAGGACACAGCCAGCGTGATCAGGACAGTGGGGAATAAAACTTCAGTGCTCATCAGGGATTTGGAGGGCAGCAGTACCTATTACATGTCCCTGCGGGCCTATAACAGCGCTGGAGTGGGTCCACAGAGTGTCATAGTCAATGTCACAACTAAGAAACCACGTAAGGACTTTGAGCATAGTGAGGAGACTGACTGTGACTTTTTGTGCATGACTTTTTTCTTTGTTTTAACCTCTGGCTAAAGGTGCATGGTCCATTTGGTATATAATTATTTTAACCGATGACGTTTCACTAATTATTCGTGAAAGTGGGGAATAACCACTACACAAGAGCACCTTAAAGGGGCTGTTGACCCCAAAATCATGAAATACATATTGTTCCTCATATCTGTAGTGCTCTTTATCAGTTGAGATTGTTTTGGTGTGAGTTGCTGAGTGCTGGTGATGTCGGCCGAGGAGATGTTCACCCTCTTTCGAATATATTAGAACTAGTCGGCAATCAGCTTGTGGTGCTCAAAGCGCCTGAAATATACACTTGAAAAGCTCAACAGCAATGTCTTTTTCCAGGACTCATGACTGAAGATAATTCACAGACCTTGTTGTGAGCAGATTCATGTAGGAACTATTTTCTACCGAACTACAAGGCCAACAGTACCACTGCGCAGAAGGAAGCGTGCATCTACTACTTACTCACCTAGCACAAATGGAGTGACGCCTACGAGCAAGTCAACTCGAGTTGTACTGATTCATACACATACGTTATATGTCACCCCCTTCATGTCATCCACAAAACACAAGTTACAGCTCAGCTCATTAGTGTTTACATCTTGCGCTGTCACAAGCGCGCTGTCCATGAGTAGATGCATGCTTCCTTCTGTGCTGTGATACTGTTGGTGGGTTTAGTTTAGTAGGAAGAAAATAGATCCTACATGAAACTGCTCACAACAAGGTCTGTGGATTCTCTTGCATAACCATGTCATGATTTTTGGAAAGAGACATTGCTGTTGAGTTTTCCAAATATATTTTTGGCACTCGCAGCACCACAAGCCAAGTGCCATCTACTTCCATTATATTCAAGAGAAGGCAGACATCTCTGTGGCCAATATCTCTAACACTTGACAGCTCACACCAAATCAATCTGGCCTGATAAATAGCACTACAGGTAAGAGGAAAAAAATATATATTTGATTTTAGGGTGAACTGTCCCTTTAAAGGTACCACATGAAGGTGTCTTGTTTATCCACTGTTGTATTTATTTAATGCCCACGGTTCAACTCGCGCCAGGGGACCCTCGTTGGATGTCATACACAGCTTTCTGTCCCTACATTTGTAGTCTTATCGACATGAATAGTGTGAGACTGAAGGACGTCATGTAGCACTCCTGTCATTTGATAGACATGCAAATCTTTGATGTAAATGCCAGCGTAATTCACAGTCACACTGTGCAATTTGACACACAGACTTTGCTGGAAAATAATGAGATGCTTCCTGCTGAGCGATTTCCTGCAGTTAACTCCTCTTTATATTGTTTTCTTCCTCTATGTCACCTGCATGCCAGTAACCATATACATGTGCATCTGTGTACATGCTTGCAGAGCATGAGATTCAAACAAAACAGTGACCCACTCGTCAAAACACTTCTATAAGGAGCCGCTAGTGTTTAAAAACTTCCCAGGGCCCTGACAGATGAGCAGCACCTGGTGTTCATATAGGCTAATAATGTAAATTAATATCACAGTTTTAATATCTCCACTGCACACTCGCATGTCTCTTCTTCACATCTCTTCATGTCACCTCATCCTCCTCACAGACAGCCGTACACTCACTCCCACACACATATTCCTAGAGTCGCCACTCGCTCCTAACAGTGGGATGATAAACTGATAATGAGAAATCTCCTTCATGCTGAGTTGGTTCTGGACTTTACTGTTTATCGAGCCGGTGGTTTGTTGTTTTTCTGCCTCCTCTTCCTCTCCCTCTCGTCCTCCTCCTCCAGCACCCAGTCAAGCCCCGGTCAAAATCATGTGGAACACTTCCAACTCCAAGGTCATCCTGAGGTGGGACCAAGTGCACGCTCTGGAGAATGAGTCAGAAGTCACAGGATATAAGGTAAGGCTTATATAAGGCTTTGAAAGGTGACTGGTTTTATAGATTGTAACATAACCGAGAATGACAGACTGTCACCTGCTCCATTTACTCCAAATGAGAGCACCGTTACTTTTTGACTGCACTCATTAATGAATACACTGATTTTGCTGATAAGTAAGGAAGCATCTAAACTTGTCACCGCTGAGGTAACTGCATTTAATTTGGAAGTGCAACAAGCCATGCACTAACTATTTCATACAGGATTTGTGGCGGTGCGATGTGTAGCTGCATATTCATTTAATATTGAAGACCTCCACAAATTGCCAACTCCCCTTAAAATAACAATCCCCTGGTAACCACAACTCCCACATCCCATTATTTTTAGCCACATAATTTCAGCCACAGACAAAAATCTGTTCTGATTGTTTTGTCAGGAGGGGAGTCATTATCGGAAATTATACGTTTTGCCACGAGATTGATTGTCATCTTCCCAGATTGGGACATTTGACTTTTCATGGCAACATCATATGCATAATACATATTTTAATGATTCTTTCAGAAATTGCATTTCAGATTGTTATGAATCCTTCTGAGGTGCCACTGGGTTTATCAATCTACAAAAAATAGTTCAGACATGAAAGTGGAGCCTCTTACATTTAGAATATGAAATTGTGAAATCCGGTGTCCATGTCACCTGCAGTCACTGCACATTATTCTGACTACATTAAAGGGGTCTCCTGAGAGTCGGGCTCACTGTATAATAGGGCATTCATTTTAGTAGACATGGACTACTCCCAAAAAAGTCGCTGTCTAGTCTGTAAATTGTGGGAGATTTTATTTTCATCCAATAGCAACAATCAGTTCTCATCAAAATGTCTCAAATACAGCCAGTAAAGGGTTAACTAATGTAGGTGGGACCTGCAGGGGGGTTGGTGAAATAGCAGAGTCCTCAACTGGCTCTGAGAAGCTGTTATCAAGTGAGCCACGATCTGATTGGACTAAAGCCCCAGCTAGCTTGCTAGAGATAAGAACTGTGCAATCCAGTACCTAAACCATACTATTTAGTATGCCAGAAAAGATTTAGTGTGTCCCAGTACATACTATGTCAAATATCTTATGCCAAAAATATCAGACTGTCTTACTACATCTGGTTGCATTCTTCAGTATGCAGGCCAGCGTGCACAATCCTCTGCATGTCACATTGCTTGAGTTGCACACAGATGACAGCTTGACAGTTCGTTGACAGCTGATTGACTGTTCACTGACAGCATTTAAATGACTAATGACCAGTGGAATAGTAATAACAGGAATATTAATTTTTTAAATGGACAAAATAATCAGAAATATTACAAACAACAAAAGGACATATCTATGAAAATAACGACAGAGAAATGCACGTTTTTTACTGTGATGTATATAGTATGTTAGAATCTACAATGTATGTAGTTATAACTTAAAATTTTAAATTACATTCATCGTAAAGTAACAACAGCAGAGCTCTCTGGGTTGACCTTTGTCTCTGGCGATTTGGCAAATGGCGTTTTGTGTTATCTCCAAGGTAACAGATATATGAGCATGCAAGGGTACATACTTTTTAAGGGCAGCTGCAGTACCTACTAAATATAAACAGAAAAAGTATGTGTTTGGGTGGACTCTATTTCAGTGCGTAGTCGCTAAAAACACAATAGCAAGAGGTGGGAAACCTGTTCAGATAAAGTGAAATGAAGTGTAATTAATAATAACCACGTAACAAAACAAACAAGGGTAGTTTTCCTAGCTGATGAATAATCACCTGCATGAACAGTAATGTTCATAATATGATTTTTTTGTAAGCCTAAATGACATTCATCAGCCTTCTATCTTGTCAATCTCCTTGACTTGACACTTGTTTGTTTGGGTCATGTGGTTGTGATGACAGAAACACTCCTCTCGCGGCTGAAATTTAGCGATGGGTCCAACAGATCTACTGGCTAAGATAACTGTCAAATGGTGTACAGACTCCGCCTACTCGACGTACCTCAGGTGTAGGAGCCATGAATTAATTTAAAAGGGAATGAATCTTGTAAGATTAATGTGTTTTGGGATGGTTTATGACTTTGTATTGTTATATGTTTTGGGATATTATTACTTTTTTTTTTTTTTTTTTGTGATTCAGGTATTGAGAGAGTCAGGTCACATGGGTTTGGGCGGTGACACTTACAATCTATATCAGCATCTTATCTTGACCTATGTGTGGGTTTTTTTTGGTTGGGGACAGAGGGTGAGTGGGATGCCGTATTTTTTGTTGACCGCACTTAACTGTGATCATCTTAATTATAAGTTTGTGCACATTATAATAAGTTGTTTCCTTTTCATTACTAAATTGATTTAATATGTTTTGAATCTCGAATCTTTTGTCAGCGTGTCACACAAGTTAACCGGCCCCAGCCTCAGCCTCTCAGCGACTTTTAGCTTGTTTCCTGCAGTCGCTACAGCAGGTGTCATCAGCGTGTTAACAGTTTAACAACACTGCTGTCTTGTAGGGACAACAGTAGTCTCTCCTTCTCTACCTTAAATTCTGTTTTTGTAACATGGCCTAACGTAGAAGACGATTGTTCACACAAGTGTAACAAGAGAGTTGGTCATTTGTAGAATAGCAGAGTGAGTGTGTGTGTAATGGGAGTGTGTGGTAGAAAGAGAGAGCTGTGAAGACATCAAGTGAGTGTACAGTAGAGTTTACAGTTTGTGCCCTAATTAATGCTGCAGCTCCTTAAGACCAGCAGAAGTTTCACTTGTGTTGTCATTCTGTTGACACATTGCCATTTCTTTATTACTGAATCGTGCTAAAGCCACAAGTGAGTAATTAGTCATCAGCCATGCACAGTGTCGACTAGTTGACTACTGTGTGAAACCTCTTGTGTGTATATTAAAACGTTCAGATGCATCCACATTCCAGAGTCAAGCTGCAGCTGACTATATTGATGCATCTCTACTCTCCCCTTATCTCTGCTGCACCCTCTCCTCTGGTGGTCCATCACAGCCATGTGCAGATATCTACAGTAAGATTCATCCTTGTTAGTTTGGGAGGCAGCACATTACATCTCGCAGTGCTGTCTGACGGAAACAAGAGCGAGAGCTCAGTTTTTCTTGTCAATGCATCAACAACAGGCAGCGCTCCCTGAAACCACTCTCATGATGTATTGTGTTCAGAGCGGCCTCACGCAGCACCCTCACGTTGTCCTCGTCTTTACCTCTCCACTGCCCGCAGGTGATGTACAGCCAGGACAAACACAGCCGCCCCAGCGTGGTGGAGACCAATACCACCTCCTTGGAGTTGTCGCTGCCGGTCAACCAGGACTACGTTATCCAGATCAAACCCTTCAGTGAGGGAGGGGAAGGCAGCAGCAGCCGCCAGATCACCATCCCCAAGATAGCAGGTGGGACAGCGCTGAGACATGAAACATGAAAATGATGTGTGTCTCTGTTTGTCATGAATTCAGTTGAGCAAGTTTGTAAAAAACCCAACTGCCATACTAACACACTACTGTTCTGAGCATATGAGGAATTACTTTGCCTACACTTTTCCCTCAACTTCTTTTGTCAACTTCTTCCTAAATTTAAATACCAATGTGTGAATGTAAAAATATGCACTGTGAACACAATAAGCTCCGTAGCTGCATTGCATTATGGCGTTTTCAGGCTGCTGCCTTTAGATAAATTGGTATCTCTGACTCCTCTATGAGGTGTTTTCCCCCCCATTAAATGTTGGTGCAAAATGGTGAGTCTTCAAATAAGCCTTTTGTCTTTGAAGCAAAATATGAACGCTGTGTTTACAGTTGTCTTAGCTGTAAAAATAAAGTCTCTTACCCACAGACTGAGAAATATATATCATCAAACAATAAAACGGGCTCAGACTTGCAGAGAATATTGGCAGTAGCTAGTTGTTTAAGAGTGTGTTTTTTTTTTTTTCTTTTTAATCAAACTATGTCTGTTGCCGTGCCCACCCCACGTGTCTCCAGTCTGGCTCTTTGAAAGCCATAACGGAGCGCAGCGTACCAGTGCCATCTATTGACACGTTTGTGTACTCACACCACACTGTGGCTCTTTGTAGTGAAGGCTTTTTCTAATTGGTCTGCTGTATTTTTTTTACTCTGATAATTACTCTGAGACCTCCATGACAAGGGGTCTCACTCAAGCCATGTTTACAGAGCAACATTCCTTTGTTGGATTTTGATCTGCTTGTGTGTTTCAGGCTCCATAGCCACGGGAGCAGCTCCGGAGTCTTCTTCGCTTCCCTTGGTCAACCTCGCAGCGTTAATCCTCACAGCCAGGACTGTACTATGACAAACATCTGCATTCACCCGGCACTACAGCTGCCTATGAAGAGGAGAAACAGCAGGTCAGAGACAACAAGAGGCTGACAGCCGCATTTCTACCTGCTCCCTTCCCTACCCTACTGTGTCTTTCCTCTTCATTCTACAAAGATCTCTTTCTGAGGAAGATTCTTTTCCTCCACCTTTCTGAAGGAGTTATTGAAAGGAACTGGCTCTTTCAGAAGTTGCTTTTATGGAAGTGAAAGGACACCGTGACTTGACTGCAGTCTCTTTGAAGACGTTTCTTTCTTTGCTCCCTTCTGACCAGTGGATATTCTCATACGGTTTTAACCTTTGAGGCCCAGTGGTGTGTGATGCACAATAGGATGTGTATATGTTTTTTTTTCTTGGTGGGGCTGTGCAGGTTCTGTTAAACGGATATTGTATGTACTGGACTTTTCTTGGATGCTAGGATTTTATCTTAACTAGGGATGGAGGAGACTTTGAATAGCTCATATTTATGTGAGTGAAGTTCTATTTAAGCTCGGTTTAAGACAAGAGATGTCTTCTCCCTCCTTCTCTTTGGACCGTCTTTTGGAAACTTCCTGCTCTGTCTAAGAAGGAAAACCAACTGTTACTAATCCCTGTCAAAAAACAGGGAGCTAAGCCTCATTGCTTTATGACAAACCAGAATTTGGGACCTTTGTAACTTTGCCTCGATTTTATTCATGCTTTTACGTTACACCACATTACATCGAAACCTCAGAGTTGCCATGAAACTGACTGTAACCAAAAGGTATTGAGCCGGCGAGGTTCAGTTCCACCTGTTGTATAATTGTGAGAAAATGCAGCGTGTATGCCCCCAATATGGCTTCCATTGTAAACAGCAGACTTGTGTTGATTAATTGATGTCTTACCTTCCTCCCTCGTCCATGATGAGTGTGTAACAAAGGCACGCTGAGCAGTGTGAGCCGCATTGTTGTACACTGTATGTATGAAATCCTCAGGTCCCAAATGAGCCTTAAGTCTTATGATTACGATCCATGTTGTTATGATTCAAGAGACGTTTTATTTATTTTTCCTCCTCTGTTAATCCGCATTGTGTTTTGGCTCACTCATGCTATAATTTATGAATAACTGACCTTCGCGATGTCGAGATTTTTCACTTTTGTTACTTTCTAGATCATATTTTTGGGCGTTTTGGGCTCAGAAACAACATGCCTTTCTCCTACGTCTTTCATGATGAGCATTGTAATACAGTACAAGTGGCAGTGGTTACTGACTTTTCTAACATAGCTTGCAAAGGAGGGATGGTATTTTACTGTCAGCTGCTGTTTGGCATGAGATTGGTCAGTGTGTGTACCTACGTTGCTAAGGATGTCTGAATGGATCAACCTGCTTTTAATAAATATAATGCCATTTTCTTCAGTTCTTCCTTTAATGTCAGAGGAGGCCAAGAGGCAGGAAGGTCGTGCCTCATCAGGCCATGTTGCTGTGTGAAGTAAAGCTGTTATGGTGTTACTTAGCGTATGGAGTTTGCTCTGAAAAAAAAAGTAGTGAGTCGACTTTGAGGTAAGTTTTTTTGTCAAACTACTTTTTCCAAGGTCATAGTTTTATTAGTGAAAGGTCACACTTTAAAAAGCTGTCACAGTTGAAACTGAAAATCAACATGAAACACACACACACATAGAATAGTAACTCTCAGTTTGTGTTATGTAGTGGCTGCTTTAACATACAAGGTCCTTGGCCTTGTGGAGACTTACACCTTGTTTCCACGCAGCTCTGTGTATGTTTGCAGGTCAACCAGCAATCATTTAATGCCTATGAGAACCTCCATGATCTTCGATGTGTTTGCAAATGTCGTTTGTCTTTTTTTTTTTTTTCGTTGTATGTTAGAAAATTGAACTTTTGCAGCAGATTTTTGACGTACTCTAAACTATATAGAAATACATACACAAAACAAAACTGTGTGGAAACAGGGCGTTAGTCTTCAACGTATCCCAGTTTTGACGTGGGACGGAGAAAACTTGAACAAGGTTTATTTGAGACTGGAAATACAGCAGGTAAATTCCTTCTAACTTACATTTTACCCGATCCACTATCCTCTTGATTTCCTATTCCTGGAAATCCTATTCCAGGGCTGAAAAATGAAGCCAACATGCAATTGCCAAAAACTGCAATTCTTTGGATGGTGACTTGAGGCTGGCTCCAGAAGCCAGTTAATCCCCACAGACCCCCATGTTAAAATGTCAAACTTTACAGTAGAAATTAACACCTTTAAATCCTGGTACAAAGAACGGTTTTGGTCTCTACAGCTAATTTCCCCCTTTGTGACAACTGTACGATGGGTGAATTTTTTCATAGCTCACCTGTTTACATTTTATTAAGGCTTAAATTTAAGTATAAGTAAGGGGCGGGCAGCATTGAGTGACATGCTGTCTGCTGATAGTGTCCTCGGCGTCTCAGTCAGATCCACCCTGCGCTCCTTCACAGCGCCAGCCTCTGGCCAAATATGGTCACTTCTGACTTCAGTCAATGCTTCAAAACTGGAGCCCACAAACAATGGGTGATGTCACGGTGGCTATGTCATTTACTTTTACAGTCCAGGGTTATTACATGCTACATAACATGGTCAAAAACTTACTGTGATTAAAATCTACAAAGACGTCACATCGTCTTCCAAGCAACACATTTTGCCACATACACTTGACGGCTTTAAGGCACTTTACCAGTCATAAAAAACAAATTATACCTGTAATCCAACACAGAAATAATAATTATAAGCAAAATCTTGGCATAGTCTACTACTATACACCATTCAAAATATACAGAAACTGTTGTATAAACTTAAATAATATCAGGACCTTTATGATATGTCACACCAACGCAGACACTTTGTGTAGGATATTGTTACCGCATTCACAGTTCTGGAAGCACTAACTCTAACCAAATATATATATCCTGTAGCTGTGTTTCAGACCAGCAAAAGCCTTTCAGTCCATTTCTCTTCACAAGAACTGATTCATTTCCTTGTTAAGTTTTGGCTTTCCTGGAGTAGGCGCTCACTTCAGTATTGCATTCAATTAAGATCACGACTTGATGGCAGACATACATAGACAGACTTTAATGCCATACTTACCATACTGCCATTCAGATATCTTGAGGTTAGAGGTCGAGGGACCTCTGTGAATATGGCCATGCTGTTTTTTCCTTGCCAAAATTTAACCTGACTTTCGAGCATTATTTAGCCCCCTTCCTGAGAAGCTAGCATAACATGGTTGGTCTAGCTTTAAAACTCAGCCATCCATAGCCTCTGAACAGGCCCAATGAAAACACATTTAAAGTTAAAATAAGATGGGAAACTGAGGGTAATCTGACTATCACACAAGGGGAATGGGAAGACAGTTTAAACAACAATGGAAAACAGCAAGCTCTCCATCCTGGAGAGGATTTAGTTGGAAGAATGTCATGCATAATTTCTGTTCTCCTGCCCAGAAAAAAAAATCTTACTCAAATCAGACAGACTGTTGGCCATCTTGTGGAGACAAAGAGGCAAATCACTTCCATATTTTTTGGGGGGCTGTCCCTCTGTAGCTCCTTTTTGGACTTAAATTCATGGCATCCTGGAAACTGTCTGTTCAACCAAAATCACTTTTAATGTTGAACTGATGTACCTGATCAGACTAGAGAAACTTTGATGCCATATAAGAAATCCCAAACCAAGAAATGGCTGAGGACATACGAAGTGTTGAAGAGTGGATTGACTTGGGATATATCAATGTAATGGAGAGAAACACCTTGTAGTGTAACCAGTTGCTCCCCATTGTCACTGTGTGTATGTTTTTATTTTTGTGTTTAATTACTTTTTCATTTCTTATTTAACATATTTTATTTTTTTATTTCATTTTTATTTCACTTCATGCTCGAAAGGTTTTCGTGTTCATCTGGTTGTGGATTTTGTATATATATATTGTTTTTATAAACCAAAAAAAAAAAAAAAAAAAGAAAATTCCAAAAAAAGAGAGAGAGATCAGGACGTGCCTTGGTAGTTTCAGAATTGTAAATTTTAATCTCCTTAAGCCGTTTTGTTGTAAATGTATTTCTGTGCTCGGGGTCATTGTCAAACTGTGTTCAACACTTTCAAATTACACCAGTGAAAGAGAGAAAGAGCAGCGCTTCTTCTCCCTTCACAGTTTCTCCTGATCAATTTCTTGCAAACAAATACTCATGAATGCAATCAATACCTGCAGTTCTATACCTGTAAACTGTGAATTTGTTCCCTCCTCGAGTCGTCTGGTGCTCTTGCAGTGATCTTCACACCCGCTGCCCTCACAGGGACCAGAGAATCAATGCTGAGTTTGTTCATGCCTCTGAAAGACCGGGTTTGTGTTTAACTTCAAAGTGTCTGTTGTGGAGAGCAGAAGCGTCACAGGGCAGGACACAGTGTCACCATGGTAACTCCATTATGTAACTACCCTTTCACTGACATAATGTATGTGTTATTTTTAATACAGATTGTGTAAACGTATGATTCAAACACTTTCTTGTAGCTGTGAGGAGTCTTTGTAGCATCTTAACTACTGCTTACTAACTACTTAACAGAACATTAATATGGCAGCAGATAAGTATTTGCTATGTAAAGACGGAGTGGAGTAATGCTGTTCTGGGCAGAGAATGAAGTCATGCTGCCTGTGTGTGTGTTTCAGTCCAAGCTGCTTTGTCATTCGTTGTAGTGGATGGTCCAGCTGTGCGTGCGTGAGTCCCTGTGAGTGAGTGTGTCCCATAGATGTATAATAATAACTAGATAGCAGACCCCAAGATGGTGTCTTTTCAGTCCAGTGGAGCTACACACCTGGCACATATGCCAAAAAAAGTTCTGAGCATCTGGGTTTGCTTCTGCAGTATGTGGCCCACTGATTATGCACAGTAATGTTTGTCTTGCTGGCCCTGTCCATAAGTACCTGCTATACATATAGGCTGTGTCCAAAATCACTCACTACTCACTGTATAGTCCACTATATAGTGAGTTTGTATAGTCAGAGGTATTATACCCTATATAGTGGTCTTAAAGTTTCCCACAATGCATTGTAAGAAACAGTGTACAACCGATGGTCAATAACCAAGCACTATATCCCATCATGCATTGCGCTGAAGGAACAGACAGACTGGTTGGGACCAGACACAAAGACGACGACAGGAGAGAGTGTTACTCCAATGCAACCTGTTTAACTTATTATGATATGTGGAAGTTTATTCGACCAGTCTCCTAGCTACATAATAAATTGTCAATTTAATATGTATTTGTCAGTCCCCAGAGAAAAATAAATTGGCAATTAAGATTTCTCTATAGCTAACATCACTGTACAGAAGAAGGCTAAAGCTAGCTAATGTTAGCATGCTGGGTTGCTACTACCCATGGTTAGTTCCGTAATGGTTTAATGCACAATGTTACACATTAAATTCACAAGTTATTACATGACTAACCAGTAAAACAAATTTCAAAATATCAAATGCTAAACGGTAATTTACATTAGTACGACAGGTCGCAATCGCGCCATTCTCTTTCCTCTTGTCCGACTGTCAGTATAACGTTAATAATATGTTTAATGTGAGCAACAGAACACAAACGGCCACAGAGTAATTCGTAATGTTATTTATTAATTTTAGGGGAAATACCTCCGCATAATATCATATATTTATCACAAATATGCATGTCGGTACTTGTTATGGATAGTTTACCAGCCAACATTTTGGGACGTTTTATTTGTTTGACGGCAATAATGTAATTAATGATGCAGAGAAAATGACTCGAGTAGTGTCCGAAGTGAAGTGTTTTTTCATACTGCAAATGAGCTCACTACAATGTCGTCTACATAGAACTCGCTAAACAGTGAGTAGGGAGTGGGGAATGAGTGTTTTCGCACACAGCCATAGACTTTACATTGCAATGACATCACTGGTTTTTAAATTGTTTTCTCAGTTCAAGGAAAGTTTTATAAACGTGAAACCCCCATTGATAAAAAAATGCATAGCAGAAAGAGTCATAATTGACCTTGTTTGCAGATCGAGATGGCCTCTCAAGAATTTTAGTGACTTTTATAAAAGGGGAAAGTGCTTTTGGGCCGCGGGGTTGGTTTTTTTTTTGGTTGTTTTTTTATTGCTGCAATACCAGGAGTGGCCTCTGGTTAAAAAATGAAAGCAAGACTGAGCTGTGTTTCTGGGGGCCTGGTGTATCCTACTGGCCGGCTCATTACCGTCATCCTGCTCTGTGCTAATACAGTGGTTACTGCTGATAACGTCGTACCACACCCACCTTCTAGCCCCCTCCTACGTTAACACCATAAGGTCTGTCAGCACTGTTGCCCTTGCACTGCTGGCTGCGTGCTGGCTCAGACTCTAATTTTAAATACAGCTCCTTCGAGTGTATTAATATATTCCTTTACCTTGACAAACCCTGACAACAGATGTACTTGGTACAAAAAAAAGAACTATAAAAATCTGAGGAACTAAAAACCTTATTTTATACGACATAATTTTTTCATGATTGAAAAATACAGTGGCTGCACTTCACTATTGGGCCTGGAGGACAAATACAGAGCAGCCGTAATAATAAGACAAACACAGATATGTGCCAGAGATCAAACAAAGGGATTCCCTTCTCATCTTGTTCTCTTTTTCTCTGTTCTTTATTCATTTCGAAGGAATGCAAGTACACTGTACAGCAAAGACACGGCACCAAGCAATGGAGAGCAGCAGAGCAGAGGAGATGAAGCTGCTCAGAGAGAGGAGGAGGAGGAGGGCTCTGTACAGAGGGGAGAGGGCTAGGTTTAAGGGTCAGCCGGAGGTCGTCCAATCAGACTTCGGCACCAGGTGTCTCAGCCACAGCCAAATGTCTCTGATTAATCACAGTCTGGTTATTATTTGACAGACATCCAGGGGCAGGCCTTTTCTGGACAGAGGAAGGTAAGTTTGACCTCACAGGTTGATCCAAGGATGATTTGGATAATTTCGCCTCGTAGTGAAGAATGTGAGGAGGATTTCAGCTGGGTGTGCTCGATGTTGTTGCAAAGCTCTCTTCTTGTTTGGTAACTGGTGCCCCCTAGTGTACATCAAGCCCATGGCCATTAACTACTTTACGTCTTCACAATCCACCAAACGGCACCGAATATACAGTACAAGGTATGCATGGCTGCATTTTTTTTTTCCACCTTCCAGTTTGACACCCACATCCATGATTAACCATCACTTTAAAGGATTCTGAACCAAAATATGAAACAACAGGAATTACACTACACATGTGAACAGTAAAGTTTAGTGTCTGAAAGCCAAAGCCGTACTTCAGTAATACTCTCATAAACCTGACATGACAGTTTCAACGTCGTCGATCTCAGTTGAATGAATCTGAGTGCATTGATTTGTATATAAAATATGACATTTGCAAGGAGACAGAAATTTCCAGGTGATGTTGAAGACACCGCAATTAAAGGGAAACCTCGCCGTGTCAAGTTTATGCGTTTTGACTTTCTGGCACCTCTGTAATTAAAAGTAGCTTGTTCATACAAATAGTTTCATATAAAATCAGAGTTTGTACAATTTGACTGCTACCTTAATTGGCACACTACATGGCATCCCGCTAACATTCATGTACCAAATGACACAAAACTAAAAGTTCAAAGCTTCTGCTCCTACTGTATATTTTATTTATAACACTGTACTTTGCTTGAAAGAGTATCAGAAGGGCTGTGATGCATAATAACCGTTACTGCAGGGTATATTGAAGGAGGAGGAAGGTATGTTATAGCGGTGAATAAATTTCAGTCACCACAACTGAATGTAGGCATGACAGGCCGACTTCATGTTGCTTTACAGGGAAATTAAAAGCTAATAATGTAAAATAACGTTATATAACAGCAGCAGTGGCTGGATTGAGATGAAACTTTTAAAGGGTTGTAACTGAAGGAAGAATCTGTAGCCACTGTGCTGTCACCTAAACCTGGGCATAACTAAACTAAATGTATTGTGTGCTTGTTATCTCCTGCCAGGAATCTTACTTTCTTTTTTACTTGTCAGAGCTCAGATTCGACTTCAGATTACGGATAATTCTGCCATTATATGTTGATCATCACGTTTCATCCTTCCCATGAGTGAATATCCATATTACTCAATTACAGTCCAATAATGCAAGAAATTCTCATGCAAACATTATCTCAAATACTAGTTTTACCGATGCAGCAGCCCGTTCTGTGACTTGAACAAGGGTGTGAGTCTACTCTATGTACTGACTACACAATGGCCAAAGTGTTATTATATACTGAAAGCATATCTAAAGGCTGTGAAAGGAGAGATAGTGGGCTCATTCTGGAACATCAGCATGCTCAGAAACTACATCGCCACCATTTTGAATAAATACAACGGGTACACTGTGTGAATTAACAGCTCTTAACGTCCAAACACATACGCAGGAATTCTCTAAAAGTCCAATCAAAGTCCATCAAGATGCTCGCACATCATGGTCAACTACATTTTACAGAAGTAAAACCTTTAAGGTGAGACAGATAAGAGGGAAGTATAGCGATCAGACTAGCTCCGACTTTGGTCCTCATGACAAACACTTGGATAAACACCATCAGGCGACCTTGTTGGCTCTACATGATCCGTTCTGCTCAGTGCATCGTCATCAGTCAGTGTGAAGGGGGCGGGATGAAGCTCATTTGTTCATTAGAGGGGGGAAACTAAAAGTAGGAATCGCTCTGTTCTAATTTAACTCCGCTTCACAGGATGCTCTAACTTTACTGGAGCTACATGTGATGGATTAAGTGTAAGCACACACAGTGGGGTTTATTTTCTGTATTTTTTTCCTCACACAGAGCGGGGATCTCATGATTTCTTGTTATTCAGTACAGCAGCAAAGACATGTAAATGACACTCTCAGGTGCACAACCTTTTTTGTCTGTTTTCCAATTAATGCGTGGGATGAGTACCAGCATGGTACGAGCTTTGGAGTATTCCACAGTCTGAATGAGTGCACAGATTCCCTCTGAGGAATACTGGAGCAAGTGGGTTGAACAAAGAGGCCCTGACAGGTTTGCAGGGAATTTAGTCGGATGGGACCTCTTTAATTGTTCCAGATGGTTGGAATTCTGGTGGCATATTGTCGGCCAATCAAGGACCACGAGTGTTTTCAGCATGACCACCAAATCACTCTGCTGAGCATGAATGATTCCAATAGTAAAATGTTTGAATTAAAACAAAACACAAGGGTTTCAAAGGAGTCTTGTTTCAGCTGTGTGTGTGTGTATGTGTGTACAAGAGGCTCCAATTGAGCGCCACTGGCAGTAGTCTTTCAGTAGGGATGGTGGGTGGCAATTTCAGGTCGGGCACTGACACTTCTGGTCCAAAGGGGGGCGCTCTCATCTCAGGAAATCAGGACTGCAGGTAGAGAAAGAAGAGGAAGTCAATCTTAAATCCCTAAATCTCACAGGAGGGTGGTGAGGCTAAATCCTGGCCAGATCTTATCTGTTGGAGTCAAGATGGCACCCGTACCTCTGATGCGCTGTGTCGATCCTCAGTGGACGATTCTGTTTCCCTGACAACAATCGCCTTGGTCACCTGCATGTCTGGATGCTGCTGCTTGGCTTCCTGTATTGCAATAGCCAGAGCCTGTGAGGAAAGAGTGAATCACAGGAAGGAATGTTTCACTTTTGTCAGGATTTTTGTTGAGTTCTGTGTTTTATGGCTGAAGACTGTTTTGTAGTTAAAGTTCTTCTTCAGTCAAACAATAGAATTGAAATTTAATATAATGTTAGTTCATGAAAGAGATTTTTTCTGCACTAGAAAGGACAATTTGAGACTTTTTTTAATGCTTAGAAATAGAGCTGAAATTATTAGTCCATTTATTTATTAGTCGCTGGACAGAAACATAATTTGCAGTTATTTTGTTTATAGTAATTATTCAAATAAATTCAAAATAATTTTTCAAATAAAATGCCAAATATTGTTTTGCACTTGCATAGCACCTCTCTAGTCTTCTTGACCACTCAAAGTGCTTTTACACTACTGAGTCATAGTCACCCATTCACACACACACACACACACATTGACACACTGGTGGCCAAGGCTACCATACAAGGTGCCACCTGCTACTCACGCTCCGATGGAACAGCCATCAGGAGCAATTTGGGGTTCAGTATCTTGTCCAAGGATACTTCGACATGCAGACTTGAGGAGCCAGGATCGAACCCCTGATCTTCCGATTGGTGGACAACTCGCTCTACCTCATACATTATTGTAATACGAATATCTGGGTTGACCAGATTGACAAACAGGGCATCCAAGATTTTATTTTGGCTTCTGGGAACCTGCGATAGGTATTTCTTTTTTTCAATTTTTTACTATTTTCTGACTTTTTTTAATTAATTTAATTAAAATAATAATTATTAGTTGCAGCCCTTCTTGCAACAAACAATTGTTTTTTTTATCTTTGTATAATTTTTTTTATTCCTTAATGTATTTGTTCAGTGTCAAGAAACGTATTATTGATCAGAGGAAGACTAATGTTTGCAAAAAATACATGCAAGTTATACTGTATGCAAGAATCCAAGGCATATCAATGACTTTTTAGCACAGTTATGTATATTATATATATTAAGTGTTTAAATAAAATGCAGGTTATAAATAGTCCCATTAGCAAAATAATAAACAATCAAAACAGACAATTAGAAATGTACTTACAAAGATCCATCCCTTTTCTGTGATATTTTGCTTTAATAGTTACTTTATTGTTTTTACTCAGCTTAATTTATCTGCTTTTATTGTCTTGTGAAGCACTTTGTAACATTTGGTTTAATATCATTATTATGCACATGGTTCCTTTGAGTTGAAGGTTTAATCCACAGTTCATTTTAGCTCACCTGTTCCTGGTCTACATCATCGTCTCCTGTGATTATAATCCTCTTCTCGATCCTGGTCTCTGAATATCCTCCTTTCACCGTCTGCAACACACAATGGCTTTTCTTTTAATAGCCTTCACAAGTAGAGCCCATATTTAACTGTATTCAGACAGAAGAGATGAGCCGCACCTCTTCAAGTTGCAAAACCCATTTTTATCATAATTTTACAGTAAACTGTGCGCTTTCTAAGTTCCACTTAAGCTTCTCTACCTTGGTGACTTGAGTGGTTGCCGAGGTAACATTTTCAGTGACGAGGATGGGCGACCCTGACGCCTCTCTGCCAAGACTGCTCATATGCACCTGAGAAAGCCGAACAGCTGGCAGCATTAGGCAAATAGTGTAAACATACAATATGCACAAATCATTACAGATTATAAATCATTATGTTTTGATATTCCAGGACATCCAGACACACATTCATAAATTCATGTCTGTGGTCTTTGTACACTAAGTAGGTTTAAACCCGAGAGAGCAGGCAGGCGTCTGTTGCGGGTCAAGTTGAAATTGAAGAGGTCACTCTGTTTGTACTCACAGGGGATACGCTCTGTCTCGTAGAATAAGAGACTTCACTCAGGCCAGTGAGACCATGATCCTGAAACAGACAAATTCATTGTGTGACTTGCAGGCAGGAATACTTTAGTTCTAGCTGCATTAAAGGTCCAGTATGTAAGACTGAGGGGAAGGTTAGTGCCATCTAGTGGTGAGGATTACAGATTGCAACCAGCTGAAACTTCTTGTGGTTAGAATTCCTTCAGTGTTTATTGTTCAGGAGGTTTTACCAAGAGCCAAATTATCCATAGAAGTCTCCTCCTCTATAAACAGACTGGGTGATTTAAACCGGTAAAGACACTAAATAAAGCAGTTTCACGTTACAAATCAGTGTTTCTCCTCACTGTTCCACTTGTCGGTACAAGGCCACTAGCCCAGCACTTGCTAATGTATGCTTGCCTCTTTTTTTTCTCTGATAACTTAGGCTCCAGGGAGGTTTTTACCTAGAGTCAAATTATCTGCAGGGGTCTTTTTTTACCCAAAACAAACAGACCCAATGATTTAACCCATAAAAACACTGCTAAAAGCAGTGTCACATAAAAGAAAATTGTGTTTTTCCGATGCTGCTCATTGTGGAGGGGCTGTTAACTACAGTGACTTGTGCGAAAACGCGAATGGCAGTGTTTGGTTTGTCCAATCTGGGCTAACGTAGAATCATGGCAGCTTCCATGGACAAGGACGGGATCCCTACTTAGATATAAACGGCTCATTCTAAGGAAACAAAAACAGGTGATTATACACCAAAGAAAACATACTTACTATGTTATACTCCATTGCTGCCAATGTATCCCTCTAAATCCTAGACACTGGACCTTTAAATATTCTTATCTACAATATTTCTCACTAAAATATAAAACCAACCTGATCTGTGAACTCCACAATGGTCGTGGTGACCTCTGACCCGTTGGGCTGAGTCTCCGTCCTGACGTCCGTCTTCCTCACTGTCGGTGTGGGCATGACATCACTGGCCTCCCTGCTCAGCGGTGTGATGGCAGAGACACGACCGGCTTCTCTGTGCGACTGTTCTCTGTCCACAGACGATGACACTGGCACTGACCTCTTTGGTTTTTTGGGTACTACAGGCTTAAGTCAGGGAGAAAAAATTAGTTTTAAACATATGACAGATGAGCTTGAAGGTCTGTTCCCTTTTATTTAAATTATAGTGGTAAATCAAGGCTTCAAAATGGCCCAGATTTAACTGCAAAAATGAAGACATTTATCTGAAGCCAAAAGAGCACAAAGCAAAAGACAAACAAGGGACTGCAATGTAATACGTGGCTGGACCATGTGTTTTGAGCTCAGTGCTTTAGGGAGATATTTTGTCAGTACTGAGATTTAAAAAAGAAAGAGAAAGAGGGAGGAGAAAAGATGAAGGGTCTTTCTTCACTACACTTCAGTGCTGCTTGATGAAGAGCATTCAACTCAAACCACATATTATTACAGCCACTTACTGTGTCCTTTGTCCGCTCCAAACTTGCCTTCAGCATATCAGAACCACCAATATATATTCAAAGTACATTTCACAACGTAGACTTTTATATTGTGCAGCTTTCTGACAATTCAAATCAAAAACCTAAGCTAACACCAGACACAGAAAAGCTCAATGAGATGTGTGACAAACACTTCGGGGTGTGATCACACCAAGATTTGTTGGTCTTTTTTGTTTTTGGTTTTTGTCATTTGAACCACAGTGGAAATGTTGTCATTGTTCTATTTTGGTATGTTTCATTCACGTTCACACTGACTGACTCCTGCACAGGCTTGTAAACAAAACTTGCTTGAACCCATCAACAGCTCGCTTTGGTGGCTTGTCATCACACTTTGTTGGAAACTTGGGTGGTACTAAGAGGAGGATAAGGTGGTGTTATTGGGGGGGGGGTGGTTGGGTTGTTGCTGTTGTTTTGGCAAAACATGTGCCTTCACCCTGTCATCTATTTCTTATGCACTTCTGGTTAAAACAAATGAAAATATAGCTATAAAACACTCAGGGTTTCATGGCCACGCTCACCCACACTGCAGTTTGATTGAAAGAGGACACATATTTTTAGGTGCCTAAAAATAGCCCAGTTCTTCTTACCTGCCTGAACACATCAAACCAAACAAGGAGGAACTACAAAGACATTTGATATAAAAAAGTCTACCTGCACATCGGGCCGTTTGACCTCTGGTCGGACTTCTTCGGCCTGGATATGCTTTACCGGAGGGCTGCTGCTGACTCCTCTGGACAGAGGAGCGGACACTAATGGAGGAGGCGGTTCAGGGGGGCCCTGCTGCTGGAGCAAGTCCATGCCAAAGCACAGACCCACATCAGGTGACAGATCCCTCTCCCCCAGCTCTGTCATGCCCCTGGAGAACTCCTCCATTCCCGTTTGCAGGTCTGTGAGGACGGTGAAATCTACTTCGGCCTCCAAGCTGGACGTGGAGCTGACCGTGATGCTGGAACATTTGCGCTCAATGCCCAGGTGGGTCTCCTTCAGGTACAGGATTTCGTGGTCCTGGTCATCCTCGGAGACGGAGCCCAGACGCCTTTCCCACGGTTCCCTCTGCATAGAAGAGGACAGAACATCAGATTTATAAAGTACAAATAAATTCACTTATATTATCAATAAAATAACAACTGCATTTTTGCATTCCTCTACAACCAGGAGACTGGTGGAGCTAAGAGACGACTCACTGAAGCTTCGTTGAAAGGTTCCTCGTGAATAGCAGGTGTGGGAGGTGTTTCCTGTGGAGGAAAAACAAACAGGAAGCAAACATTAAAATACTAAAATGTGTCAAGTCATAGAAACAATAACCACAAACCATGATACCAAACTATGCCACAGTATAACCAGTGTGTAATTATATCAGAAGAGAGTCACAAGGTTGTCTTTGTCACTGCATTAACATGTTCTATTTTCAGCACGACTCACTGCTGATAGAAACACAATGTGTCACATTAAGAGAAACAGTGTTCTCACAGCTTTAAAAGCTGTGAGAACACTGTTTCTCTAAATGTGAATTGTTCATTGCTAATTGTTTTTGAACTGGGTGGATTTCTCTACATTATTATTTATACAATATAAACACTTTAAGTTCCAGTGTGTAAGGTTTAGGCAGATTAAGCATATTCTCGCAGTGAGGATTGCAACCAGCTGAAACTTCTCCTGGTTAGAATTCCTCCAGTGTTCATTGTTCAGGAGGTCTTCACCAGGAGCCGAATAATCCACAGATTCCAAAACAAACGGACTGGGTGATTAAAACCAGTTAAAACACTGATTGAAACAGTTTAACGTTACAAATCATTGTTTCTCTGATGCTGTTCATCATGTTGGAGATGTGCTGCTAGCCCAACAACTGCTAATTAGTGCTTACCCTTTTTCTCTGATAACTTTAGATATAGGTACTGAGGAGGTTTTTATTAGCAGACCCCCTGATTTAAAGGAGAAGTCTGGTATTTTGCACTTTGAGCCCCATTTCTGGGTTGTTTATGATGAAATAGAGTGGCTAAGACCAAAATAGTGACGATTGCTCGTTTTGGGAGAATTTGGCTTTCCCCTGCCTGGCTTAACACTGCTGCCTATGACCATGTGTGAACCTGTCCTAAAACCACCCTAAACGTTCGTTTTCAAAGCCATGAAACTCACCGAGTGGTCAGTGGTGTTCGATGATGTTCTGACATCGTGGCAAATTGTGGTTTCCATCTGTGTTTTTGCTATTCATCTCGATTGTGGAACTGTTTTTTCAGCTGCCTCACACCCGTGTGTAAACTTCCACTTGATCGTTCGTTTGACCCTGAAGCGTTATACACTCCAGCCCACTTGATGGCAATAATGCTCCTTTATGTGGGTGTCGCCAACCAGCAGGAAACCATTGCAATGTAATGGGACACAGAAAAGAAGAAGGTTGGCGTTGTGTTCAAAGGCATTGTACTGCGAAGGTTATTTACAAGCGAGTAATCCATTGTGCAGTTGTTTAAACTTATTACAAAACCTTTTCGTTTGTTCTCGTTCTTCCTCCAGGAGCGTAGACAGCACTTTTGCTGAGCTAAAAGACTATAATGACTACAACCTTGTCGTAAACAACCCCCTTTCCATTTCCGGTGGCGGATAACTACCAACGGACAATGAGGCTTCTTATAGAAAACCAATGGTGAGTTTCATGGCTTTGAAAACGAAGGTTTAGGGTGGTCTTAGGACAGATATACACATGGCCATAGGCAGCAGTGTTAAGCTAAATTCTCCGAAAATGAGCAATCTTCAGTATTTTGGTCTTAGCCACTCTATTTCATCATAAACAACCCAGAAATGGGGCTCAAAGTGCAAAATACCGGACTTCTCCTTTAAACCGGTAAAAACATTGAACAAAGCAGTTTAACATTTAAAGAATCAGTATTTTCCAATGATCTCATGAGAGGGGCTACAACTACGGTGGCAGATACAAAAACACAAATGGCCCTATGCCAGTATTTGGTTTGTCTTTCTGGGTAGCATGGTGGTGCAACATGGTAATCTCCTCAACGAGGACCCGCTCCCTATGTAGATATAGACGGCAATTTCTGCCAGTATCCTCCTAAATGCTACACACTGGACATTTAAAGGTGCTGCATGTAATTCTGGGGAAAGATAGGTCCACTTATCAACACACAAAATCATGGCAAGTGACGACCTGGGAATGAGACTGAACGAGCAACTATTTTTCCCCAGAATTACAAACAGCACTTTAAAGCCATCCTCCAACTTCAGGGCTTATGTTAAATTCACACCATAAACACACATATAAGAACTCCCTAAGACTGTAAAGCTTACGGCTACTGTCAGAAGCATGCACATAGGGTATATTTTACAGTTTGACATCATCAGAAATGACTGCAAGTGCAATGGTAATGCCATGCACTGAAAGGTTAGATTTTTCAAAATCCCTTTCAGGAAAGAGGTATTCATATTTGTAAATGCAGCATATGAATGCCTAAGCCCTGAAGAGGTTTGGCAGCTCTGCAGCCTGTGATTACATCTAATCGCCTTTTTCATTTTCTGCTGTAGCCACAGAGATGCCAAGGCAGAACATTTGGTTAAAAATGCCCTTCTCAGCCATTTACATAAAGGATTTAAATTATGTGAAAAGGAGGTTTTCAAAGAAAAATGGTGGAAAGGTCTAGTGCTCCTTGCAACAGCAGCCACCTTTATTCTGTGAGGATGTTGGAAGGAGAGACCAGGTGAGAACGTGACAAGTTAAGGTGGGATAAAAAAAGGGACGCCTGAAGCTTAAGCATAGGGAACTTTGCTTAAAGGCCCGCAGCGTTCTGAAATGGCCAAGCAGATGTCAAGCTTTGCGAAGGGGAACAAGGGAAAGCAAAAAAAGCCCTCTGGGCCATGGACGTGAACTGAGTCGGTCAATGATGCGATGCCAAGGGACGTGAACTTTTGCTTTCTCATACACAGCCACATGAGTTCTGAAGTATGTGTGATTGTTTGTTTTTAGATGGTAAAAACAAGATTCGCACGACATCGCCTGAAGCTCATGCAATGCTCTACTTTCCGATGATTGAGAAAGAGGTTAGGGGGCAGATGGGTTTTACCGCTTGCTTCCTCTTGGCTGTTTCTTGGCCGGGCGTCCTGTGGTGGATGTGGCTGCTGTCCATGTTGCTCTGTCTGTCTCGCGTCCACTGCGTTTTCAGTGGGAGGGTCCGCGGGGGAGCTGTTGGAAATTTGCTGCTAGGGAGGAGACTCTCTTTAAACTCTGAGTTGTTCTGAAAATTATCTTCAAGTCCCCCTCGTCCTGCTGCTGTACCTCTGCAGTCTCTGAGCTCCTGATGTCCAAACAGCTCATTCTTAACGTGTTGATGTAGTAGAGCTTGCTGCTGATATGACATTGCAGCCTCGCTGTGGTACTTGGTAGCCCCTGTGTTTTCCTTGGCAACATCTGTGGCAGACTGCAGTGCATTATCATCCACTCTCCTTCCCATCTCACAGGATCCGTCTTTTGATTTTGTCATCTGTACATCCCCCATCGCACCAAAGATGCCTCTGTCAGACCGACTCTGAGTTTGAGGGTTTACAACACCTGTGTTCTCCTTGTTCAAAGACTTCTTTGATCTCTGTGGCTTGAGAGGAACTATTTTGGTGACTTCTGAGTGCGAGTTCCCTGTTTTGCTGCAATCTTGTGCTCCCTTGGGGCTCGAGTCTTTTATTTTCTCACAATGCCTCGCATCAGTATCAGTTCTGCCTCCATTGCCTTTTGGGAGAGAATCCACAGCCACCGGAGCATCGAAGTTGTTTGGTCTCTCTCGATGAATGTTGTGCTTATACTGACTATGCCTTATATCTCTGGTGATCATTGCACTCCCCTGTTTGTCATGTGGAGAGCCATATCCATTTTCTTGAATGGTGTTCCTCGCTAATACAGCATCGTAATGCCCATTAGTTGCTACTATATCATCCGCAGGGTTCATATCCGTTAGTCCTGTTGCTGTAAAGTCTGGAGACTTTCCAGGTCTAGTTATGAAAGAGTCTCTGGCTGTTTGACAGTTGTTCATCTTTGCTTCAGTCCAGGGTGTCACAAAGAACATGTCTCTACCCATAGAAGAGGTCTTACTCTTTTCCACTTTAGAGTAAGTATCCAGATCTCCTTCATAAGCATCCTGCTTGTCAATCAATTTGCCACCACCGGTCGCCTATGTTGACATAGAGTAGACAGTTGCATTAGCCTAGCTAGATACACCGCTCTTCCACTTGTGATATCATTGTAACCCCACATAGTTACTGTAAATATTTAGTGATCAACTGAGGGACCTATGACTGTGCAAGCTTAGATGCATTTTCTTTCTCATTTTATGAGTTTTGGCACGATAAAATTATAAGTTTGACAGAGAATGGAAAGTGTAGATAGAATGGGAAAGGGCTGACCAACAAAAATCCTAATATGTAAAAAAGTAATTGTAGAACAGCGAATATTGTAACTTGGGAATAAGATCTCATTCTTACTGGCTTCCGCTCGGGGGTTCCTCCAGGAGGAGTAGCCGAGGACAGGCGTTTCTCCCTCTGGGCCATCTTGCTGTTGGGCTGCCTCAAAGCCCTCTTGAGCTCATTGATGCTAGCCTGGTGCTTTTGCAGAACATCTTCAGACTTATCCAAGAACTGCTGCTCACATAATGAGGGGCACATCAGGGACACACATTGACATAAGTTAAAATCCTACATCTGAATCTAGTCTCTGAATCTGGTTATAGTCATTTCTACTTTTGAACTAGATATGGATTAAGTTGAAAATAACTCTGAAGATTTGTTATTTTTACATTCTTACTCTGACTCTGCTCTGATGGTGTGGTGCATGAGTGTCTGTTTTGTAACTGTGCTATAGGATGAATGAAATGCTGCACCACATAGAGGACAATAGAGGTCTTGATAATGATCAGAAACAGATATAGATCTCACTATAATACACTCAGATCATATCAGCAGTTTTCTTTTACCTTGAAGCACAAATATAGTTTCAGTTAAAGGTTTAAACATCTCCCAATTACAGGGACAAACTCACACCGTACATTTTCCAAAAGAACTTTGGACTGTTGGTGCACTTTTCTTTTTGTTTTACATGTCAGTGAGCACCTGGCAATCTTTGGAAGATGGAGCACAAAGCCCCAAACTTGAGGTTTGTATTATGTAGTGATCAATGGCTAGATATTAAAACATGAATGAATTAATTAAGCAAAAGTTTTAACTGGCAATAGTTTCAGAAATGTGACACAAACTGAAGTGCACCAAACGACTATGTGCGCTGAGTAGGCATGGGATGATTTTACTGGCCAAAATATTTGCGATTCATGATATTATCCCGAAAATCATCAAAATATGTTTGAAAACTTAAAATGGCAGTGAATGAAGTCATTGAAATCTGGTGCTTGGGCAGTGACTTTTGGCGTTAGAAACCAACAAAGAAAGGCGTCCTTTAATGTTTGCATGATATGCGGCCGGTTGCCATTGCAGTTTTACAGCACCCGGCGACATCAGGGGGAAATGCGGCAGGACAAGGACGAAACTTAAGAAGCCAAAAGTCTGAATGTGGTGTTCAGGAGGGTTGGTGGACAGGTTCAACAAACACCAACTTTCACCCAAGAGAGCAGTGTTTGTGTCCCGTAAGATTCTAAAGCCAAACCCTTTTTGTTTTTTCTAAACCTAACCACGTGCTTTTGTTGCCTAGAACCCAACCATGTGTGTTTGTTGTTGAAGAAAAAAAAAAGGTCAATTTGCAGTGTTGTACCCACATAGTGCATTTATTTTGAAAGAGACTGTATGTAAACATGTATGTAACTGTATGACTGTATGTAAATATTTTCCTGTGATAGCGGAAGTGTATCTTTAAAGAAGACAATGCATGTAACAGGCAGAACTTGACACAGTCTCCCAGAACGTCAACCACCAACACACCCAGGGTACCGTGCACATTGCATGTGGACGCTGAAAGTCCATGCCAAGCATGTCAATATGTGATGAGGTCGGAGTGAGAATGTGTTGGGAATTGTTTTCCCTTACATTTTATTAAGAATCAAATATTTCTATTGCACCACGGATAGGACAAACATTTTTTTAGTGATCATAATTTTAGTGAAAAAAAATCTTAAAAAGCATCATATCTTTTGATATAAAATATGTCAATAACTAATCAAGATCTTTAGCGTTATTTGAGGTCGGATTGTATGCAGCCTGTTTTTGCAGAGTCTTTCTTGTTGTTGTTTGCCAAGCAGTCTCTTTAGGTGCTACTGGACACAATATTTCTAATTATCCCAATAATGGAAATTCACCACGATCAACTTAATGTGTTTATTATCTCAATCTCCAGTAAAATCGTCCCATCCCTAGCACTAAGTGTTTTCAAGATGAACTCTATTGCTGTTGCTGCTTGCTGTGTTCTTAGAGTAAGTGACTGGCACAGTTATGGATACAGAAACACAGCACACCTGGTGAGGGTCAAACACAGCACATGCCAAAAAGAGAGGACAAGCAGTACCTCCTGTTTGGGCCGAGGGGTGGCCAGATCCTTGTCCAACAGATGAGGGAGCCCGAGGTGGGGCAAGTGAGATGAAGTGAAGGGTTTTGAGCAAAGCAGGAGGTTGAGGATTTGGGTTAGGTGGATTGGAGAACAGATGCGTGCAGAGACAAAGAGGTAAAGTGCTGCAGGTGAGTCAAAAAGGCAGGCAGCCAGACGGACAGACAAACAGTTGACACCATCGGGGGGCTTTTGACTAAGACTGTTCAGCCATTTAATGTTCTGCCAAGAAGACAGGGACAATCCATTTCAATGTCAGCCAATTGACAATTAATGCAGTCTTCTATTGACTGAGTACAAGGGTTTGGAGCGGGGGATTATTCCCATACTTCTTCATCCAAAGATTTGGTGAGAGGGAATTACAAACCACAAATGAACAGACCGTTAAGTGACTAATGCAATGCCAATATTTCCTGCAGCACTTAATAACACTACCTCACATACCTACACAGGAATAATACACAGAGGTGGAAGCAAGTCATTGTGTTGCAAGTCGCAAGAAAGGCCCAATCTCATTTCTACCCCTTAAATCTTCCACTTGGTATTGAGTGCCCTCGTTTGTGAGATAGCCCTTGATGAGGGAGGTGAGAAATATAAGGGATATAAGAGATCTTTCCCTAAGAAATGAGACACCACTTCATGCAAATCAGCATGGCCGACGTGCAGGCATACGTCACGCGTAGTAGTGACGTAAGATACCGGTAGTTATTCAGGTTTGAAAATGCCGGCTCCAGCGCTTGTGTTGTGGCGTGTGCTATGTTTATTCTTCTCCGTCTGATGAATCAACGGAGAAGAAATGCTGAAAACAGGAGGCGCCTACGACGTCTTCTAGTTCTGATCGATTCTGTTCTGTTCTGTAAGTCGATTTGTTTAAATATTTTGACGCTGTGTTCAACCGAGCTGCTGATGAGTTTACGCTAGTCCAACCATCTGTTGTTTGTATAGCCTACATTCCGATTGTACAGTAACAAATTGTTTTCCAAAACTTGCCGAAGTTGCTGACTTCACAAGGTGTTCGGGGAAATTTCATCTTCCACTTCGTTGAAAGTGTGGGTCGGGGCTCCCTTGGAATCTAGGGCGGGTTTTAAGTGTTGGAAACCACTTCCACTACCTCAATTCTGTTTTGGGAGACCACAAGCCTAAACGTGAACGTGCACAACCAAGTGCAATTGGGAATTTCTACGGGAAGTGTGGGTATTGGGACAGGCCATAAGTCTCAAGTCTTTGCAGTCAAGTCCCAAGTCCTTAGTGTTGATTTGAAAGTCCCAAACAAGTCATGATGCACTTTTCACCATATGTAATGCTATTTTAACAAGAGTATTAATGTTAGCTAAGTATTAGCTCAGTATGCTAATATTAGCCTCAACTTACTGTTCTTTGTGCAACTTCAAAACTCAAACCAAGTTGGAAGTTGTTGCATCTCTGTCTACAGTTTTGACCCCAATGTTTTTCAAACTGCAATTCATGCTGTGTTGACCACCACATAGTTTTTTTCGCAAACAAAATTATCTTTGGTGTATTTTTTCCAGCTGGCGTTACCATAACGTTAGTTTGTCATGTTCTCTCCTTCAATTTGTTTGGATAATTTTGGACTCATTCCAACAAAGTGGATCTGGGGTATTACGTGCCAACTTGCTGGGAATGAATCGCATTGACATTAGTAGATTAAGGGAATGATGGGAAATTAACTGTTTTACTGCACACTTTTTAAAGAACATACGGTACTTCTTAATCTTTGGGTTTGGAGGAAGGTATCAAGCATTTTTTAAGTCAACAGGCTCAAGTCCAAGTAAAGTCACAAGTCACAGATGTTAAAGTCCAAGTCAAGTTGCAAGTCTTTTCTGATTTTATCAAGTTGACTGACTCGTCTGCCTCAAGTCCAAGTCATGTAACTTTAGTCCACACCTCTGATAATATAAGACTAGATACACTGGAAATCTTTTACCATATAAATAAAACATAAAATGAATGTGTGCATCTTAAGAATAAATAAGAGTGTTCATGTAGAGCGCTGGCTTTGCATAAAAACAATGTTAATTATTAATTAAATACAAAGATGAAACTTTGACGCATCTCAGTTGGAGTACCAGGAGATTTGCCAACTGGGGAACCACTGATTCACTGAATCATCAGCAGTGCTTAAGGGCCATCTGTTTATCCTGCTAATAACAATCAATCCCTCTAATTTCACACAGGGACACTGTTAAAGACGTGTTGACAATTGAAAATAAAGAAGCCTTTTTCCACTGCTTAAGTCACTCTGGATTAGAGCTAGGCTAAATGCCCATAAAGGAAATCTTATACGAATTTCCGGTGGGCAGACAAGAAAAAAAAAGGAATGAAAGAGTCTGAATAAATCCATATTAAACATTTAGTATCTATTCATCTGAAGATCGATTCATGCAGTTTCCATGGATTATACTCAATGGAATCCTGGAAATCGTGACATGAAAAGAAATAACATTCCCTTCAGAGACAAACAATCAAAAAAAGGATAGGTCGTGTTTAACAAACACAGAGTACGGGTGCATGACCTACAACAACCAAAACCACACAGACAAGACACTAAGGTCCAAGGCCAAAATACCTCTGGTTTTGAGTCTACAGGCGAGCCTTCCTCCTCACCCTGCAGGAGAGGACGAGGTAGATGACAGATAGGTCAGAGAGAAGAGAGCAGAGGTTAGCAGAGTGTGTTAACAAGAACAGTTAGAGGCAGGATGTTGGGTTCAAAAAAATATTATCTGCAGCAAAGAGGTCAAGTTAGACTTTGGGAGGGGATTGCAAAAATGGTGAGGAGAGAGGACTCATACTGAGAAGTCTTATAAGTCTACAGAGGAGCAGAAAAAAAGGGGAAATTAGGCCAAGGAGAGAAAAAGTAGGGACGGTGATTACAGTCTTAAAAGAAAAAGAATGAGAGAGAGAAGAATGATGAGTGTTAGTCAGAAGTTCACGAGGGATTTACAGACTGGAGGCAAAGCCGTGTCTTTTTTAAATGAGCCAGCAAACTGCTTTTGCATGTTTCACTGCACTTTCCCCAAAACTATGAAAAATTTTCACACTTGAAAAGGCAGTATTTCACTTCTCAGGTGAGTGTCTTTCATTTCATTTCACTGTTTATTGACTGGCTAAATAACAGCTCTCATCTTCTCAATGGCAGCATTTAATTCATTCACACTAAGATTTAGCCTCTTTTAGCAGCCAAATATTAAAGGGATGGTTTAAACCTTTTGAAGTCAGATTGTATGAGGTACTTATCCATAGTCAGTGTATTATCTACTGTAAATGGTGGTCGGTACGCCCCCAGTTTGAAGAAACAGGGAGGAGTATAGCCATGGAAGCTAAGCAACTGCTGTGAACGGGTGCAGGAACAAAACATGAAAACCTAAAAAATATTGCCCAGAAAAATATCAATATCAGTTTGAGTGTACACTATATTTAGAATATTTTTACCACTTCACTTTGCCACAGACAGCCCTTTCCAATGGGGAAGCCATTCACAGCTTCAGTTCCCTGTCACTAGACTCCATTGACAAAAACAGCAATTTTAGCTCACTAAACAGGGGAGCTTCTGGTCTGCTGCTGCTTTGATGACTTAGTCTTTTTGTTATTGTGGTACTTTGGTGAATCTGAACTAACCCTTTAAAACACCACAGTTACACAATGACACAATCAACATCACTGATTGAGGCGATGGTAGACCAGCAGCTCCTGTGGTCATTGAGGTAAAATTACTGTTTCTCTGAATGGAGTCTGGCTTTTAAGAGAGCAATATAACAGCTTCAGTTTACCATCAGAAACTGATGTATGATGGCAAGGTAAAGCAGAGAAAATATTCTAAATATAGCATACACTTAAAGCAACACTTAACCTTTCTGGAAATTTTACACTTTTCCTCGTTTAGGTTAAAATGCTATTAATTAGGCTGACCAAACATCCTCTTTTGCCCGGACATGTCCACTTTTCACGTCCCGTCCGGGGCGTCCGGGGGTCTTTTATAAAGTGATGATAATGTCCGGTTTTTCGTGTGTTTGTGTGTGTGTGTGTGTTAGAGTGCGGCACTGGCCGCATATTTCTATCCGAACCCGAACCGAGCCCGACATTATTTAATGACCAAAGCAGTTTGTGTCACACAGTTGTTACGGTTACAGGCTATTTAACAGGCCGGGCGTGCGCTGTGGGTGCTCAGCTGTGGAGAGGGAGACCTCCGTGTTTGAGACGGGAGCGGGCGGCGGGAGGTCCGACGCTTCCAGCGAGAGGAGAGGGAGAAATAAATCAAAATAAGATAAAATAGGAAAAACCTGTCTCCCTCTTTTATTTTATTTTCAGCATTTAATCAAGGCGGAGGCGGGCGGCTGGAGGTCCGAGACTTCCAGAGAGGAGAGAGGTAGAAACAAACAGCCAATGTGTGTCTGTGTGTGTTATGTTCAGGTGTTGTCATGTAAATAACAGTGCCCAAGCAATAAACAGGACAGACAATAGGATTTTATTTATTTTTACACTACATTTTCACTGAAAGCTGACCGAATCCGACCTGAGCCCGAATACAATTTATAGCTACATTTCTGACCAAACCCGCCTGACCCGTTGGTATACCGTCGGGCTCGGATCGCCACACTCTAGTGTGTGTGTATGTGTCCCCTATTGGGGCCTATCTGAATTTCTGTCTTTGAGAGATATTATTTTGTAATATAACTGAATTTTCTATCCATACATATAACTTTAAACATATTAAAATGATACGGCATCTTTGAGTAAGCTACGAGTATCATTTAAGTAGGCTATGTCGTGGCCGGCCGAATGTCCTCTTTTTTGGAAATCAAAATATGGTCACCCTACTATTAATAAGCGGATGGCACAATAAAATGTAAGTGAATTCCACCAGAGATAAAAACTCATAATTACATGTATACCATTCTCATATGGTTCTAAGAAAACGCGTCCTGTCTGTCTTCCCCACGTGGAGGCCTCTGACTGACGTAACCGCTCACGTAACATAAAACTCATCAGTCATCACTGACCCTGGATAAGTTTCAAAACTCTGGGGTTGCGTTTGACTGTGCAGGACAGGTAACGTTATGTTTAGTTTGCTTCTTATATAACATATAGCGTTATATGACAGCACAGCATCCAGTTGCTAATGGCTAACGTTAGCCTACTGTAGCGTAGCCTCTGAAACATTAACGTTATCTTCCTTGTGCATTTCCACTTACTAGTAACGTTAACGCTACTATCTAACATTAGCACTGTAACCTTATTCTGAAACTCATCAGTCATCACTGACTCCGGTTGAGTTTTAAAACTGCGGGGTTGCGTTTGACTGTCGTGATTGTAACGTTACACTCGCTCTCCTCTTCCGTGTATCTAACGTTACCTTGCCAGCGCCTACGTCTATCTTAGACGTAATGAGGACGCAATGGAGGAGGGGGGATGGGATTTTGGAGGAAGGCGGGAGTTGTGGATGTGAAATGCAAAAAAGGTAAGAGTAGCTTTAAACTGATATTGATTTTTTTAGGTGGCTGAAATATATTTCGTTGCTGCCCCCCTTCACAGCAGTATATTGCCAGCTTCTATGTGCCAACATCTACTGTATGTAATACACTGACTGTAGATTAGTACCTCATGACCCCAATTAAAAAAAACGAACTACCCCTTTAAGACAGCGATGGCTGCTAATAAGGCAGTTTTTTGTGTATTTGAACATATCCTCATATCTTGTACCTTGAGCTCCAAAGTCTTGGTGGGCGTTGAGATGTGGGCACCACGAGCAGGCTTCTGAACTTGAACTTGATCCTGATCCTGACCATCATACTGGTCCAGCTCCTGATCTGTGTACTGGTCCTGGTCTTGATCTTGATACTGGTACTGATCGTGGTCCAGGTCCAGACTTCCCTCTTGGTCTAGATCTTCTCTGGACATGAATTGTGTGCGTTCGCTGGAGCTTCGCTGGGACAGCTGGTCCATACTGTAGCCCAGAGCTGAAGCTGGTGAAGTGCAATGGGAGGGAAACATCAACCACCTGGACTCCACATAATCTACAGCACAGTGTGTAATCATGCCAAATATGGTGCTTAGTTAGGAAAGATATCAGAAGCTGCCTTTATTGCTGTTTTTGCCAAGAAATTTCAGGCTCTGATAACACTAGGAGATTTAGGCGCTCCCTTCACTTTTAGGTCCATAACACAAAATCAATAAACCCTGTTGCTGACATTGCTCAAAGTATGTTTTCATGCATACATTGCTGTCAATCCAATTTCCAAACCTCGGGGCTCGGAGCCAAGTTATTGCATTGCATAATCCAGGAAATATAAGTGTGCCTTCATAAAGACAGTGAAATCCCCTGGGTTCTTACCTCCATCAATGCTTCGGGGCAGCATGTACCTCTTGCTAACGGACCGATCAAACTGTGGGGCAGGCCTGTCAATCAGAGCACTGGCTTGTCTGGTCTGAGCTTGGGTCCGCCCACTGTAGCGAAACTTGGAGCCAATCACCAGGAAGCCTTTAGGGGGCGGCTCTGGGGAAACCAACCTGCAGGAGGGTTCAGTTTGTGTAAATCTACCAGAAATACTCAGATTAAACACCTTGTTGACATCTTCTACTAAAATACACAGTTTAGAATCTTAAATGGGTTTGTTCTGCTGGTCTCCAGTGTCCTAATAATTTCCTGGAAAGAACTTAATTTTTGTGATTTGGTAGTAATTGTAAGAAAAATAAAGACAAAGATCTAAAGTTATTTCAGTCAGGCTCTGCCCAAAGTAAATACAATTTCCCAACGAGCACCTCCAACCCTTTCTAGAGTCACTTTGAGGGAAGTTACTGTGCCTAGCCAAGGAATAGTCCATCCCCATAAAACCACAACATGTAAATTTTACACTTTTATACTTTTTTTAAATTATACAAATGGGACTTCAGTGTTAATTTGTGAGTTTTAGAGGTGCTGGTGGGCAGACGCAGTGTTGTGGGGGGACTAATGGGTCAGACCTCCCCACTTGTACAACTGGCCCATTCCAAATGACACAGCTAAGTTGCATTCAACCCCAACAAAACGTTTATTTAAACAGAAACACTGTTTCATTGAACACCTTGTGGTGTTACGCAGGTGCACTGCCTTTAAATACGCCAGCTTTTAGTTCAGTTCAATTTAAAGAGGCTTTATTGGCATGGGAAAACTTACATTTACATTGCCAAAGCAAGTCTGAAATAAAAACAAAAATTGTATGTACCATAAGTGAAGATCTAACAGAATTTGTTTTATATGTACGTCGCTGCTGATTTGGTACACCTTTGACACGCACCTCAAAGCCCACTGCACACCATTTTACACCATTTCGCAGAAACACGTCATTCAACCTGGATTCTGTAGCAAAATGGTGCACACCATTTTCAGGTTGAACATGCCCCTGGAAATTGATGTGTTTCTACAGCCTACAGTAAGATGTGTAAAATGAGTATATCAGCGGTTAGAATGCAGATACAGTGCAGACACTGTCTAACTCCATAGCTGCAAATGCATTTCCTCTTGAGACTAGAAGAACCTAGAAAACAATGTGGGCCAGACAGAGGTAAAGCTGAAAATCCCTGCCTGACTTGATTGTCTCTATTGCCTTGAAAGCATGTAGCATTTCTGTTGAGACAAGCTTATGAATTGGGAGCACAGTGTGGCACTCTGCCTTGTTTGAGACAATCAAAGAGCAGTCGAATTCTCTCCCTGCAATCAAATCAAACAAATAATAATCCAGCCAGGTCATCCGAAGATGGTATTTAGAATATCAGTGTTCTGAATGAATGTATGTACTGGTCTAACATTTGAACACCCACAGCAAAAATAAACATGAATACACTGGTGTGTGCCACTTGTAATGAATACAAACTGTCACAGGTAAAAAATAAGCTGAGGATTGAAAATGTTTTAGGAAAACATTTAAGAAGTACCATAATCAACATGCTCGTCGCCTTTCACAGCATTATATTAGTCCTTTCGTTTTTTAGCCAGACTACCAGTTGGAAATTGTCAAAGGAAGGTAAACAGTATTTATTTCTGAAATTGAAAAGCCCATACAAAATCCTTTTGGCCCATCCAAAATTGAACACCTGCCTGAGACAGAGCCATCTATAAGCTAACCATCCCTTAGCGTTAGCTTCATATGTACCATACAGACATGAAAGTGGTATCAATCTTCTTATCTAACTTGACTGGAAAAAGTGACAGAAGTTCATTTAAGTCCAGTTACTGGAAACTTTATACTGAGTGCTGAATTGTGTGATTGCCTGTCGACAAAAGTCTTTATGTGGAGGCTGTTTTGCAAGTTCAGTTTACCTGCTGTGCGCTGACTAATAGACTCTCCAGCTTACAATAACAATTATTTGGAATTAATTAATCAGCCTTGTACCAAATGATTTCTGTCTCCATTTCACTTACAATAATTAATAGCAAATTACCAGAAACAAGTACCCCTCTATTAATTTTCACTTACATATTAGTTCCTTTAAATACAATTATTAAGAACTATGGAGTGAAAGGTTTTAGGATAAAAAAGAATCAAAGCATTTTCATGAGTGTCTTTTAAAGGATAGCTCTCTGGTGCAGGGTGTTATCAGTTCATGCAGTGTGCAATGACTACAGTGCAAAAAAACAGAGTGTGTCTGTTTGTGTATCTGTGAGTGTCACATCCTACCTGAAGAAGGTGTGGTGCTCAATGCAGACCTTCCACAATCGCTTCGAGGCCCGATGGTTGGGCAGCTTGAAGCCTATGGTGCTCTCAAACTGTTCATACTGAGCAGTGATGGAAAGGAGTGGAGGTGGAGGAGGAGGTGGGAGGTGAAGAAGAAAAGGAGAGTGAAGGGAGCCAGTGCGGAAAGAGATGGAGGGATGGTGGCAGGGTGAATTGTGTTTACTCCGCAGCAATGGAGAAATCAATGCTGTTTTTCTGTTTACTCGTAGAGACATATTCTCCTACTGCCATGTCAGGTTTTCCATCTCTAACCAACCCACAAATTAGCCGTCCATGCATTCACTCCATCAGATGTTCACCGGTGTGAGCAGGAGAAGACGCTCTCAAATCAATACGTTATTAGCAATATAACAGGTCTTTAAACATCAGGACTAGTCCATTCACAAGAGGAAGCCAACTCTTGTCCCACACAAACAAATCTGTGGGTACAGTTTAGAATAAAAGGGCTTCAAAACACAATGATGACCCTCCAGGCAAATCTGAAGTGACAGCTGACTTAAGAGGATAGAGCTGCAGAACAGAGTATATGCACAGTATGGCCTTGGTATTCGCTATGAAGATGTCAGTGTCAGTTTAACAGTGGATGTTAAACACACTGCACATACCCTAAAGGCCAAAGAATGAAGGGGAAAAAAACAGCAAATCATAATAATTTTAGGGAGTTGCAAACCAAAGCGAGCATAATGTGCCTCTAACATTTGCAAATAAAATCCTTGATGAAAATGCAAATCCTCATGACTGGCTAATCACGCTTTAAAGTCGCCGTAGAGGAAGAGAGATGTAGGAGAAGAATAAAAACATGACCTATCAGTCCTATCTTTAAGAGCGGTATCTCTGAGGGCTATAAATAATGTCCTCGTCAGTTGTCACATGGTTTGCTGCAGATAAATCTCAGAAGTAACACTTTTAGCAAACCATGAAATGACTATTTATGCTGCTTGGGCTGAGTCAAGGGAGACAATGATGTAATTTTAACAACTGTGAAACCATGAAATAGAAATGTGGAGTTGGCTCTTAACCAAATGATCCTCTATTCAACTTGCCTCTGCTCTGCCAGAATGACTGTCATGAGCTGTTTTAGTGGGAATGTGCAGGCAATAATTGTGAACTCCTAAGTCAAACAAGATGCAAAACACAAGATAATGATGGTTTTTTTACCTCTCCTGGGCGGATCTTGATGTAGAAGTTGCTTCTCTTATAGGAGATCTTCAGGATTTTTGGCCAAGCAAATCTGTTGATTCTTAGACGATCTCGGTAGATGAGCAGACCATTGGCACTCACACCGAGCATTATGTCAATTCCTTCCGAATCCTGATAAACACAGGCACTGAGTATCAGAAAACCTCAGACAAAATTGCATGGACAGATACCAGATACTTGAAGAAGTATTTCACTGTTGGAAAAAGTAATCTTTTCATAAAACTGAGCTGTCTGTGCAGCAGGAAGATGCATATACTTTTGGGATTGGTGCTACATGACCAGAGAAAGCAGAGAAAAGGGGCTATGGCATTCGCTTTTGGTCAAGAGTTAGAAAACCTACAATTACCAGAATTCACTGCACCGTACTGGACCAATAGTCACTTCCACTGGTGAGTGACGTAATGCAAGGTTGTTTGTTGTGAACTTAGGCTGTATACATAAATGGACGACGCAATGAAGCCAAAAATACCCCAGATATGGCCACCGCCATCTTGCACTGATGACATCATTTGGAGCCAGAGTCTATGCAGCAGCAATATGGGTGGCACCCCAAACACCTGTCTGACCAGTCACGAGTAGGGATTAGCACACATAGCTGTCAATCATGATATCACACCCCCTTTTTAAGGCATAAAATAACAAATTAAAATAAAACTTATGAAGAAAAACAAACACTAGGACATTCAGCAGCATGATAAAAACCACCTGAAATGACAGAAACCATCTTTGGAAATAGTTTTTTATTTTTGGTCCATGTCCCATCCCCTAGCATGGAGGAGGCTGGGTTTATGACCTATAATGCAGCCAGCCACCAGGGGGCAATCAAGATATTTTGGCTTCACTTTTCATGTCATGTTATCAATCTTTGTATACAGTCTATGGTTTTGACAGAGGAAACAATATGGGGACCAGTAACAAACAATCTGCAATTACAGTTAAACGGTAAGCTAAAATATATTTCTGGAAAAAAGAGGTGAGAAATGGGCACTGCAGAATCTTGGTCCATATTTTGGTTTACCAGCCTCTGCTTACAATATACAGGAAACAGTATGGCGCCCACTTTGTCATCACAAACTTGTATTACAGCTGAATGGTTCACTACAATATGTTTCTGAAGACATTTTAGGCAGGAAAGAGACAATACAGTTACAGAATCTTGTTCTTTATTTGATCAGAGTTCATTTACACACACTACCCTCACTATAATGCGACAAAGCTGGCTGAAAATTGTTAAAGTATCCCTTTAAATTTTATCTCTGTACCTTAGCATGATGCAGGTCCACTCCATACATTGAAAGCTTCTTGGCATTTTCTAGAAAGTTCACCTCTGCCTCTGCTGGACTCATTCCCCTACAAGACAAATGCCACAGATGATTATTATTCATTCTTTTCATATTCTTCCCACAAATCAAAAACACCAGCATTTGCCATTATCCTGATGGCATTCAATTTAATTATTGGAGCCGTATATAATATCTGACCTGTAGTTACGGTGCAGCTCCATCACTCTCTCCTCCAGCTCACGAGTCTGGTTGGGTGCAAAGCGGAAGTCGCTGACGTAGTCGGGGCCATGTTCCTCAGGCTCGTAGTCTCCCAGTTCAGCCTGGACAGTGTAGGAGCCCAGAAGGGCGTGGGTGACAAACGAGCAGGGCAGACGACCAGACAGGATGTCGTCCCTCAGCTGCAGGCACAGGTAGTACCTAAAACAATACATGATGTCATCAAGAATCATCTCGTAGATCCACTGCTGGACTGCAGTCACAATCTTTATTTGATGTTTGAAGTTTTTAGCAGTGCTAATGGTGTGTCTGTCTGCCGGTCCACTTCTTTCAAGTGTGAGATATTGTAAGAACTGATGTAATAATTGCTATTACATTTAGTATTTTTTGATATTTAAGGATGAATCTTACATACTCTTACCATTAGATCAAAATGTGGCTTTGTCCGAAACTGCTGTATGACCAAATACCTGCAACTCTAATGACGTTCCTGTCATCCTCAAGCTTCTATAAATGGATTGAGTCAGTATCCTACGCATAATTAAACGGATGACACATGGCCTATAGGACATAGCTCCAACCAATTGATCTACATTTTGGCCTATCCAACTATAAAAGCTGGTTCACTCAAATGACCAAAAGTATTTTGATCTCTCACTCACTCCTGGTGCAATTTTTTTGAGGTTTTTAGATCTCATTGTTTCATTCACTGAGAATTTCATTGTCAATCCAACATCCATAATTTCCATGTTTCATAATTGTGGTAGAAATTCGCTGAGAAACCCAACAGCAACAAGTCTTTCCAAACAATTCCCAAGGTATTTCGGACAATCCACAGACCTCACTGTCAACAGTTGATTCTATGTTCACCATCAAATATGTCCTGAATAATAATAATGCCAACAGTTTTCATAGAGACTTCTTATAGAAAGAAAGTGTGGATTATTCAGAGTAACCTGACTAGCTACTGTTTTAGGAAGGTTCTGTGTAGCCTCAAACACTCTGAGCACCACAAACCACAAACATCATTGGAGTGGCATAAACTTCAGAAAGCGGTCACAACCTCATTATTTCACAACCTTTGCACAGAAAATGACAGTATAATACTACTAGAGGTAAGCAAGAAAATGTGTGTATGTGATTTGGGTGAATAGACCATCTAAGCAATTCCTCATGGGTAATTCATGACGTTCATGCACGTTGTTCTGACCTTTGGTTTGGTCATAATACTTGCTCTTGACCAAAGCTCCTATATATGTATGCATGGAGTAGCCTACATAAAGTTAAAACAATGTATACTATTGTCTAGTAAGAACAAAACACATTATAGTCTACTTGCTTATCTTTGTGCAAAGATCATAGTGCCACACATTGAACTGTCCTGTTTCAAAGAGAAGCTCTACGGATATATGGATTTTTACTTAGTTATTAAAGTGTCTTGCACCACATGGCGTCCAGCACATGTGGACTAACAATCCGCTAAACAAAGACAGTCACGTATCAGCTCATAAAGTTCACAAATACAGACGTTTTTATGATCAACGCTTGATCTGCAAGCAGCAGGTGGTTTCAGTCGAATACTCTGTTGCTAGTAGCAACCATTACTGGCACAGTTCTAAGTTTAACTGACACTGTTACATCTAGACTGTTATCAGAAATGTTTCAATCTCAGAATCAATCGGCTATTGGTCTGATGACGATAAGCCTCCGGGGGCAAGGGCCGATACTTTGTGGTTCTGGTGTAGCCAGCAGATATATAGGATTAGACTTCCTCCTCCATGCACCAGTCATTTCAGATAATCTCTATGAACAGATATCTGCATATGAATACAGATCAATCTAAAAAAATCATCATACAATAGCCGATGCCCTCCAAGATTGCATTTCGCCTCTTTTGCTCTTCACACTGACTAGTTACCTGCCGCTCAAACTGGATAGGTCAGTATTATTTGGACTACAAAACCAAAACATGAACTGTTGCCTACAGATTCTGCATGGGTTCTTATGCAGATATTTCTTCACAGAGAATGTGGAGGTACGTCACACTGTGTAAGGTGGGGGTGCCATCTTTGAGGTTTGCATTCTGTTATCTCTATTACAAAAGTATGCACGCAGTCCAAAAAAAAAGTTTTCAATATCCATGTTTGTGATTGGAGGTAGTACTTCTGGGTGTGTAATCCAGCCTTTGGGCTTCCAAATCATTTGGATCTATGTTGTTTATCGTGATTAGTTTGTCCAAATGCAAGTGCTTGACCACTGTAGCAGGCACCGGTAACACGTCCTTTCAAGACAGCCCCCTGTTTAAAAAATTTAACACAGCCGGATGTGAACTTCACTTTCTCTATAGAGGTTAGAAATGTTTTAGCAGGCATTTTTTTTATCTACTAACCAAATGCATCCAATGTCAGAGTGTAACAGTATCTGCAGACACTCTTTTTATGATAGCTGTTATGTGATTGTTGCTTTGTGGTTTTCTTTATTTAGTTCTTCAATTCTGCAATCAGTAGACTGCATTCAAGGACAAGTAGCTGTTAGCTAATTTACTGCTGGGCTAACTGTTAGTCTTGTGGACTTGTGTTTGTATGCTTTCTAGATTAATGACAGCGTCTTGTGTTGTTAGTGTTAATTTGTCACTGGTGACACTGTGATTCTTACTGACGTTTTTATTTGACAGCTAGCTAGTCCATACTTTTGTGATGTAGTGTAATTCATTCCTCCAAGATGTTTCCATTTTACTATTGTTTATAGTATCTCATCATTTTCTGATTTGGGATCACTCTCACTGGAACTGTTTTCACAGTCTCACAAATGCCTACTTCAGACTACTTCAGCCAAATGTTTTCAACCGTTATTAGAATGTGTTAAGCTCGCTGCATAGGGTGTCTTAGCTGTTATGTTCTTTCTATAAATCCTGCCAAAACCAAAATGTCCTCAGGACAACTCCGCATTTCAGCTTCAGACAACCAAAACAAATCAGGGCTCTTTAACTGTGAGCTGTGTTGTTGTTGTTGTTTATGTATTCACACCTACCTGGTGATGTCTTCAATGAGCACAGACGGGTCTGGAGGGTAGAACTTGACAGAAAATCCAAAGATCCAGGAACCAACTGTGGACAAACAACAATCAGAGTTGTTTTGTGAAGGACTGCTATATGTGTGTGGATTTGTTTGATGCGTTTCCTTGAAGTCCTGGTTAAGGTTGTGTCATAATAAAATCTGTTGCACAAAACACCCTTAAATTTTCTCCTTAAGGTTTCCTTAAAATGTTCACTTAAGTATTATGGTTTTCTCTTTGCCTTGGTCTTATACTTAAGGAATCCCTAGACTGTTGCACAAAAGACCTTAGCAACCAAAGCAAGGTAGAAAACAAACAAACAAACAAATAAACTTAAAGCCGCTACAAGGAACTTTTAACTGGATATGCAAAAGTCTCTTGTTTCTGCTGATGTCTGTGTGTGACCTACAACAGGAAATGAGACCATCGGTGTGAAGATAAGCTATTTCTATATAGTGTATATCCATACCTTTAGGAAACTGTCTCCGGGTCCGCCCCTGGTCGCTTCCAGGACGAAACGATTTACGGCACTCAGACGGCACACGCCATCTTACCTAGCTGCTTACATTTAGTGACTCTTATAAATAGTCGCTATTCCTCCTCCTCGACCGACGTCCACGGGGAGTTAAAATAGCAGCAATCATCGGGTAAAAGTTGTGTGAAAGCACTGGACTCACCAACAGTCAGCCACGTCTCAGTCACACAGAGAAAATCCAATCCTCGGGAAGTCAGGAAATCCTTCAGGATAAACGTTTTGTTCGCTAGCGATATAGCATTTACCAGCCCAATCCTTGAGGCCTTCAGCCTTACCAGCCGACCGCTGCATTTACCCCGGCGGCGGTGGTGCTTACGCCGGAGAGGTGGAGCTGGGGCGCGGCAGAGGTGAGCTGGGATCCCCGATAGGAGCGGGGGCAAAGTTTTCCTGTCTTGTTGTTTCATTCAACCCCAAAATAAACACATGCGCGAGACAGGTAAGTGTCTTTATGACAATACGTGCTAGAGCTCATGGGAAATGTAGGCTTCATTCTGGCAAAAAACTACCGCTTTTGTCCACAACTCAAAATGAAAGTTCTTTGTAGGGGCTTTAAGGTATATCTGACTTTACCTTAACAGCATCACGAACACACCCCAAGAAGAGTGCTCTGTAACCAGGATAACGCACTGGATACTGAAATAATTTTCGTTGCTTCTTCCTACAATTGTTTTCTGTTACCTGGTATTTGGGGATCAAATGTACTTTGTAGGATTTCCTCCTCTGACCAATTTGGTTTTCTTGTCTTCTTTTCATTTGCCATTTTTCCCACTAATTACTATAAACCAACTTTTTACGACAATAACAGGCATCACGAGCATGAGTCCAAGCAAAGTCTCCATGGAAACTTTTACCGCTGTAAAATCTCTTTCAACACAGTAAATGAATTAATGCTTTTCCTTAATTAAGGAAACCTTTTAAGGGATTCTGTGCAACTGTGTAAGTCCCTCAAGTAAGGAGAATTTAAGCCTTAAGTGTCATACTGACGGAGAAAACTAAAGGTGTTTTGGTGATTTTTTGGATCAGCGGTTAAGTTTAGGGCTGGGTCAGAGTTGGAGTTAGGGTTAGTGTAAGTCTTCAGGAAATTAATTTATGTCTATGTAATTTCCTCAAAAGTGACCTAACAAAATGTGTTTTTCTGTGTGTGTGTGTGTGTGTGTGTGTGTGTGTGTGTGTGTGTGTGTCTGCTGCACTTACCCCGAATTTGCTTCTTAATCTCTTTGGAGGGATCCAACCAATGCTGATAAAGAAAGAAAGAAAGAGACAATCCCCTTTGAGAAATCCAGCCTCAGCAAAATCATCCATATTCACATTTTTAAGAGCCCTTTTAAGAGCTGTGCCTCACCGGCTGCTCTTCCCCCTTTTTTTTCAGTCTATTCCCTAGTTGAAAGCTAAATAAATTCATACCACAAAAAAATGAATGAAGGCTTCTATAAACACTGAAAGCATCAATATTGGGGCTATAAATGCCAGTCGAATCCAGCTCCCTGCGCTTAATGTCACTAGAGCTTTCATTGTGCACCGTAGACCCCATGCACCATTTCTAAAAGGCCATACTGTCTAATCACATTTTAAAAGGTTAAAGGCCATGTATGCCACTCACAGGTTGTAAGTGGTTAAGTACAGCTAAAAGGGCAACTGGGGACTCGCTGCTTTATAACACCTGGAAAAACAGTCTGGTTAAATGTGTTGCTTGGCTGCAGGGCTGGGTGACATTTGCTCTGAAATCAGAGACAAAATCCAAAAAAGTAAATCGTCTATTAATAGCAGATGTAAAGAAACACGGCAAATTCATTGTCAACACATATTTTCGGCCTTGGACTCTACAAAGCTATTCAACACAGACGGTCCTAAATTACCCCCACATAATGTCGGTATTGATCACGGAAAAAGAAGATCTTCTAAAGACATCGGAAATAAAGTCTGCTCCACTTTAGATGATGTTACACAATAAACAAGCACAAGCTGCTGAGTGCTTGTAAATCAATGAATCACGAAACACATTGTTAGCAAATAAAAATGCACTATTTCCACAACAACTATAAATGTGCTCCACCATTTTGTGCCAGACTACAATTCACTAAACCACAGGTTAGAATTCTGAGGGTTCCTGTGTTCACTTGAGTGCTTCATTATACTCTGCATGATTCAACTCGGCTAGTAAAAAATATTTTTTAATTCATCATATAGAGCCTTAAAGTGTAAATAAACAGAAATGCGACCGCATCCCAGATTTAATTTTATTTTATGGGTAAGAACTCAGCGAATGTTCATCAAATAATGAGATATACAGTACAGGCCAAAAGTTTGGACACACCTTCTCATTCAATGCGTTTTCTTTATTTTCATGACTATTTACATTGTAGATTCTCACTGAAGGCATCAAAACTATGAATGAACACATGTGGAGTTATGTACTTAACAAAAAAAGGTGAAATAACTGAAAACATGTTTTATATTCTAGTTTCTTCAAAATAGCCACCCTTTGCTCTGATTACTGCTTTGCACACTCTTGGCATTCTCTCCATGAGCTTCAAGAGGTAGTCACCTGAAATGGTTTCCACTTCACAGGTGTGCCTTATCAGGGTTAATTAGTGGAATTTCTTGCTTTATCAATGGGGTTGGGACCATCAGTTGTGTTGTGCAGAAGTCAGGTTAATACACAGCCGACAGCCCTATTGGACAACTGTTAAAATTCATATTATGGCAAGAACCAATCAGCTAACTAAAGAAAAACGAGTGGCCATCATTACTTTAAGAAATGAAGGTCAGTCAGTCCGGAAAATTGCAAAAACTTTAAATGTGTCCCCAAGTGGAGTCGCAAAAACCATCAAGCGCTACAACGAAACTGGCACACATGAGGACCGACCCAGGAAAGGAAGACCAAGAGTCACCTCTGCTTCTGAGGATAAGTTCATCCGAGTCACCAGCCTCAGAAATCGCAAGTTAACAGCAGCTCAGATCAGAGACCAGATGAATGCCACACAGAGTTCTAGCAGCAGACCCATCTCTAGAACAACTGTTAAGAGGAGACTGCGCCAATCAGGCCTTCATGGTCAAATAGCTGCTAGGAAACCACTGCTAAGGAGAGGCAACAAGCAGAAGAGATTTGTTTGGGCCAAGAAACACAAGGAATGGACATTAGACCAGTGGAAATCTGTGCTTTGGTCTGATGAGTCCAAATTTGAGATCTTTGGTTCCAACCGCCGTGTCTTTGTGAGACGCAGAAAAGGTGAACGGATGGATTCCACATGCCTGGTTCCCACTGTGAAGCATGGAGGAGGAGGTGTGATGGTGTGGGGGTGTTTTGCTGGTGACACTGTTGGGGATTTATTCAAAATTGAAGGCACACTGAACCAGCATGGCTACCACAGCATCCTGCAGCGACATGCCATCCCATCCGGTTTGCGTTTAGTTGGACGATCATTTATTTTTCAACAGGACAATGACCCCAAACACACCTCCAGGCTGTGTAAGGGCTATTTGACCAAGAAGGAGAGTGATGGAGTGCTGCGGCAGATGACCTGGCCTCCACAGTCACCGGACCTGAACCCAATCGAGATGGTTTGGGGTGAGCTGGACCGCAGAGTGAAGGCAAAGGGGCCAACAAGTGCTAAACACCTCTGGGAACTCCTTCAAGACTGTTGGAAAACCATTTCAGGTGACTACCTCTTGAAGCTCATGGAGAGAATGCCAAGAGTGTGCAAAGCAGTAATCAGAGCAAAGGGTGGCTATTTTGAAGAAACTAGAATATAAAACATGTTTTCAGTTATTTCACCTTTTTTTGTTAAGTACATAACTCCACATGTGTTCATTCATAGTTTTGATGCCTTCAGTGAGAATCTACAATGTAAATAGTCATGAAAATAAAGAAAACGCATTGAATGAGAAGGTGTGTCCAAACTTTTGGCCTGTACTGTAAATCTCGACACATAATAAACACCTAGCGCACGCAAGAACGTCATGTGTGAGGTCTCTTATAAAGCACATTTGGAAATGAATTTTGGACTTCACATTGGCTGATACAGGGTAGTAAAAGGTTGCTCTTTGTTTGGTTTAATTGCAGCTGCATTTGGCTCGAGCAACAGAGGCTTGCCGACAGATCACACATTGAGTAAAAATATTTCTAAATCACTCAAGTAAAATATGTTAATGCATGTGTGGGTGGGTGTGTATGTGTTCGTCTTTGTGTTGCCGTGTGTCTGACCTTGGCGTTGTCCGTGTCCTGGAAAGTCAGGCCAAAGTAGTCCCTCTCCAGCAGGTTCAGATGGCCACACACCATGTCCAGCAGGGTCTGGCCCTTGGCAAATTTCTGTTACACAAACATATGTACACACACATATAAGAACACACAGCGAGTGGGCAGGTGACACAGTGCAGGTTCAGGTTGTATGATCATCGCGTGCTATAAAGGGAAGGAATGAGGACAGAGTGTAATAATGTGATTCAATAAAGATGTGTAAGACTGCCAGGCACCTGCTGGCCTTGTGCTTAAGCCTTGTACGGCATAGCTGTACTGAAACCTTTGTTGAATGTCATAGCCTTCTTTCTCTCCCTGTATGTCCTGTCTTCATCTAAAGTATTTGCAAAATGCAGAAAATAATCTTTATATCTCTATAAGCTGTCAGGTTATCTCATGGAATAATAATAACACTAATATCTTTTCTTCATATTTCACAACACAAAGGAGTAAAAAAAAAAAATCAGTGACATAAAAATCCACCCGACTGTGGTCTGAGCGAAGCATCCAGTCTGTCCTCTCCCCTGCTGAGCGGGAGGAGCCACGCTCTGTATGCCTATATAAGGGGAGGAAATGCATTTCGCATCAGTGGCGTTTCAACAGACCACACCTATCCTCCATCCAGCCCTTCAGGGCTGAAAACAAGGCCTCTGTGGGACGCACAGACGGCCTTGGCAAAACACCATCTCCACACACACATGCACGGACACAGAGGAGCGTGCGCACACACAGGAACACACATGCCAGATTCATCTCCTAGGGAAACCTCCAGCTCCTATGGCGACAAAGCAACCAAGCAGCTGTTACCATGGAAACAGAAGTAATAGGTCCCTTCTGTATGTGCCCTCTCACTTTCTCTATCTCTGGTTACTACAAGGCCACCACAGAGCTTTGTTCAGCCCGTGTAGGAAGCACCAGCCGTACAGTCAACATACCTTTTAAATATTTAAGAGGAGACTAATTAATTAAGCATTATGGAGTGATCTGTCTCTCAATCATATCAATAATAATTTATATCCTGCTGCACTGAGGCTGCCACGGGTGAAGCAGTCAGAGAATAATGCTGATTAACAGGCAGAGGCTGCAGCTGGTGATTTTTTTTGGGGGGGGGGGGGGGTGCGGCGCATATATTCGATTTTCTTACAAAATGAAATTGCAACACACATCTCAGGTGGTCCCCCAAGCATGGCAACCAATTCAGGAGCTGCTGATGAGATTTCGTTGTCGCTCCAATTGGCTCCAATCACATTTCTGTAACTAGTTCTGTGGGCTGATTGTGTTAGCAGCCATTTGGCGTAATCCTAGAAATCCATTTTGCTGATCGCCTCACCCATGCAAACAAGATGAGGAGAGACAGTGTGTGCGTGTGTGTGTGTGAGAATGGGTTAATGAAGAAGAGAAAGTAAATCTTTCGAACTTAGTCACTTTAAGTAATGCAGGTGGAGGGATAGCACCGTGGAATCAAATAAGTAGAGGAAAGCTGTGGCGGTAAGTTAGCCTGAGTCAGTGTAGCTTCTATTATGGGATGCAATTGCACAGCTATGTTCTTAGATATAGTGCTCAAACTCTACAGTCAGGTTGAGTAGAGCAAATGACAAACTACCCTGCCAGCAACAGAAGAATTTCAGCAAAGGAGTGCTTCGGGGATTTAGTATCACACCTCCAAAAAATTGGGCCGCTTGGTCAATGTTAAAGCAGCAGAGGCCAACAGATCCTGACTGTCAGTCTCTATCACGGACAGAGCTCACAAAATGCTGGAGGCTACGTTATATATCATCTTTCACTGGATCTACTGATGCCCATGTCTTTCAAATCCCTCACGCTCAGTTTGTAATACAGGCCTTGTGTTATAAACTTGAAGCCTCAAAATCCAAGCCAAGATAACCCAGATGACATCACAAGAGTGAATTATTTTTTAGACTTCAGAAAGATCCCCCCAGAGCAACAAAAGACTTCTTACACCCGTTTTCACAGGCTTTGTAGAACTCCTCGTGATGAGTAATGCCTCGTTCACACTGCATGACTTTAGCCCTTATTTTCCACTTGCTGAAAATTTTTCGGAGCCTCCCAACAACAGCCCCAGATCAGAGGCAAATTGGCGCTGGCTCGGTGCTTGCGAATCGGTGCTTGAGCGTATGTGTGAACTCTTCAAAGAAGCGAGCTGAGTGGCTCAGATATCTGGCGGGCTAAGTATCTGGACCTGTTTGGCACCTTGTCAACGAGCTACTGGCAAAGAGAGCGCAAGACACAAGTGTGTGTGTGTGTGTGTGTGTGTGTATGACAGGGAAAGAGACACAGAGAGGGAAAGAGAAGGTGGAAGGTGGATTATTGCACGCAAAATGTATGTTTTTAATAACCAGTGCCTGCCTGACTGGCGTGTCAACCTGCGCAACCCATGTGTTTGGCCCGACAAGACATAGACGAGGACTCTTGAAAGATCTTGTAGAGTGTGACCTCCTGTCGCTGGTCAGTCATGTGAAAACCAAAACAACTTCAAGACTCCTGATTACAAGACAGCGAATTGTACCGTGTGCATGGCGAAGTATCCTTGAGCTCCTTGAGCAAGAGACTGAACCCCAGATTGCTCCTGATGGTTGCTCCGTCGGTGTGTGAGTGTGTTAAATAACTGAGTAGCAGGTGGCATCTTGTATGGTAGCCTCTAACACCAGTGTGTGAATGTGTGTGTGAATTGTGTGAATGTGACTTGTAAAAAGCACTTTGAGTGGTCAGATGACTAGAAAGGCGCTATACAAGTGCAGGTCCACATCAGTAGAGCAATCTGACGAGTGACAGTCAGGTAGAGTGACTTTAAACTAATCTTCGTGTGTAAAATAGGTGAAATGCCTCTATAATAAACAGCAGCCTCAAGAAAACTTGGCATTGGCTTGACATTTTCTTGATTTCACAGTCATGCCGTGTTTTGTAAGCACGTTTCAGTTGAAGTAAACAAACAGAGGGTTGTTCTTCACACTGGCTGCCGTGCTGGAAAAACATGTGAATGCAATAAACATTTAAATTGTAATAGTTGATGTTTGAGAAACCAAGTATCTTCCTGTTCCAGAGTCATTTTATTAAAAGCCTTAATAGCTCGTTCACCGAGTATGACTCATGACCGCTTGGATAAAAGCCTCAAAAATACATTTGATTTGTTCTGAGGATCGGAAACAATAAATCTGTGAATTTTCAAAAGTCCTTGTAGCTCAAAGCGCAGTGTCAAGCAGCTGGTTCGCAGGATGTGAGCAAAGGCTGCCCTTCCACTAGACAGGTTGTGCTCCACATGGCAAGCACACACTCTTAAGTTTCCTTGAGCAAAAGATTGAACTCATTTAAACCTTCAGAGGCTCAGGTCTGCTGCTGATTGTGCACACTCTGAGCGAGCAAAGCTGCGGGGCAATGTGTAAGATGGGTGCTGCTGAAATGGGAAGAAATTACGCAGAATATACCTTCGATAAACTGATGTTATCATTCTTTAAGCTTTCTCAAAAGAGGCCAAGCTTGTCATGAATCTTTCATTTGGTTTAACTTGTTAGCCACATGATCACGTGAGCCTTACATTTATGGAGCTTCTCTCGCAAAGCACTGAATATATAAGAATGCTGAGCGCTCTGGACGGTAGGTTTAATGCTTTTCATCCTGTGCATACATCGATGTATCTGTTGTCCCGCTTTTTACTGCATGATTATTGCCACTGCTGCATCCAGGAGAAACGCTACAGAAATTATTTGGTTTGGGTCAGCAGTTTGTATTACAATCAGGCTGCTAATGCGAAAAAAGGAAACACATTTCAACAGTGCCAGCATGGGACTGACTGAAGATAAATGCATGAGAGCAGTTATTTTTATTATTTCTATCACTGTGTGAATGAGGCACGTCTAAAATAGCCTGTAGCTGGACAGCGTCAGCAGCTGAGCTCTGAAATTTCAGTGGCACAGAAAGCTTTGCAGGCCCTAAACAGCCCTGCCTCTCCAATAAAGTGGAAACTCATGTGGTCGTGTGGTTAACCAGCAGAAATGAATGAACCGTGGAAATGAGCATTAGTATTGCATGGATTGGACCTGCGGAGGAAATTACGTTCAGCCAAAGTTTAAGCAGTTAAAATACCGGTACAATGGTCTCCTCGGGATGTTATTTAAAAAAAGCCAGATGTTTCATTCATGATGGTTTTCGGGGGAAAGTGATAGAGTGTGTGAGCTGGAAGGCTGTAGAGTCCTGTGAGCAGGTGGAGTTCTTTCCTAATAGTGTGGCTTTAGTTTAAGGACTGGACAAATGCACTGAGCTCAATCAATATCTATAATGTCGTGAGCCAAACATCAATAGAAGGCTCTGGCTGCCTCTCTGTGTTTATATCATCAGTGCACGCTCGCTCAGTGGACATCATGGCTGTCATTAAAGCAATGATTTCACTGCATTCATCATTGTGTCCCCGCTTGCCTTTTTTTTTCCCATCACGCACACAGTGATGTACACACTCGCATACAAACTACAGTACACAAACAACCACTCCTAGTATCCACGTCCTCTTCATCTTTTTCTCCACCTCCTCCCCCGCTCTCTTCATCTTTTCCTCCTCCTCTCTCCCTCTCCCATTCTATTTTCGCCCCGGTCAAACATAAGAGCGCTCATCTGTCAACCGTATGGATTTCCCGTCAAAGCCCAATACCTCTAGTGTCACTGCCCAGGTGACATGAAGAAATGAGTGTGTGTGTGTATGCAAGACAGAGGGAGAGGTGGGGTGTGGGGTTGAGTTGAAGGAGAATGTGTGTGTGATGCCTCGGTCAGGACGCCTGACATATTTCTCCACTCGTAAGTATAATAAGTGAGGTCACGTGAGAGCCATAAAAGGAATATAGTGACATGAATGAGGCTGAGCCAACAAGATCATTCCTGTCACACATCACCCTCCATCAGCAGCGGCAGCAGCAGCCAATGAGGTTCCAGCGCTGGCTTTAATGTGATTCACGGCAGCTGTGTAAGTCCTGCCCAGGATCTCCCTCTGTTGTGGAGCACCCTGCTTTGACACCCTTCGCTCTGCCTCCACAGTCGTTTTGCTCCAGATTAATTTTCTGCAGTGTTTCGATCGTGATGAGCGTGTGGGCTGCTGTGAAATTCAAATAAACCAGGAACTACGCCTGTCTGTTTACAAACACAAAAGGCTACAGAGTCACGATTCATGGAAGCTGGGGATTGCTCATCTGAGCTGTCCATCCCCCACAATGCAGAGCTTGTCTTACCTCTCTCCACCCGTCACTTGCCCTCTCAGGGAGAATAGCAACAGAGCTGCATTTCCTGACTCAGTAGCGTGTATTACTGAGGGAGAATAAATCCCACTGAGGTGTGCTGTGGTGTTGTGTGCTGAGTCAAGGGCTCTGTTCAAATGAGGGAGATGTACACCGGCTTCTTAAAATGCTGTGTTCTTGGTCACTCTGCATAGCCAGGTATGAAATCTAAGCCTCTGTGCATTTAAGCGTGGAGAAACAGCCAAACTGTGTTTTAATAGCACTGCAAAACATTTTCAAATCATTATTTCTAATTATGTTTCTGCATGTTTGCAGAATTGAATCCTGATGTTGTTGTTTTTTCTACAGCTTACAGGTTGCTAGAGAAGGTTTCTTACCATCCTGTGTTTTCAACATTATCCCCGGAACAGATTTTATGAGCAGATCTTTTCCAAAGAAACTAATTAATGTGCATTTCCGTCCTCTACTTTATGAGAATATTAGGAGATGGATGCCTTCAGATAAACAGTCGGTACACTAATGCTCCACTTATGTGGCATTAAGCCACTGCAGAAGAAAGTCAAACCACTAACAAGAAATAGTAATGCAAAACGTGGTAGAAATATGGTGTTTCGGTTTATTTCACACATTAAGGAATGCACGCCCACAAAACAATCGCGTTACCTTGAACTTCTAATGAAAACTTTGTTATTCTTGCCCCCACAGAATGCTCGCTTTGCTGCATGAAAAATACCTGCTCAGCGCTGTCTCATAGGAATGCTTGGAAGCTCTGCGTCCACCGTGCTGACACGAGAATGTATGACAGGGAGGTCCCGTTTGAAAACTGGTGATAAACAGCTGACGTGTGAACATCATAGTCATGATGTTAAGTGCATCCTAGCGCACGTTTAATGCAATGTAAATTCTTATTTTAATGTAAATTCAATAGTGCATATTTGACCATTGCTTCTATGAAATTTTAGGGGAATTCAGCCTCCCTTGTTGTCTCAGAGCAATCGCCCCTGGTCTTTAAATAGTCTTGTTGTCATACATGGTCCTCAGTCAGTCAATAAATCAATATGTTTTGCCGTTTTCTGTGGAGACGTGAGAACAATGAAGTACTGTTCACAAATTCAAGGTAATACAGCATGACTAGGGTGGCATGATGGTGCAGTGGTTAGCATTGTCGCCTCACAGCAAGAGGGTTGCTGGTTTGAGCCCTTTCTGTGCGGATTTTGCATGTTCTCCCTGTGTCAGCGTGGGTTTTCTCAGGTACTCCAGCTTCTTCCCACAGTCCAAACACATGCAGGTTAATTGGTGACTCTATATTGCCCATAAGCTTGAATGGTTGTCTGTCTCTATGTGTCAGCCCTGTGATAGTCTGCCGACCTGTCCAGGGGGATAGGCTCCACCCCCACCACGACCCCCAACAGGATAAGCGATTACAGAAAAAGAATGAATGACTAACTGATATACAAATGGTCATTTTGTGTTCGAAAGTTACAGTCTCCTAATTGCTTTACATATAACTGATGTTTTCGTCTCCCGCTATTTTTCATCTCTTAAGTAAAGCAAAAGTTTGAGTGGCATGTGAGTCACAGGCTTTGTTTACCTCAAGATATTTTTGTATGTCTGTCTCCATTTTTAAGGCTGCTTTCTTTTATTGTTTGTTTTTTTAATTGATGCCAACCTTTTTAGCAACACTCCGATTTCATTTTCGATTTCTGACATTTCCACTCACCAATTGAAAAAAGTGCATAAACACAGGTGAATGGAAATGCACTTACAGAAGGACCCAAAAAGTTTTATATTTATTCTTTATTGTGTGTGTGCACAACTACAACAAGTGCTGCAAGCCCAAATTGGACAATGAAGTCAGTCTGTAAAACATCTAGGCGACTTTTCTATTGCTTACCTGTTGTTTTGTTTTAAAACCCTGTCAGACCGCTCATGTCTGACCTGTCCCAGGTCTTAACAAAAAAATTTGGTGGGTAAAATGTGATTATTACTGACAGAAATGATATTAAATTATATGAAATGGTATGAAAATTATGAGAAGAAGACCTATGTTGATATAACTTTTGAAACACATAATCATAATCATTAGTCAGCTATTTTCCCCATCTGTGATGATGCAAAGTGAGTAGCATACCTCAACTCCAGTCTCATAATCTGAGCCGTCAAGCAGAGTGACTTTGACGGGGACAGTCTTGGGCCGCTTGTTGCTTTTCTGGGGGGATTTGGAGGCTTTGCTGGGGGTCTTCTCTGAGCTATCGTCCATTTCCCCCTGGTCCTCTGGAACCTGGGAGAGAGAAAATCCTTCCTCTAAGTGAGTGAGCCTCAAATCACTGTACTTTGTCTTTCATTTAAATATTTGAATTCCGAGTCCCGAGGGGCATTATGTACTTGTCTTTCAAAGTGATTTAAATCCCAAATCTTTGATCATGTGAGGCAATCATCAAATGCATGATGTAGAGTGAGCTGCTGCTCTAAGATGTTAAGATGTTAAGTTGCTGGCACAGGCAGACGGGGGTTAGCGGTCTTGCATATCAAACATGCTGGAAGGCCCCTGAGTGATTGAGAGGCCTGAGTTAAATGATCTACAGCTGCTGTGAGTTCCACAGCGCTCCCACCTGATTGGTTCTCCTGGCGTCACCCTCCATTGCGCTCTTCAATTCCCCAGCCAAAGCCGTCTCTGTTGTCATAGAAATGGATTGCAGTCCTGAAACCACACATAAACATATTCATAACATCAACTATTTTCCTGTTCAAAAAAAAAAAACAGTGTTGAGTGCTTACTGCTGCTGTAAGTCCAATCTGTGTATTCCTGATGGACTCATGAGACGTGAGCAAAACGCCTACCATCTGCACACAGCATATGAAGTCTTTACTTTAACTGACATTTTGGCAAAATGAATGGCTGCCGAACAAATACCTGTCGTGACATCACATGCAATTTGTCTTTGCAGCTGCTGTGTGGTATCTGTAATTATGCCGTACTGCCATGCAGATTGAGCGCTTCTTCACACGCATGGTCATTTCATTGTGCATGGAGAGATGGCAGAGGAGAGAGAGAGGGTAGCTCAGTCAGTGCTGGCTCACAGCCTCCCACAGGAGCACTCTGCATGAAGAGTGTTGGCTTCAGGACGCTCTCCTCTCACACTAGCAAAGGAGATAGCATAAATTACATCAGCCAGAGCCCTGCGGCACGGCACAAGACAGCAGACACACCGAGATAGAGAATGAGAGAGAGAGAGGGAGGGAGATGACGTGGAAGGAGAGGGCTCTGTGAACGTGACAATCTAAGGATGAGACAAGAGAAGGGGAAGAGTAGCACAGAAGAAAAGGCAGAGGTTACGAGGAGAGAGACACACAGGGAAAGGACAAGAGAAGGGCTGCAGAGTGAGACATACAACAATGCTGATACAATATTCAGCTGAGCTGGAGACAGATGAACCTTGTCATTTGAAGGTGACCACTGCTGTACCCGAGCTGGACTCCTGCACGGTGCTCTTTTTCCGGGTGACAGCCAGTACAATTGCTGATATTCAGATTAGGTGGTACAGCTAAGAGAAACGAATCATCAGAGATAAAGCCCAGAGTCAATCTGTAGCTTTAGTTTGAAAAGTGAGCATGGGGTCACGAATTGAACATTCCTTATATGTCAGCTGAAAACATTTCAAGATAACATGTGGAATTTTCCTCTGAATTGCAGGGTGTTTAAATTCTACACTTAAGCCATTTTTGAGAGGGACTGGATTGTGTTAAGTCGGTAAGGGTGCAGAGTTTTATGTGTGTTTCTGTTTCCCAGCCAAGAAATATAGAGAGGTAATTGCCAAATTATGAGGTTGCCCCTTTCCTCAAGTATATTGTTTATCTTAGAATATCCCCATTTTTCAGCCCCAAGAGAAAGTGCAAACTCTGCTGCATAATGCAACAGCTTCTTCTTAAGTAACTCCAGGAAATGTGTCAGCCTCAGGCATGTGTAATATTGTTCAAAACCTACTTCATTAATGACTACCTATAAAGGGTGAAATGGCTTAAAAACCATAATGAAAATGTGCTTCTCACTTCAAAGCAAACTGTCATCTCATTGTAAACCACACTTGAAAACTGTTGATATGAAAGAAAGGAAATATCAGCTAGTCTGAATATGTACCTTATCTCACACACACTGAAGATGTCTGAAATACAAACCTTGAAGCCGGAATGCAAAAAAGCAAAAAACAAAAAAGTGAAAAAAGCATAAAATAAAGCAAGAGGTTAATGAAAGGAAGGGATTAGTGAGGAGGGGACATGGGAAGCTCTGATAAAAAAGCACAAAGCTTCCAGGGAAAGCCGTCATTAGGGAGGAGCAAAACAGAAGCTTAATTTGGTCTAATAACGGCCAGTGAAGTGTTTGTAAACCAGGAAAAGATATGGTAGTATTTTTCCCCAAAGAAGAGGCTCTAATTAACAATTTTTCCCTCTACCAGCTGTCTGAGTGTATCTCTCTGTGTTTACAATTTGGGAGGCTCGAACACAGCACGTCTCAGCTTTCATGATAGGTCAGCTTCCCTCTGCATAATGAAGCCGGATCAAAGAGGAGAGCAGCCTGGCACTAGGAAGGCTGCAGATGTCACACAGCTGACTGGCTCGCACCGTGCACTGTTCCTCCACAACTTTGAAGGACCTGAGGGTTGTTTGATTAATCTAATTAATGAATAATACCCTAATTGATTTCAAAAGATATTCTCTTTGTGACTGCATATTGTATGCACAAATAGCATTTTACAGGGTTTCGGGTTAAGGTGATAGAGATAAAGCAGATTTCCATGTGAAAAATTGTCTCACACGACTCATGTTTATGCAATGAGACAATGTCAAAGTCAGACAAAGGAAGCAGCCGATTTACATGAATGCATATCTACAGTAATGAAGAGGTAGAGAAGCTGTGAAACAACACTCTGCTACCACAAGGAGCTTACTGATGAGTGAACCTGACCAGGTTTTTCATTAAATAACGTCTGCCCTCTAGTTCAAGGATATCTGGTAGTCAGGGTGTAAATTCACAAGCTCAATACTGACAATAATTAAACTTTATTTACAGCACATTTTATTACAGGTGGGAAATTATTCAATATTATCACAGAGTGTCATTTGCTGTAATCATTTAATAGTAGTGCTAATATCATATAATGATACTGGTTCATAAAAGTCTGTTTTCCAAATGAATTTTTCCCAAGCGATCATGATTATAAACTGCTAAAAGCAGCATGACTCTGTAATGGAAATATCAATCAGTTGATCGGCATCGCTTTGGTGTAGACTAAAATATCTCAACTATTCAATGACATTTTGTACAGGCGTGCATGGTCCCCAGTGGACTTTGTGGATCTCCTGACCTGTGGTATTGAGTGAAACCTGTTGCATGGGCATGTATAATGCCCATGCAACAGAAAGACTAATGATATTCTTATGAGTCTTAGCCATTTGTGTTAAATTCTAAGTGGCAAATATTAGCATGCCAGTACACTATACTAAGGTGGTGAACAAAGTAGACGTAGAGTGCCCAGGAATGAGTCCTAAAACCTGAAAATGAGTTAGCATTTTTGCACTCCTGGTTTCCTCATCACAAAGTTGAGGAGTTTTTTGAAATGGGAATTCAGTTAGATGCCTGTAATAAGGTCTGTGTTCAGCACAAGCTCAAGAGACTTTCACGGTTTGTTCTACAACATAAAACACATTAGTAGATATTCCACTGATGAATTTTGAAGCTCTAATGTGTCCTAGAAACGGTGGTTGCCAGCAAGTGGCTAAATGAGACTACATAATGCTTTATCTTGCATTCAGGTTTCAAAAATCATTTGGTGAAGTGGTGTTCATTTGTGAAGTCTATCTTGCCGAACAAAACGTGTAAGTTTCACCAACGTTTGTTTGCCACAGAGCTTATTTTCTGCAATAATCCAAAATCCAATGGAAAAATCCCATTGGCTTTTTGAAGAGAGAAACAGGGCGACACTAATCAGCCTAAACAGAAATGTCATCCCCGGAGCACTCTATTAATGAGAATGTGAAGTTGACATCACACCGTGTTAAATGTTTTGGATGGGGTGCCATCTTGCACTGCCTGCTACGTGGTCAAGCAACGATATTTGGACAAACTAATGGCAACAAAAAAGTGTAGATGAGTTTAGGAAATATCAACAGGGTTTGGCTTTATAATCATACGGGACGCAAGAAACCGCTCTCCCGGGTAAAAGGCTGTGTTTGTTGGACCCATCTACTACTGCTGAGCGCTGTTAACCTTTAACACTGACTGGCCCCGTATCATACTGATGTTAGAGGATGGCATTTGGGCCACAAGTCACTGCCCAAGTGCTGGATTTCAATGACATCGGAGTGAGACCGGGTTGTTGTAAACTGTCTTGTCTTGTCACAGTGTGATGTACCTTCACATTCTCTACCTGCTAAACATCAGCAAGTTAGCATTAGTAGTGTAAGCTTGTTAGCATGCTGATGCTAGCTAACAGAGCTTCTGGCATAGCTAAGGCTGGATATCGGTAAAAAAGGATCTGACACCCGACTGAAAAAGGATCGAATGGAGTTATCGTTTGACTGATGAAGTTTTGATACTACTTGGTACTGGGTTCTTTTGTCCAACACCTTAAAGGTAGAGATACCCAGCTCTAACGGGTGTAGACTCTCAGTCCTGTTTAATCATAAAGTGTCGATACCATCATGACACCGTTTCATATAACAGCTCATTTCACACACTCTGTTAAATACTGAGGAACACAATAAAGAATTCCAGGGCTATTCTTTTATCTTGACATCCATCTCTAATCTGATTTCATTCCTCTGCTAAGTATCAGTTCTCATGAACACTCGCTCACCTGAGCCAATCACATCTGCCCACTGCAATACCCCAACTCAGAGCAAATGTCAGCTCCCTATGAGCCAGCTGTCAGAACAATAACATCAGTGAATCACAAGCAAACTTGAAAAGAATCCTAATATATCAGTGTCAGAGACTTTGGGGCGCTCATTTCACACACATCATGATCGCGAGGCCAATCAATTCTTTCATTTGGGTCACTTTGTGATTCAATCACTCCTGCTCCACATCAGTTCTGGTCTCCGCACGCCTAATCATCTGTGCGAGGGAGATGATGAAGACTGAGGAGTATGAGGTGCTGTGGCTGCTTAGACTCAACATTCCCGTAACAGTCACTGTCTTCAAACAGACTCCCATTAAAGGTCTTTCTCCACAAAATCATCTGGGGCCCTTTGGTTCTTGAACTTCAAAGAGCAGACGTCAAGGAAAGTCTTTGTGAAGTATGACAGCATCGGGATGGGTGATGCTCTGAAAACCATGTGCATGATTGAAGGCCTCCATAAATAGCTGCATTTCATGAGTTAGCTTAGCTTTACTTAAATAGACAGTATTTATTTTTATTTATACCTCAGAAGTGTATGGCCCAAATTAAAACAATGCCAGGCGAGATTTGGGAAAGTGCTTTTAAATAATACATATCATTGCCCTCAGACACCACTGTGATACTGTACTACAGTTTTTAACATTTGCTTGAGTCACAGACGACCAAAATACTCCCAGACAGTCTTGCCTCTACTTCCACTCCTGCCTATTAATCACAAACTGTGTGGGCACTGTGGTGTATGTGTGTGTGTGTATGTGTGTGTGTGTGTCTGGATGAGTTTTAAATGCGTCTCTGTCCTGAT